GGTTTATCCTTGCCGATGCAGGAGGGTTTGTTGGGCAGTTAGTGTCCAACTAGAAGGACTGTGGTGATGATCCAGGACACTTTAACATTCTACAACATGTATGACATTTATCAACACATTGTGTTCTATATTCATTTTGTGTTTTAACTGTTTATTCTCTGATCTATGTTGGTGATTTCAATGGTTTTGTTAAGTCCTCTGAGGTAACTACTGTTGTGATTTACGGCTATACAAGAATAAGAAAGTAGTAAGTACGTAAGTAATGTTTATTTATATAGCGCATTATACAGATCAAGGTCACCCAAAGCACTTTACAATGTTCAGAGTCAGATATTGTTCCAATTATTCCACACACGGTGATGACGGAAGCGAGTCGTCGAACACACTGGACCATCAGCTCCAACACCATCCATTCATTCATTCATTTACATTCATACCTATTGTGCATGTTTTTAGTGGTAGGGGAAACCGCAGCACCCGGAGGAAACCTACGCAGACACAGGGGAGAACATGCAAACTCCACTCAGAAAAGGCCCCGTTCCGACCGGGATTCGAACCCAGGACCTTCTTGCTGAGAAGCGAAAGTGCTATCCACTCATCCACTGTGCCGAACCACAAATAAATTGTATTGTATTGTTTTGTATTGTAACACTCAGTATTGATGTGAAATCTAAAGCCCCAGGCCGGAGATCCCTGGTATAAAGCATTGTTGAGAAAGGAAGACAGCAGTGATTGCGCCTGTAACCCGGGTTATTATTGAGTTCTTCCAACAAACAATTGAACAAAAGAGGACAGCGCTTTAAATATGATTTGTGTCAATGGGCATGAGATCAAAGACGTCATCACTGAGATATTAATGACACATGCTTCAGATAACACAGATATTACAAATGAACTCAAAGTGCCTGGCGAAAGTACTAAAACCCCGTGTTTTAAAGTCTAGTTTTACAATCCATATCGTTGGTCCATGGACAAGTCTACAGCGGCCCTCCTGTTAAAAAGTGTGGACACCCCTTAGAGAAGAGAGGGAGGTCCACTCCAGGTCACTGCTCTCACATCTGCAAGTCATCTGCCAATGTGTAACTGAGGTCAGAAAGTCCCAAACAGCAACCTGAAGCACGGACTCAGGCCTTCAGAGCGTGACAAGAGTTTTGGGAGGTTCATTACTCAGCGTGTATTCACCTTTTTGGGCTTTCAAACTTAGTGACTTTTTCTGTTTCTATGTGTAGTTTTTTCTATGTCATTATTTTTATGAAGTGATCTTTGTAATGTGAGCAGACATAACATGGGGCTGTCGCAGTCGGCACGATACTGCGTCAATAGGGCGACAATAGAGCGACAATAGAGCGACAATAGCGCGACAATAGAGCGACAATAGAGCTTTGCGTTTACACCAGGTTTCATGCATGAATTATTTATTAGAATCTTAAAACACAATACATCAGTAATAAAAGTGTTGATTTAAAAAAAGTGTTTTTGCTGAAATTGCAATTGATAAAAAGTTACTGTATTCTTAATTCTGACAGTTTTGCCCTCACTGTCCTGGGTCTACAGCCTCAGTCCTGGATCTACAGCCTCAGTCCAGGATCTACAGCCTCAGTCCAGGATCTACAGCCTCAGTCCTGGATCTACAGCCTCAGTCCTGGATCTACAGCCTCAGTCCTGGATCTACAGCCTCAGTCCTGGATCTACAGCCCGTCCGTCGGTGGGAGCAGATCCCTTTCTGAACGTGAGCCTCTACAAGGTTTCTCACTTTTTTCTCACTTTTTCTTCGTGGTTCCTCTCTGCCTCCTGTGGACTCACCACCTGCAGGAGGATCAGTGAGTGGCTGGTGCTCAGTGAACGACCCAGAAATGGATTAAGGGGAAGAAACTGGATGGATGGATGGATGGTTCCTCTCTAATGCAGAAGGCTCTAAGGACAGTGATTTAAGGACATTTCTGGACAGTGATCCTCCCGCTTCCTATGGACCAATGGCTCCTATGTGTTCAATTCATTTGTGATTACACAAATAAATTGAATTTCACGGCTTCTCATTGCAGAAGCACATTCATTTTACCAACTTTGTGTCCAATGAAATCCCACGTCTGGAACACAATAAATGGTTCTAAAGCCTTAAAGCCGGAAGATAAAAGTCAATGCACAATATGAGAATTGGAACAGCAGAGGGTCAGTCAGAGCAGCAGAGGTGACCTGTGACCTTCTCACCTGATGGAGCAGAGTGCGCTGGATGCCATCCCCGGCTGCTTATCAAAGATCCTTACAGAGAATCCTCCGCTGATGAAGACCAGAGCCCAGGAGCGGCCAATCAGACCACTGCAACACACACAGGCTCAGTGTCCTACACTACAGCTGAGATACACACTAGTACTAGTAGCAGTAGTAGTAGTACTACAGCACACTACTACTACTTAAAGTTATAGTCTCCACACTATGTAAAGTATTTCTGTAGACCCTACCCAGAGCTGACACATGTATATTAGTGTCTTGGATCAAAGTGCCTCACCTGCCGATGATGGTGACAGTCTTCATGTTTCACACCGAGTTCTGACCACAGTCCACAACACCGCGGGATCAGTCACGCTGTTCAGCTGTGTACGGAAGCCCACACAGTCCAACTGTGTGAGGAGAGAGTGCAGGATGCAGAGGCTGTCACGGATCAGGATCTCTAACATTGGTGTGGACAGGGTCAATGGTTTTTATAACTGCACTTTATACCGTTTTATGCTCTTCTAGTGTGTCACGTTCTGCGGACTGACCTGTAGAGGGCGCTCACCACTCAACATAAAGCAGAAGGAGCTGGGGTAGCAAACTTTTTTTTTTTTTTTTAATCCTTTGTTCTGCATGTGAAAACTTAGAAATATGCTCAGTTTCAGTTTGAAAGTTACGCTAGAAAGTGCTTTTATAATTAGTGACATTAGTGAATATTATTATTGTTTATAATGTACATGTTACTGTGAGAAGCAACTCCCAATCCTCCATTTTTGAAGCCCCAGACTTCCCACAATTTATTTATTATTTATTTATTTATTTATTTATTTGAATTAGGACAGTGCACATTAATCAACACGTCAGCCAAAAGCATCAATGTAAATGTACCAGAATTAGCGTGAGAGCTAAATTGCATCCGTTGTCCTAAGGCAGGAAAAGAAACATTGACAGTAGGAAAATACAAACATAGTACAGAGAACAGCACAAAGTTACAGTCATAGTTACAAGGACAGACACAGGTAAGATAACATAACACGCCCAAGAATTGATTAAGCATTGAACTTTAATTAAACTACCTGTGAGTGCAAGATTGATTTGTTTTTAACCAGATTTTTAGGACCTTTTTAAAGGTGTGGTAATTGTCACAGTTCCCTGATATGAACAGGCAGCGAGTTCCAAAACTGCGAGCCTCTGATAGACTCCACCGTTTGACTGAATTTAGTCCTACGACGTTGCACAATACAGTCTCCTCTGGTCAGCGCTCTGGTATTTACTCGAGTGTTACTTATTTGTGATATAAAATTCCTTAATGGTGGAGGGGCAAGACCTTTTAAAACTCTAAAAACTAAACAGGCATCCAGGAACTTCTGATAGCCGTCAAAATCTAAAATATTATACTTACTTACAATGTGGCAGTAATGATAATGTAAAGGCTTTCTATCCAAAGTTTTCAATGTTTTCTTAAAGAGAGACTTGATAGGGCTCATGTTGGACTCTGATGTTTGGGACCATGTGGTTTGACAGTACGTTATATGGCTAAAGATCACACTTCCTCCAGCTCATCTGGGGGAATCCTGAGGCCTCCCCAGCTGAAACACAGTCCCACACACCGGGTCTTCCCCTGGTATCCTCTCAATTGGACAAGTCAAGAACACCTCTCCACGTAGAGGAGCAGTGACTCTACTCCAAGCTCCTCCTGTGTGACTGAGCTCCTCTATCTCTAGCTCCACTCTGGAGGAAACTCATGTGGAGCATGTATCGTGATCTTGTCCTTTCAGTCTTTACCCAAAGCTCAGAACCAGAGGTGAGAGGATGGAGACTGAGCAGGAAAGTGATGTACCATATTTTATTGTCACATATTTACAAAGACAAATAAATGCAGTACAACAAGACCAAACAAAACACCTGCATTCACTGCAAAAATGATAAAATATGGAAGTTTGCTTGAATTTAGTAATTTTTATCTTAAATGGAGCACATTCTTTAAACAAGATTCTTCAATGGGACAAAGCCATTTAGTGCCGGCTTTGTTGCATGTCGTATCGATCCAAATAAACGTTAAATTCACTGAGACGCAAACTTGAGAACTTAAGAGTTCAATCTTTAGTCAATTAGTGACGCTCTCCTCAGCGCACACACACACACAAACATTATTGTGATTGACTAAAAACACACTTTCCTCCATTCTGTGATTTAAAAGAATAAATATGATTATTCGATTAAACATGCAAATGCCAAAACTTGAAATGCCAACGTACATTTTATCAAGTGAAACCTTTTCTTTAGACAGAAAATATATGCATAAACATGTAAACATTGATAAAATAATCTCAACCTCTACCAGCAGAGGGAGGTAGTGGAATTACTTGAATTTCTTTAAAAATCAAACATTCTGTCAGTGTAGCAGGGTTTTACAAGAGAAAACAGCTTTGAACATGACGTCCTAATGTAACAGGTCTGAGATGGCAGCGTTTAGACCAGAACTGGGAAAAGTGCGGCTCGAGGGCCACATGCGGTCCGATTACCAATTCTCTGCGGCCCCGTGACCTTTCCTACCTTATTTTGGTCTGTTCTTAATCAAATGCACCAGGAGCTGTAACTTATAATGAGCTGCCATTATTCTGCTCCAATTAATGAACCCAATATGTTAATAGAATTAATCTGAAGTAGCTTTTTCCTTAATCAAATAAAAATGTACCACATGAAAACAGGCCGAGGGGAAGGGGTTTGTACCAGTTCAGCGTGTGAGGGGCTAAACACAAGTGCAGGTGTGTTACTGACGGAGTGGTCTACACTCCAAAGATGACTCGCAGGTCGGCGAGGGAGAGCTTGGACTGGGTGCTCCCGGTCCCCGACAGGACGTTCTGGGCCAGTTCCTTCTTCTTGGCCTGAAGAGTGGAGATCTTCTCCTCCACAGTGCCTACACACACAAACCTGAGCAGAGGAGACTGTAAGAATTAAGAATACCAATTATCATAGTATTATTTTTTTGTTAGAATCTTAAAAACACCCACACACACCAATAAAAGTGTTTATCTTAAAAACAACTTCTGAAATTGGATGAGGAAAAGTAACCATATTCTGAATTCTGTCAGTTTTTCCCTCACAGTCCCGAGTCTACAGCCACAGTCCCCCGGGTCTACAGCCACAGTCCCCCGGGTCTACAGCCACAGTCCCCCGGGTCTACAGCTACAGCCTCAGTCCCCCTGGTCTACAGCTACAGCCTCAGTCCCCCGGGTCTACAGCTACAGCCTCAGTCCCCCGGGTCTACAGCTACAGCCTCAGTCCCCCGGGTCTACAGCTACAGCATCAGTCTCCCTGGTCTACAGCTACAGCCTCAGTCCCCCGGGTCTACAGCCTCAGTCCCCCGGGTCTACAGCCTCAGTCCCCCGGGTCTACAGCCTCAGTCCCCCGGGTCTACAGCCTCAGTCCCCCGGGTCTACAGCCTCAGTCCCCCGGGTCTACAGCCTCAGTCCCCCGGGTCTACAGCCTCAAGTCCCCCGGGTCTATAGCCTCAGTCCCCCGGGTCTACAGCCTCAGCCCCCCGGGTCTACAGCCTCAGCCCCCCGGGTCTACAGCCTCAGTCCCCCGGGTCTACAGCAGTCCCGGGTCTACAGTCTCAGTCCCGAGCCTACAGCCTCATTCCTGGGTCTACAGCCACAGTCCCCCGGGTCTACAGCTCACCTGTGAATAGTGACGTCTTTCCTCTGGCCCACGCGGTAGATGCGGTCACAGGCCTGGTCCTCCAGAGCCGGGTTCCTGTTCAAGAAAACCTGAGTCACTGACACAAACCTACAGCTGCGGTTCCCAACAAGGGGAACGCGGGCGGACTGCAAGTTTATATGGGCATTACACATTGTAATATATGGTAGTGAAAAATAAGCAGAAGGCGCCGTGGGCTAAAGCAGACTCGGTCAGGGCACAAAAGAGAACGTGCCGGAGGGCCGAGCGGAAGTGGCGCAAGTCCAACCTCCAGGTTGATTACAAGATCTTCAAAGATAAGTTGTGCGAGTTTAACCGGGTGCTACGTAGTACGAGAGAAAGGTATTTTTCTGAAATGATTGAAGACTGCAGCAACAATCTGCGTGTTCTGTTCTCAACAGTTAATAGATTAACAAACCCCCCTGTTCAAATGCCATTAGATCTTACTTCCAAACGTAAATGCAATGAGTTTGCTAATTTTTTCAATGACAAGGTTCAAGGCATCAAAAACGCCATTGTCTCCAATCCACAGATAACCATCCAACAGCCAGAAAGGCTCTTTGAGCTAACTTACTTTGCACCTGTAAATGATCAAACTGTCCAAGAGATAATCTCCAGTTTGAGCTCCTCGACATGCAGCCTGGATGTACTACCCACTAGATTTCTGAAGTCTGTTCTGAGCAGTCTGTTACCTTCACTCACACAGATAGTAAACATGTCCCTTCATTCTGGAATATTCCCAAAGGCCCTGAAAACTGCAGTCATCAGGCCCCTGCTAAAAAAGAGCAGTCTGGATGCTACTGTACTTAACAACTATCGTCCCATCTCAAATCTGCCATTTATGGGGAAAGTCCTTGAGAAAGTTGTCTACCTACAGCTTACTAGATTTCTTATAATCAACAACTCATTTGATATGTTTTAGTCCGGCTTTAGACCCCACCACAGCACTGAGACTGCTCTCGTTAAGGTTACAAACGATATCCGGCTGAACACTGACGCAGGCAAAGTCTCAATCTTAATCTTGTTAGATCTGAGTGCTGCCTTTGACACCGTCGACCATGAGATCCTCTTACAGAGATTAGAGGACTGGGTTGGCGTCGCTGGCACCGCCCTAAGTTGGTTTGGGTCTTACCTTGAGGACAGGAAGTACTTTGTGGAGATTGGAAACTGTGTCTCAGATCATACGGCCCTGACCTGTGGAGTACCACAGGGGTCGATCCTGGGACCTCTTCTGTTCAATCTCTACATGCTGCCGTTAGGTCAGTTAATACGTAGAAACAAAGTGTCCTATCACAACTATGCAGACGACACTCAGATCTATGTCTCACTGACTGCAGGAGAACATGGACCAGTGGACTCACTCCTTCACTGTATCCAACAGATCAGTGAGTGGATGCAAAACAACTTCCTTCAGCTAAACGCAGACAAAACGCAGACAAAATAAAAATTATTGTCTTTGGTCCCCAGAAACAAAGAGAGCGTCATCCGTCACCTACAGTCTCTCTCCCTAAAACCTTCAAACAAGGTCAGAAATCTAGGGGTAATACTGGACTCAGACTTAAATTTTAATAGTCACATAAAATCAGTAACATCAGCAGCTTTTTACCATCTAAAAACATTGCCAGGATCAAAAACATAGTGTCTAAAGCAGACCTGGAGATTCTTATCCATGCATTTGTCTCCAGTAGGTTAGACTACTGCAATGGCCTGCTCACAGGTCTGTCCAAACAGGCTGTAAAACAGCTGCAGTACATTCAAAATGCAGCAGCTCGAGTCCTGACTAGAACCAGGAAGTACGACCACATTAGTCCAGTTCTCAGGTCTCTGCACTGGCTTCCTGTGGCTCAGAGAATAGACTTTAAAACAGCTCTGCTTGTGTACAAGTGTCTCCATGGCCTCGCACCAAAATATATTAGTGACATGTTAGTCCCATATGAACCAGCCCGGACTCTGAGGAGCACAGGGACTGGACTCCTGTTAGTGCCCAGAGTCAGAACTAAACATGGGGAGGCTGCTTTTCAGATTCATGCTGCTAAAATCTGGAACAGTCTTCCTGAAGATGTGAGACAGGCCTCCTCAATGACAATGTTTAAAACCAGGTTAAAAACAGTTCTGTTTAGCTGTGCATACAACTGAGGGATTTTATACTTTAAGCTTTCTTTTTAATGTTCTGTGATTATTTATGATTTTAATGCCTTCTTGTTTTGTTCAGCACTTTGAATTGCCTTGTGTATGAATTGTGCTATATAAATAAACTTGCCTTGCCTAGCCTAATCAATTATTAGGTATTCACCTAATAATTGAATAAAGAAATGGTTAACCAGGAGACACACACACACGGTGACTACAACAACACACAGACAGCAATTACAGGAACACACACACACAGACACACAACACACTGTGACCATAGCAATCGAAGCTATGTGTACCAGTGCAGGTCCATGAGGAACAGGTGGTTTCCTCCAACCAGGTTCAGCCCCACTCCACCAGCGCAGAGAGACACCAGCATCACCTGCAAAACACGCACACAAACACACACGCACACAAACACATGTGAGCTTCTTCTGCCACTCACACACAAACACTTTCTCTGAAATTTTATGTGAAAAAAAATAGGTGGGACCTTAAAACCTTAGATAGAGGACGACTAACATCAATGAAGCCATCTTCAAAATAACATTTCGATGAAGGATATAACAGATCCCTTCCTCCATGTGGGCTCCCCGTGGTTTATCACTTTTTTTCCCACTGGGTTTTTAGAGTTGTTCCTCTCTGACGCAGGAAGGTCCAAGGACAGTGGTGATCAACGACACTCCACATTCAACAACATTTATGGACATTGGTCATGTATCGTTGCATTTCCTGTGTTTGAAGTGTTTGATCTGTGTTGACAAATTCAACAGTTTTGTAAAGTTCTCCGAGATCACTACTGTTGTGATTTAAGGCAATGCAAGAATAACTTGAATTGAATTGAATATCTTTGTGGACAGAGAGGAGCAGAGTGGGAGCAGAGTCTGACCTGAGGGCCGTGGGGGTTAGTGTTGAAGTCCTCCACCAGGTCCATCCTCTTCTTGGGGAGCACAGTCCCGTCGATGACCGCAAAGCTCAGGTCCATCTGCTGCAGATGCACAGCCACAATGTGGAGCATGCTGGTCCACTGGGACACGATCACACTGAGCGCACACACACAGATATTAGGTTACACTTTTGGGTCATCACAAAGTCAAGCATCTAACCAGTCGTACAATAGTGTGGCTATAGCTACAGCTGTGGCTGTGTTCTGTTTTAGCTCCAGCTCTAAAGGTCCGAAGACATGCAGAGGCTAAACACTGACCTTTTGTGATCGGGCCCTCGCTGCCTGATGGCCATCAGCTCAGAGACAATAGCAGACATCTGGAGACGAGAACACAATGCACGGATGTCAGGCACGCAGTTACTTTTATTGTTCATAACTTTAGTAGTCAAAGAAAATGCTTGAATGAATGACTCTGACCTTGGTGCTTTCCCTACTGTCCTCAAACAGCTGGGGGTGGAAGCGCGTTCCATTCAGAGACACCGTGTGTTCAGGGTTGGGTTCTGCTGGAGCTGGGTCTGGGCTGGAGCTCAAAGAGAGAGCACAGAGCTGCTCCTCCAGAGACAGGACCACCCCGTCTCCCTGGAGCTCAGAGGCCTGGAGGGTCTGCACACAACATGCAGGTTATACATACAGACCGAGGTCTTTCAGACTGTGGCATTAATACAGTACCTTCCGGAGCAGAGACAGGTGGCAGCAGCACTGCCGCAACCGCAGCAGCAGGGACAGGATGTGGACCGTGCTGGATGCCTGCTTGGTCTGAGACGAGGACAGGGACTGGGACAGGGACTGAGACGCCTCAGGCTGGGACATCCCAAACTCCTGAGCCACTGCACACATTAAGATTAGTTTTCTTAATAATGATTTTAACATATGCAGTGTCATTAAAAAACGGATAATGTTTGGTACGTCCATGGAGCGAGCATTCACCAATGAGGCCAGGTCTTTGATGTGAAGGGTCAGACATCTTGGATCATAGGGGCTTGGGCGTGTAATCCCCCCAACCCCCAAGCATTATGGTATTGCGTGAGTAGTAATGAATACAGATGGGCCCTCCTGATTGAAACTGCAGAGCTGATAGGCTCACTTTGGTTCAGGGAATAATGCAGGGTGCAGATTGTTCTTTTTGGAGAAAGCTGCATCTAAGTTGTTGTTGCATCAGGACTTAAACACAGACCTTTGTCAAAGGGGTTGGCGGCGCTGCCCTTGTCCAGCTTCTGGCCTTCGTGTCTCTGCAGGTAGTTCTGCAGAGTGGATCTGAAGGAGAACATATCTATATCGTTTTGGTATTCAGACATTATAGGGGAATAAAAGAACATGGGATTCCACAGCATCAGTAACGGTTAAGATTTGTGAGTGAGAGTGTTACCTGGACTGAGCAAAGAGCACATCGTACACAGCCTGCTCGTCTTCAGACAGAGTGAGCTGGTGCAGCTGACAGCAGCGCTGTGGGAGGGACACCTACAAACAGAAACCAACTGTTCATACATTCCAGATCTACTGATACTACAGCTAATGTGTGCGGTCAGCCATACGCCAACGTAAGGCACCATACTTGCTGTTCTTATGTAGCATTTACAGATACTTGTCTCTGTATATGCTGTGTGCTCCTTGTGGGATATCATTAGCATCTGTCATTTATCAAAACAGAGTTGGAGTCTCTTTAACTAAAAGTAGAGTGTAACTGCCCCTTCTGCCACTAGATGGGGATGTGTAAGTCATCCTGACCATCTGTTCAACTTTATTCATGTTTATCCAAATAATTTCTATCCTTGACACCATCCTCAATATGGTTGTCGACCAGCGGCTTCCTACCAAGGGCTTTCCAGTGGCGTCCTGCTGGTCCTTGGTCCTCCGCAGCAGCAAGGTCTTTGTGAGGATGTTCAGCCTCTCTCGGCCTCTTTTGGAGCCGTTATCCACTTGAGCTTTCCACAGTTTGAACTCATCAAACGGAGAGCAGCGGAGGAACCTGCAAACACATAAGCCACAAACATAAATGTAGAAAACTGATCATTCTGAAGAGGATCATCATCTGCCTTAAAGACTAACCTAGAGCCTCATGAACTGGGCCAAGACAGTTCATGTGGAGTGCCTTAGTCAGTACACATTCATGCAATTGTGTTGTGTCCAGTGAAAAAGCTTTTCAATCTGCTTTCCTTCAGTTTGCATCAAGTTAAAACTGCTTTATTTACTCGTGAGGATTTTATTTCTTCACTAACCATTGCAATTATTTATGTTTAATGCTGTGTGTGTTTATGATAAACGAAAACATAAAGTGTTGTTCCATTTTTATGCGGATGGCTGTCAATTGTATGTGCCACTGACTCAGTCCAAGTCATTGATTGTATGTTTGGATGAGGTCAAAACATGGATGGCTTTTAATTTTTTGCATTTTAATAACAAGAAGACAGAGGTCATCATTTTCTCATCCACGGACAATGCCACAGCTGTTCCTGCTGAGCTTGCCCCCCTGGCCCAGGCTGTGAGCCCAGTAGGGACAAATCTTGGAGTAAAAATGGACTCCTCTTTAAAACTGGATGCCCAGATCAGTGCTGTTGTGAAGACCAGCTTTTTTCAACTGAGGCGACTTGCCAAAGTCAAATCGTTTTTATCTCGTCATAACTTTGAAATTTTAATCCATGATTTTATTACCTATCGCTTAGATTACTGCAATTCCCTCGATACCGGACTCAGTAAAACCTCACTTTCACGCCTTCAATTAATCCAAAATGCTGCTGCCAGACTCTTAACTGGCACACGCAAATTTGACCACATCACCCCTATTCTTTGTTCTCTTCACTGGCTCCCTGTGCACCTTCGTATTGATTTTCAGATTCTGTTATTTGTGTTCAAATGTTTGCATGGATTGGCCCCTCAGTATCTGACTGATCTGCTTGTGCCCCACACCCCGTCACGGGCACTAAGATCAGCAGACCAGGCTCTTTTAGTGGTCCCCAAGACCAGAAAGAAGTCAAGAGGGGATTGGGCTTTTGCAGCAGCAGCCCCCAGACTGTGGAATGGTCTGCCTCTGCATATTAGACTGGCGGACTTACTTCCTGTTTTTAAGTTGCTTCTTAAGACTCATCTTTTTACTTTGGCTTTTAACTCAGTGGGTTGACTTTCTGTGCAATTTGTATTCTTGTATATGTTTCTATATTATATTGTGTTTTTACTTGTGTTCAGCACTTTGGTCAACTGTGTTGTTTTTAAAGTGCTCTATAAATAGAATAATAATAAAGTTATTATTATTATTATTATTATTATGATCTTTATATAATATTTATAAACTGGGCAGACATACTTGAGCAGGGAGTACATGTCCAGCAGGTTGTTCTGGATGGGGGTCCCAGTCACTGCCCAGCGGGCCCCTGCCCTCAGCTGACACACGGCCACAGAGGTCTGCACTTTGGGGTTCTTGATGTTGTGAGCTTCATCCAGAATGATCCGGGCCCAGGACACTCTGAGCAGAGGGCTGGCATGGCGGGCCTGCGGGACACCACAGACTCAGAAAGAAATCTTTGTCTTTCAATCTCCAGAGGCAACCAAAAGCCATCAATGCAGCACGAGCTGCAGAAGCCCGCCTCCATAAATTCCTACTACATTTCTACATGGCTTCTATTTTTTTCTGAAGATCTAGGTATTGAAGCCTGATCCAACTCTCAAGTCAAAAGTCAAGTCAAGTCTTCTCTAGTTTCCATAGATTTTGCTACACCTCCTTTTTAGCAGACTAATGACAATTGACGACACGTCTGTAGAATTGATTGGGTCCAGCACTGGTACTGAAGATACTCTAGGGACCGGTTAAAACTGGTACTACCCTGTGCTAGTGCTGCTCAAAGGTGTGAGTGATGTGTGAGATCACTTAATATTCTAAAAAAATTGAACTGTCACAAATTATGATTCAGTATTTAGAGTGAAAGTTGGCCCAATAAGACACATGATAATGGACGTACCACTGGCCCCGCATCAGCGCCTGCACCCCCGTCCTCTGCACAGTCCTTTGGGGGGGGCATCTCCTTGGACACCAGGCCATATGTAGTGACCACCACGTCATGCTCGGCCAGTCTGAGACACAGAGGAAACACTTAGGAGTGAGCAGTACCGATGTCTGTCAAAACAAAACATGTTTTACTTTGGTTTCTGTTGGAGGATGAAATGAAAAGCAAAAACGACAGTGAACTCCTGTCCCTCCCGCAGGTGATGCATTCTTAAGACTGACCACAATTGAGACTAACCAGAATTGATCAATCCGTCTTCCTGCACAAAACTGAAGTTTTGAATGCGATTGTAAAGTCTCATTTCTGTTTGTAAAGTGATGTGTGTCTTGAACATAACTTTCATACCTTGTACTTCAGCCATTTTACTTTAAGTGTTCTTAATTTGCATATTGTATATCCGACTGTATTGAATATATTGTATTAAATCTACAAAACTACTTCAGATTTAATTAAAATGGAATTGGAGCAATAGCTAATTAACTTACGAGTCAATTAATCAATTATTTAGTCAAGGAATGAATAACAGGACATTGTACGCATGTAATCAGTTCTGATGTATTTACTCGTGCCGCAAATACTAGCTAATATCAATGTTAGTACTTAATACAAAGATTAAGTTTGGTTTAGTTCTCAAATATAAAAAAAAACGTAAAGCAGAAGTAAGCAATTTTCAGTCTTAAATAGTCATATCTTCCAATGGCGATCACTTATATAGTGTTGGGACCGAAACACGGATCTCTCAGGCACTCTGCTCCGCTGTGAAGTTGAGGAGAAAAGTTTTCTTGTATCCTACAGTTTTTATCCATTCAGGAGAGAGAACGGCATGACAAGGTGTTTCGCGCACACACAGGGCAGAAGTGGCAGGTGGGCTTTGATGCTAACAGAGTTAAGCTAGTGGCTTTTTGTGTAAAGTTCTCAAAGAATGCAGCTCTGCAGCGTCTCTGTGTCCAGAGACCTTCCAGAGAATTTATATAACATCAGTCTGTGTTCATGGAGCTGCGCTATGAGTTTATTTTATTATCAAAAGGTACTTCCGCATTGGCAAACACGTTTGCAGCACTTATTTACGGTCACGGGACACTGGAGGCATATTGTCACAAGCACTGTGTCCCCCATTGTCAGTCCTGGTTTAGTCCTGGTCTTCTCCCTCTGTCCCCGTGACCACCTTGCTGCTCTCTGATTGGTAGCCGCAACCATAGACTGTAAAGTCAAGGAGGACTATGCGGGATCATGTGGTGGCATAGGGACAGGGGCGGGGCTGCTAACTCGCTCGGGCGCTTACTGCTGCTTTAAGTTATGTGATAAAGACTTTAAACCCCCAAGGTTTCAAAATGTAGGTAGAACCAATTTGTGGCAGAAGTTCCTGATATCAGCGCTTCATGGAGCTAAAAGCAACAAATACATGTGTGGTGCTGAGGTGGTTTTGTTTGCAGGCTTCTTTCTTGCACATGTGTGTAGTGGTGGAAGAGCAGGCTCACATCTTGGCCTTCTTCTCACGGTTGGGCCCATGGTACAGGTAGACTGAGAGCTTGCCAGGCCTCACGTGCCGTTCCACCTCCTTTTTCCAGTGGTGAACCAGAGAGGCTGGGCAGACGATCAGAGTGGCCCTGGAGCTGACCAGGCTGGAGTCTGGAACACACACACAAACGCACTCTTTAACTACTTTTTAAGGAATAATATGCCGCCCTCTATCTTCAGCGTTCTCATCTTTTATATATCTATTATATTTAGTTTTGAAACGGTAGACTGTTAGTAGATCAAAATACAATAAAATCCCGAATCCAGGGCCTTGTAAGGGGATTTTAATGTTCCTTGACTGTGCAAACTCTAAAATGTACAGAAATAGTGAGTAACTAAGTAAATAATCTTTATGTCCGCTTGAAATTACAGTCGTGAACTACAACAAAGTACAAACTTCACCATATTCAATATATGGATTGCCCAGAATACATACATTTATAAATTTGGATCTAAAGGAGAAACTTACAAAGCTTTGAATATGGCCCCTTCATCTAATAGACTTTTCTTTAAAAGAGCAAACCTTTCTTGGAGATCCAGGCCTCTGCCCCTGCCTCCCTCTGTGTGCTCTTCTTGGCCAGGATGAGGGCGATCATGGTCAGCGTTTTGCCCAGACCCATGTCATCAGCTGAGGCACAAACATCATCATCATGACCACAGAAGGTGTGACAGCAGGAAACCAAGTTTTTGGATTTGTTTATTGGCTGGTGTAATTTGCGGTAAGAAGTATGGATCTGAACTACCGGTAATCTGAGATCGAAATGCATATATTGTTTGGCCTCAACTACAGGTGAGAATTACCATCTGTAGATAAAGAAAGATTTAGTTGATTACAAAGAATTTATATAGTTTATGGCCCAAAATATACATTTCTATTTGATTGTGCTGAACCTTGCCCTCGGCTCCTCTCACCCAGTGCGAGGAGAGTGTGCGGCGCTTACCCAGAATACCTCCACAGGGATTCTTCTCCTCCCTCCAGAGTAGCCAGGCCAGAGCCCTCTTCTGATGGGCCATCAGAGGAACCTACACACAGCACACATCATGTCAAGGAGGGAGACACGTCTCTACCTGAGACCAGGCTTTAAACAGAATTCTTTGATTCAGACTGACAGATTTAGTGTGACTCCCCCATGTGGCGGGTGCAAACACTCCACCTGCTTCACCACATCATGTTTGGAGAAGTCATCAAAAGAAATAGGTCTTTGACCAATAACAAATGTGCAATTCAATACTTTGACCTGCTTCATTGTCAAAAAAGTGTTTTATTAAAAACGTTTCCTGTACGTTTATATCCGGTTCCTGCACGGTGAGTGTAAGGTGTGTGTGGCGAATGAGGTTTTTTTGTATTTAGATCCCCATTAGCTACTGAAACATACAGTAGCTATATTCTTCCTGGGGTCTATCTACTCATCAATGTCACTTTGACCTGAAAATTTGATAAAAATGACTGTACAGACAAAAGATTTGCTATAACCTGTCTGTGTGTGTGTACGAGGTGTGTGTGCGAGGTGTGTTGGACCTTGATGCCTGGGGGCTCAGGGGCCTCGCTGTCCGCCCCGGGGCAGGTCTCCAGAGAGGCGTGCATGTGCTCTATGGCCTCACAGGTGGCGTTCTTCACGGCCAGCAGCCGGTCCTCCGTCATGCGGCCTCCGTACAGTGCCTGGGCCTGGGCCTGGGCCTGGCTCTGGAGCTGAGCTGCACACAGAGTCTGTCCTTCAGACACTTCACTTTCACTGACACCTATGAACCTGTCAGTCTCACATCCTCATTCTCACTGTTCCTTAAAGGACAACTCACCCTCAAATCCACTTTTTTTTGCTGATAAACGGTATAAATGAGTGTCCAATAGTGTTGTCTACATATCCTGGTCATAATTTTGTCACTTTGGTGCAAATTAGTTGAAAGTTAAACTTTCTGCCTAAAACCGTCTGTGAGGCACCATCTGCTGGCGACCTGTATTACTACGATTGAATTTTGAATCTGGCGCCAACACTGACGTCTGAAGCAAGACCTGACGTCTGAAGCAAGACCTGACGTCTGAAGCAAGACCTGACGTCTGAAGCAAGACCTGACGTCTGAAGCAAGACCTGACGTCTGAAGCAAGACCTGACGTCTGAAGCAAGACCTGACGTCTGAAGCAAGACCTGACGTCTGAAGCAAGACCTGACGTCAGCAGCCCCCCGCCCAGAGCAATGTAAACGGCCCAGTCTCGTTCACGCCCCCTTTAGTCCTCCAGGCTACGCCCATTTAGAGGAAGATTTGAACAGGAAATGTGAGTGACGTAAGCTCCGAGGAGCGGGGGTGAGAACCTCTTTAAAAAAAAGTAGGAGAAGCAGCTTTCTCCCATGATGCTTGTTGTAAATGGAACGCTCTGTCCAATGACATCACCTGTGCCCCGACACTGAGTCGAAAGAAGAACTTAACTTTCTTCTAGACTTTTAGCCACTTTTTGTCTCTTTTCGTAACGTTTTTGCAGCAGATTTACTGTGTGGGCCCTTTACCCATCAGCACCAAACAAGCTCAGCTATAAAGTCGCAGAAGATCATTATGGAAATGTGACAGCTGCCATCTATCTATAATAACGACAGCACTGTTTTCTGACATGCTGGATTTGTGTTAGTCGTCCTGTGAATTCTAATTTGGTGGTTTAAATGCCATTGTGTTTACGTTCTCTATCAGTAACAAGCACACGTTCTAAAAGCCTTTAACAAGCACAGTCTTGGGTCTAACCTGGTCATGCTTCAAGTGGTACCTGTTTGTGGCGGGGCAGGGAGCAGGACTGTTCCTCCAGGACGACTGCATGGCTTCAGAGGAGCGCAGGCTGTGACACTGGAAACTCCAGGCTCAGGACCTGCAAACACACAGGCTGTTTGTTTTGCAGCAGTCTTTGAGCTTCAACCAGATGCATAAAGGAGAAATGCAAGAACAGGCCGGATTCAGTTATGGATCACTTTCAATTTCCACTTTAAAGTGATTGTCTGGAGTTTGTCAGAAAGAGAAACCGAGAGGTACTTGATTTGAAAAAAAACGACGCAAGCTCCCTCCCCCTTCCTTTCTGATTGGTCTACACCTACGTTTCCGTAACACTTTAAATGTTAATCTGAGAACACATTATACATATACATTATTAATACACATGCACGGAGGTTTTCAGAATTATTTGTTAACATTTAATGAAAAAAAATAATGTTTTTATGCACAAAAAAAGCGATCGCGGCAAACCCGGAAGTGCTATTATCATGAATTGCACATTATAGGACACATCTGCAGAGGATCTGATTATGGATATAGGTTCAGTATAGAAATGATTATGGATATAGGTTCAGTATATAAATGATTATGGATATAGGTTCAGTATATAAATGATTATGGATATAGGTTCAGTATATACATAAGTACCTCAGCGCAGATGTTCAGAATTCTTTGTTCAGTTTTTATGTTGTTCCACAGCCTAATAGAGGCTTGATTCGGAGGCTCCGCGAAAACAAACAACTGAGCATGCGCGGAGCTGCGAGCATCAGCGCCGATGATTGACAGCCCTTGGCATGACTCGATTGGTTAACCTCGACGGCACCGTGGATTCTGAGCTATAGCTAAGAGAATGTTTTATATCAACATTTAAGGCCAGGAGGTCAATTTAACACATTTCCTAAAAATTGTAATTCATTTAGAGTTACAGACTATCACTTTAAACTACTTAAATGAGACAGGACCTCGGTTTGAACCTATATGGAACAGTTGAATTTTCTGGGATTTTATTGTGAATCATGAATATGTGTGTGTGTGTGTTTATGAGTATGTACAGTATGATTATGTTTGTGTGTTTGTATTTAAGAGTGTGTGTGCGTCTGTCACCTGGCTCAGAGGGGGCAGTCAGACAGAGGGCGTCTAGAGCGTCCTCCAGCTCCTTCACCTGCGTCTTTAAACGAGCTCCTTTATCAGGGAGGACTCCCAGGTTCACTGCAGCCAGAGTGGCCTGGACACACACAGGGAATGAAACACACAACACAGTGTTAAAAATGATGCAACCACTGTTCATTCTTGTTATTGTTGTTTGTGGGGGTTAAATTCTAAAGATAAACAAGTTGTTTGTAATTAGTTTAAAGTAATATATTTTATTTATTAGAGCACCCAATTACGTTACTATGTCCATGAATGAAAACAGATGTGTTTCCATTCTCTCCACACACTGTTGACAGAAGCGAGCCAACAAACATTCTGGTGCATCAAAGCCTCTGACCATCATCCATTCATACACACTTGTTTCATCTGATCTTGTATTTCTCTGATATTACACATGTTAGAATGTGTGTGAGATATAAAGACACGGCAATAGTCCTCTTTCTAAACACAAAGAGAAAGACACACACACACACACACACACACACACATACACATAGGGACAGAGAAAGAGCGAGAAACAGAGATACAGGAACACAGATGCAGAGAGAGAAACACAGGGACAGAGACACACACACACAGGGACAAAGAGAGAGACACACACGGCGAGAGAGAGAGAGAGAGAGAGAGAGAGAGACAGACAGACAGACAAGGACAGAAAGAGAGAGACAGAGACAGAAAGAAACAGACACACACAGGAACAGAGAGAGAGAGACAGACAGACACACAGGAACACAGAGAGAGAGAGAGAGAGAGACACACACAGGGACAGAGAGAGAGAGACACACGGCAAGAGAGAGCGAGAGAGACAGACACACACACAGGTCCAAAGAGAGAGAGAGAGAGACAGACACACACACAGGGACAGAGAGAGACACAAGGCAAGAGCGAGAAAGAGCGAGAGAGACAGACACACACACACACACAGGAACAGAGAGAGAGAGACAGACACACACACAGGGACAGAGAGAGACAGACACAAACGGCGAGAGCGAGAGAGACAGACACACACACAGGAACAGAGAGAGAGAGAAAGAGAGAGACAGACACACACACAGGGACAGAGAGAGAGAGACACACAGCGAGAGCGAGAGAGAGAAACACACAGACACAGAGAGAGAGACACAGGGACAGAAAGAGAGAGAGAGAGACACACAGGGGTAGAGACAGACAGAGAAACACACACACAGGGACGGAGAGAAAGAGACAGACACACACAGGGACAGAGAGAGAGAGAGAGAGACAGAGACACAAAGAGAAACAGAGAAAGAAACCGTGAGCAAGGCCTCGAGGGACCACTGTACAGCAGTAAAGAGTAAAGACAGTACAGTATAGAGCTAAAAGCCACTGGTCTATGAGGACACACACCTTCTTCTGCTGAAGCTGAGAGGAGAGCAGGCTCCGGAGTCCCTGGGAGTCCCCTGACGGAGGTTTGGGGGCCTTCTGGAAGCCTGGAAAGGTGGTCAAGGCCTTCTGTATGGGGGCTTTTTGAGGAGGGGGCAGCACTGACACCAGGACCACCTCGTCCTCATCCTCTGGCTCCTGCGGCCGCTCTGAGAGACCAAGACGGACGAGCACAAACATGAATTTACGTACATTTTGGGACAATTTCCATCATAGCCAGAGTATAAAACAGCAATATAAATATGTGTGCCAAGTCATGCTTTTAAAATATAAATATAAATTACTGAATGCTTTTTATTCTGTTTAAAAAAGCTGGTCTAAAGATGACAAAGAAAAGTTCAACAATACATGTGAAATTTGTGATTTTACACTAAACTGTTTTGAGGGCAAATAATTAGCTAGATGGATTTAATTTTATTAGTTCGAAAAAGGGTGGGATGAAATGTAGGCACTGTAGCTTTAAGATGTAAATATTTGGCCAAACTGGGAGGAAATTGGGGACATTTTCTATCCATCTTCTTGAAATGCCAGTCTAAATCTCACCTCTATATGAAGTAAGCGCAGGGATGATAGCAGGGACTGTGCTGAGAGCCTGATCCACCTCAGCTTTGGTCAGTTTCCCCCGGTCTGTGCTTTGGTCCTTTGATCCCTCGGCTTTGGTCTCTTTCCCCTCAGCCCTGGTCTCTTTCCCCTCAGCCCTGGTCTCTTTCCCCTCAGCCCTGGTCTCTCTCCCCTCCCCTGGGATCTGGCACTTCTTCACTTTCATGCCTGGTGGGAGGACTCTGTGCTGGGACCCGGTCTGCAGCCCCAGCCTCTCGTTCTCCTTGGCCTGGGTCCTGGGGTCTCCACTCTGGATCTTTCTCCACGCAGAGTCTTGGGCACTGGCGGGGGCTTTGAAGGGGTTCCGCACAGGGGCCACGCAAGACGGCTGCAACTGGCTCTCGGCTAAAGGATTCCTCTGGTCTTTGTGGGGCTGCTTTGACAGAAAAAATAAGATGAACTTTATGGATATGTCCAAACAAGATATGTCCGAACATGTTAAGAAGTGAGAAGTCTCTATTGATCAAGATATATTATGTAATCAAATGAATAGTGACTCTAGCAGAAAGGAGCTTAGGACGGTCTTATTTGTTCCTATCGGTGCCATCACTATTGGCGTCATCAATGAGAAATAAGAAGGGAGATGTTCTGGACACTTCTTCATAAATTAAGAAAAAAAACAGCACAAGAAATCTGACTTCTATTTCATACAGTGTAACGTCGCTTATGGCTGATGTTCGGTCTTGATACAATTCTTTATGAATATTGTGTTTGTAGTTTATATGGTGCAATTTTTACATAATTTATAAAATACATACAGTATTTGATGACAAACCAGTTGTTTACATTTTTTTCCAAAGGGAAAAAAATAATCCAATTAAGAAGTAAGTCATTTTTCCCCAATTTGCCTCAATATAAATATGAATGTGGTGGTCCGACCCCATCACCATCAGATGGAACTCCTTAGTACCAGCTCACTAAAGAAGAACCTGGTATTGGTTAAACAGGGCCGGTGGAAATAGTGAGACATAATAGCCCTAGACGGCCCTATGTGCATTTACTTACATTTGTCCATGGCACATTTCCACACCACTTCTGTCCAGCTTTTTTACCCACAATGCAGCGGTAGAACAACCTAAGGAGCAACAACATGAGGGATGAAAAGAAAGTACTATTGGAATCAAACAGTATATTAATAATAATAATATTGTTGTTTTACAATAAATTAAACATGTCAAATGTGAAAAAAACTTTAAAATCCCACTCCTTTTAAGTTACAAGTACATGGAATAACATCGGGTTTCCTCCGATGTTTTCCTACCTACATTTATCTGGACTTACATTTACATTACTCAGACTCCCACTGATGACTGCTGTCGTTGTGTCCTTGGGCAAGTCACCCAACCCCACTTTCCCTGAAGCCTCTGCTGAATAATCAAGGCTTCTGTGGACTCACCACCTGCAGGAGGATCAGTGAGGGGCTGGTGCTCTGTGTACTGGGTGCAGCTCTGACTGCCATCCCCCTGACCCAGCAATGGATTAAGGGGAAGAAAATGGATGGATGGACTGACAAGTTATTTTCCAAATTTTAGAGCCAGGAGGTATTTAAAGCAGCTTTGAGCAGTTACCACCATCAGACGTTCAGGAGGCTCCTAAATACTGTTGCTTTGCGATTTAAAATTATACTTTTTAATCCTGGCTTTGCCCTGATCAGCTGCAGATACCAGTCTGATGATGACATTCCCACACACAGAGCTGAACTCTGCAGTGGAGCTGGAGGTGTGGCCACGAGGGCTGGGATCAGAGTTCTCAGTATAAGAAGGAAACATTATAACAATATAATGCTGGGAATAATCTTCAAAACTTCAACTTAATAAAATAATTATGTAATAAATTCTTATTGCTCTCGATAGTCAATAATAAACCGTTTTCCTCCATCACTAGTTTTCACATGCATGTGTATTTTAACTGTCAAATCTTTGGATCAGGTACATTGGGTAAACCAGGTACACAAGCATATGGTCACAGCGGGTGTCGTCATGGCAGAGCTGGACACTGGAGCTTGCTCACACCTGGTCCTCGGGGGGGGCAAGGCTTGCAGGTCTCTGTGTATAAATATTGTGGTGAGGGTCACCTTTTCAGAGTGCAGTAACACAACGGGAGAGAATACCTTATTTTTTTACATTGACACAGTTACTATCAAAATGTTTTGCAGAGTGTACCGCCTTCACCGGTTACCATGAGACCCCTGGTCGGAAGTTTTGCCCCACTTGAGAAAAAGTGTGGTTCAGGCCAAAATCACCAGTACGTAGAACACAAATGCAGCATTTCAGTTTTATGCCATTCTTCAAAATTATACGAGTATTACCGCAAATGGTGTTAAATTGTCCAGCCCAAGTGGCCAGAAGTGCTACGGTTCGTAAACAGGGGAAGAGTAGTGCACAATCTGACACAGCCATGTCCGGTCACAGTGTACCCACCTGTAGGTCTTCTGCTGCTGGCTGTAGGTCAGGGCCTGGAGCTCTACGGTGGAGTCTTCATGCTGGAGGCAATGTGATGGAGGGAGGCTACAAACAGGTGCGAATGTAGACGTCACACAAACCATTAGACATTAAAATAACCAAAGAACTCACAGAATACTGTAATAATAATAATAAGAAGTCTGTATTTAGAGCTCACCTGGCTGGTTGGCTGAAGCCACAGCCCGCCTTGTCAACACACACATAAAAGCTTTTGCCTTTGTTCGGCCCGTCCTTGACGCCCGTTTTAAGCATGCACACAGCTCCTGAAACACACATATGCATTCACTTTGTTCTTTTACTTGCTTCATATTCTCTTAGCTTTTTGTTAATTTTTCTTCAAATAATAATTTTTCAAATAATTGATGTTATGTACCTGGGCCTTCCCATACCTGACTTATTGGCAAGTAGATATGACACCAGATGGAAGTCAGACTGTATGTTATGAAAACTACAACAACTTCAGTGACTTCAGTGAAAATCTTGTCCACTTGTGTTCTCAACCTCCACCATTCAGATCTCTCCCAACGGGAAAGACGATGGATATGATACTAAAGATTAGTTATTTCATACAGTGTACCTTTGTACCTTTAAGCCAATGTGAACTCTGTCTTTGTGTCACACGAATTTGGTGACAATGAAACCCCACGTCTTGGAGAGAGGGAGAGATAAAGGCGACATCCTGATGCACATGGCTGTCTGCCCTCTCACACAAATCTGTTTGTGTCATGCTCGCGCCCCTCAAGCAGGAGGTGCAGGTTTGTGTCTGAGTCGAGCTGAGCAGAGGACGTGGAATCCTGAAGTCAGGGTAGAGGAATGACGACGCGTGTATATGAGGGTATACATAACATTGCACTATAAAAAGGTTTTGTGTGTGTGAATAACTAAACAACTACAAGATGTAGTTACATCAGTTAAGACTATATCTTCCGTGAACCAAACTAAGAACTCTGCCTGGACTGGTCCTGAATCAGCTTTGTTTTCCACCAGAGAAATTGTTCTTGTTGCTAGTCACTATAGCACTATAACACACAGTTTACTTGCAGCAGTTATGGCAGATTTATGGACATTTATCAACATTCATGGACATTGGTCAACTCTCCCAATGGACCAATACATATGTGTTCTAAATTTGATGTGTCTTAACTGTTGATTCTCTGATACATGTTGGTTTTGTTAAGTCCTCTGAGATGACTACTGTTGTGATTTAGGGCTATACAAGAATACATTGAATTGAATTAGTTAGCATTTAACCAAACTGTTTTTGATGGATTTGAAGTTTCATTAACCAGTTTAAGCAATTGTTAAAAGTCAGTAAAGATGAAAAAAACTTTACAAAATGACTAACTTAAAGTAAAAATTGAGGAAAACTAAGATTTTGGGGGATTTCTCAGAATTCACTTTCACGTTTGATTGGGAGCAGTCAGAATACCAAGAGTCCCAGTGTTAATTGCCCCACTAAAATATACTTGTCTTGTAAAAGCAACCAGGTCTTTTGGGGTTTGACTCTACAAGGGTCAGACAGAAGCCCATTACTCTTTACAAAACAACTCCAACTGTCAGATTAGATGGGGAGCGTTAGTGAGCAGTAGTTTTGAGGTCTTTTAAACAGATTTTCTATTGGATTTAGGTCTGGACTTTGACTGGGCCTTTCAAACACATTTCCATTGCAGCTGTAGCTTTGGGGCTTTAGGTCATGTCTTGAAGCTACACAAATGAATGACTAAGGTTTTCCACTCACTGACAGACAGGACACAGGGGCACAAAGGCAAAACAAAGACAAATATGACGTGTGTGAGAGCTTGTAGAGCACTGAAGCTGAGTCTGGAGCTGGAGCTGAAGCTTACCGTGACTTTGACACAGCACTTTGTCCATGTTCCTGGAGTCCGGAGTCAGTTAGCTTCTGTTGTGAACGAGAGAAACTTTGTATAGACCAATCCACGCGCGCGCACTGCACATCCGGTAGAAAGTTTCAGTATACAACATAACGCTAACATAAAATCTGATAAAATCACAACACAGCACAGATTTAACAAGGGACATTACACTTTACACATTTAACGTTTTAGATCACAGACTTCATGCAACAAATAGAGCAAAATGTACGTTCAATTATCATTTGCCGAGTTTTATTACTATTATTGTGAAAGAAAAAGACACGACACTTCTGAATCCAGTGCTTCTTTAAAGTGTTTTAGGAGGATTTTCCCAACTTTTAGGAAAGAATAACCAATAGCCTTGATGATACATACTCCCCTCCCTTTTAGAACACAGCATATGACAACAACCATAAACATACACATTTTACATCCAATTTTTTACTGAAAGGACATACAGCTGTGAGGTGAACGCAAAATGATACATGTCTGTTATTAAAATAGAAAACCAAGAAACTTTATTTATATACCTCCCGAAGGTTTCTCACATTTTCTCTGTTTTTTTTTTTTTTTAATTATTATAGATCCATGGTTGTTCCTTGCCAAGTGGTGATGAAAATAAATTAATAATTGACTATATTACAAAAGCTGCGATGGACTGCGTATTTGGATCTCAGCAAGAGTCTATCCCTCAAAAATAGACTGCAGTGGTATCATCCCACCTTGATAGACATTAATGCGCTACCGCTCCCAGAGAAAGAAGAACCAAAAACTCCAACACCCAGAGTTCTTTTCGCGCATAGCTCCTCCCTGGCCGCGCCCCTCGCCCCGCCCCCTCGCTCCGCGGCGGGCTGCTTAGTGATGGCGGTGCTTCCAAACTTCTGTTTTGGTGACAACGAAGGTTTCTGAAGTAATACTGGCCTCCTACTAACCCAGACAGAGGTAAATATAAGCTCCTGACAAGCGTGTGCCGTTTTACTTTATGTTATATTTATTTAAAACAAAAGTGGGAACAACAAATCCTGAAGAATCATAACGTAGCTTTATTATGATCCAGTTATTGTAACATTTAAGACACTAGGTCCTCTATCAATGGTTTATAACAGAAGGTAGCTTATGTCTTCAACGGCACCTAGCGTTACCCCCTAATGTTCATTGTTTATATCAGAAATGAATGTTTGATTTGCAAATGTGTAGCATCAACTATAGTTTAGTTAAATAGTTAAATGTAATGGAGACGATCAGGTGGCATCACCAGATTAATAGGTTGCATATGCATGTGACATCACATCGGTCCTGAGAGAGCAGTCAATTTGACCGCTTTTCGTTTTGGAAGTGTTCATTCCTTATGTTGGTTTTCATTCCTTATGTTGGTTTTCATTGTTCATTCCCATTGTTGGTTTTCATGACTTTGTGACTTTTTTATCGTTTCTATATGTTTACTTCTGTGTAGCTAATTAACTATGTTTATGAAATCGTCTCGACGCTAGACTGATCCTAGACTGATCCTGGACTGATCCTGGACTGATCCTAGACTGATCCTAGACTGATCCTAGACTGATCCTAGACTGATCCTGGAATGATCCTGGAATGATCCTGGACTGATCCTGGACTGATCCTGGACTGATCCTGGACCGGTGCTGGGCTGGTCGTGGACTGGTGCTGGGCTGGTCTTGGACTGGTGCTGGGCTGGTCTTGAACTAATCTTGAACTGGTCCTGAACTGATCCTGGACTGGTTCAGATCAATCTCAGTTTGGAGCAAGTGCTGGTTACCATAACAACACTTGCAGCAGTTAGGGTACATTTTTGCTTTATTTCAGTCATATTCACCAATGTTAGCATGATTTTAACGAAAATAGTGAAAATAGTGAAAAAAGATGTTTCTATGTTTTTTCATAGCAATGCACATGGGGTTGGTCATGTACGTTTTTTCTTTTATTAGTCCACCTCTTGCTGAAATTGTTCATAGAATTATTAGTTTGAAACCACAGAAAACGCACTTGGTTGTAGATCCAGGACTGAGGCTGTAGATCCAGGACTGAGGCTGTAGATCCAGGACTGAGGCTGTAGATCCAGGACTGAGGCTGTAGATCCAGGACTGAGGCTATAGATCCAGGACTGAGGCTGTAGATCCAGGACTGAGGCTGTAGATCCAGGACTGAGGCTGTAGATCCAGGACTGAGGCTGTAGATCCAGGACTGAGGCTGTAGATTCCAGGACTGAGGCTGTAGACCCAGGACTGAGGCTGTAGACCCAGGACTGAGGCTGTAGACCCAGGACTGAGGCTGTAGACCCAGGACTGAGGATGTAGACCCAGGACTGAGGCTGTAATCAAAGATGACTCACCACAAGCCTTTAAACTTTACATAGAATACCGTGGTTTAAGTTCTCCTCCTGTACTTTGAACCTTATCCTACCATCAGAATAGAAATGGTGCATGAAAATGCAGTCTGAAAATAGGACATTGGTTCCCAATGGTGTTCCTGTGGACTCACCACCTGCAGGAGGATCAGTGAGAGGCTGGTGCTGTACTGGGTGCAGCTCTAACTGCCACCCCCCCGACCCAGAAATGGATTAAGGGGAAGAAAATGGATGGATGGGTGGGTTCCAAATGGTGTTAACTTGACTCTCGACAGATTCTTGTAGTTCCGCCATGTTCCACCAGAGGCGTTTTGCTGAGCTCACACATGGATCTGGGATCAAGGACAATGCAAACTCCATCACTTTTTAAGACGTGACGGAGCACCAAAGCAACTGTTTGATTCAAACAAACATCAATGTCAGAATTCAGCGAGGAGTTGTGTGGTTTGATGTGAGTGCTTGGAAGTAGCACGTTAAGTAGTTTATCCAGTCACATACAATGATTTTTTTTTTACAAGGCCCTGCCTTCTGAAATACATCTCAGCTACAATTACAAGGATCTGGTGAGAGTCAAGGTTAATGGTGCAGCCCTAGTATCTATAAATACTCTGCCTTTTGACTCAGTGAAGTGTCTAACATGCGCGCATAATCTGTCTTCAATCCGGGATTAGGTCATGTTCTCAGTCCTCTCCTGCCCCAGGTCTGCAGGCTCAGTGATGCCCTCCCCCAGTTCCGTGGGCTCCGCGGCTCCAGAGGACTCTCACAGTCTCTGGATGACATGCAGAGCGGGGGTCATCCTCCGGCCGGGCCCAGACCCTGCTCCTGGGGATGCTCCGCCTCCACCTGCCTCCACGGTACGAAGACATCTGCTTTAAGCTGTATAGAACATGTCTCAGGATACACTCAGGGCTATTGTATGTATTACATGTGTTTTATAATTAGGCTTAATTCCTTTAATGATTAGGAAGTTTCCTGGTGTTAATGTTAGTAGTTTGTTTACAGTCTTTATGAGTGTCATCAGCTAAATACTTGTCATTATTGTTGCCACTTCCAATTCCTGATGGATAAAACATGATTTATTATTTTATTGCTGTAGCGGGTTCAACACTAAATACTTTGCTGTTTAATTATTTCTATTATGCTCTCATTCTCTCAAAGTTGTGTTTATTTTTTTCTTATTATTTAGTTATACTATCTTTATATGAATTAGATGTATTGTTCGTTAATAAATATACATTAGAACTGTCCCACCCAAAATTTTTTTTATCACAATTAATCGCATGAATGTCATAGTTATATGACTGATTAATTTACTTTTGTTTAGAATCATTGACAAACTAGATGCATGCAATGAAACGTGTATTAGCATGAATGAAGACACTGGGATGCATCAGTGTTGTAGACTGGGTCATAGGGATTTTGGGTCACACAGCAGCACCCTTGCTCAGGTGTTAACTTCTACTTAATTGTTCCCATGCCATAGACCTACCTATTGTACATGTTTTCAGCGGAAACAGGAGAAGCCAGAGGAAACAGGGGAAGAACATGCAAACTCCACCTAGAATGGCCCTGTCCTAATGCATTATGGTGCCAGGCACATGTTAAAGAAACGTATCCTAGATAATATATCCTGTTTGATGTGTGCATAACCTTTGTCTCTTATTTCCTCCTTTTATTCTGCTGTAATGTCCAACAATGACGATATTTCCACTGAGGGACGAATAATGGTTATTTTTCTCTGTATAAAGCAGGCAGCAGCTTCTTTGATCAAAGCAGAGTATTGGGTGTGTGTGATTGACTCATTGTTGATATATGTTGCAGGCCTGCTCCCCGAGGCCCGATGACTCCTTCTTGGGTCACTTTGCTCCTCTGCAGGCCTCGGCGGACAGCAGTTGTGTGGCCCTGGAACCTCTGAGTGACATGGAGCTAAACGAGGACGCTGCAGTTGAGTGTCTGGACGAGCCCCCTGGAGCCGCTCTGGTCATGAAGCTGGAACAGGTGCTGTCCACTCACCACTGAACCACTTCTAGAGCGTTAGGCTGCAGCTCAGGTACTTTAAAACTGTGGAAGGGGAGACGGCTGTAGAGGGAGACGGCTGTAGAGGGAGACGGCTGTAGAGAGAGAGGGCTGTAGAAAGTACTATTGTTCTGACTAGACACAATGCTTCTGTTGAATGATTGGAGAGCTCCCTTCTACTCCCATTCTCATTGCTGGTGGTTTTGTCAAGGGGAGACATCATATTTAATGAGTAATAAAACATACTTTCCACTGTTATGGTGCCAGGTTGTAAACCATTCAGAAAACTCGTATTCCAGAAGTTTGTCTGGGCACGTGGCCCTCTCACTCTCATATGTGTCGAGCATTTCCAGAGTGACATAAGCAAACCATAAAGTAGTTCTAACTAACTTTGTTTTTCTCTCAGTTACTCTGTCTGATGGTTCTGATATCCTAGTTTGTCCCAAAAATGTTGAATGTTGAAGGAACACAATGCGTTGACAGAATAATTCATGCAAAAGGAGGCGACAACCTGAGCCGCCTGGCAGACGGAGTTTCTCCATTTTCTCCACCTCCAGCAGCAGAAACCTCTGCCCCCGGTGGTGACTCCGGAAGGGAAGGGATGCCTCAGGCCTAAAAAGGAGGCCTAAGAAGGTGGCCTATCGAGCCATGATGGATGGTGGGGGGCGCCTCCCCCGTGACCTGGCTACAGATGAAGCGGAGGAAAATGGTTGGATGGATAGATTGAGGCAACGACCAAGTTTTTTGATTGCACTTCTGTGAACGATTGTGAAAAGTGAAAAGATACGTTAGAATTGAAATACATCATGTGGCAGAAACATTTATTTACATAACATTGTGTGTGTGTGTGTGTGTCTGCGTGTGTAGCTGAGGCAGTGGCAGCAGCAGATGCAGCAGCAGCTCCGGTCGCAGCAGATGCAGGAGATTCTCCAGCTGCAGCAGGAGCAGCACAGACTGTTGGCCCTGGTGAACCACACAGGTACCACTGCATCATGGTTTGTTTTTTGTTTGTTCCAATGCACATTCAGAGACAACAGAAATAGAAGTTTAACTATACGTTCATCAAGGGTCAATACTGGGACCCACATTCTTCATAGTGAACACACACATACAGGTATATATACAGTTGGGCAAGAAAGTATTTAGTCAGCCACCGATTGTGCTAGTTCTCCCACTTAAAATAATGACAGAGGTCTGTAATTTTCATCATAGGTACACTTCAACTGTGAGAGACAGAATGTGAAAAAAAAATCCTGGAATTCACATTGTAGGATTTTTAAAGAATTTATTTGTAAATTATGGTGTATAATAAGTATTTGGTCACTTCAAACAAGGAAGATCTCTGGCTCTCACAGACCTGTAACTTCTTCTTTAAGAAGCTCTTCTGTCCTCCACTCGTTACCTGTATTAATGGCACCTGTTTGAACTCGTTATCTGTATAAAGGACACCTGTCCACAGCCTCAAACAGTCAGACTCCAAACTCCACTATGGCCAAGAGCAAAGAGCTGTCGAAGGACAGCAGGAAAAGAATTGTAGACCTGCACCAGACTGGGAAGAGTAAATCTTCAATAGGCAAGCAGCTTGGTGTGAACAAATCAACTGTTGGAGCAATTATCAGAAAATGGAAGACATACAAGACCACTGATAATCTCCCTCAATCTGGGGCTCCACGCAAGATCTCATCCCGTGGGGTCAAAATGATCATGAGAACGTGGAGCAAAAATCCCAGAACCACACGGGGGGACCTGGTGAATGACCTGCAGAGAGCTGGGACCAAAGTAACAAAGGTTACCATCAGTAACACGCTACGACGACAGGGAATCAAATCCTGCAGTGCCAGACGTGTCCCCCTGCTGAAGCCAGTGCATGTCCAGGCCCGTCTGAAGTTTGCCACAGAGCACATGGATGAAACCAAAGTAGAACTGTTTGGTATAAACTCGACTCGTCGTGTTTGGAGGAAGAAGAATACTGAGTTGCATCCCAAGAACACCATACCTACTGTGAAGCATGGGGGTGGAAACATCATGGTTTGGGGCTGTTTTTCTGCTAAGGGGACAGGACGACTGATCCGTGTTAAGGAAAGAAAGAATGGGGCCATGTATTGTGAGATTTTGAGCCAAAACCTCCTTCCATCAGTGAGAGTTTTGAAGATGAAACGTGGCTGGGTCTTCCAGCATGACAATGATCCCAAACACACCGCCCGGGCAACGAAGGAGTGGCTCCGTAAGAAGCATTTGAAAGTCCTGGTGTGGCCTAGCCAGTCTCCAGACCTCAACCCCATTGAAAATCTGTGGAGGGAGTTGAAAGTCCGTGTTGCTCGGCGACAGCCCCGAAACATCACTGCTCTCGAGAAGATCTGCATGGAGGAATGGGCCAAAATACCAGCTACTGTGTGTGCAAACCTGGTAAAGACCTATGGTAATCGTTTGACCTCTGTTATTGCCAACAAAGGTTGTATTACAAAGTATTGAGTTGAATGTTGTTATTGACCAAATACTTATTTTCCACCATAATTTACAAATAAATTCTTTAAAAATCCTACAATGTGAATTCCTGTATTTTTTTTTTCACATTCTGTCTCTCACAGTTGAAGTGTACCTATGATGAAAATTACAGACCTCTGTCATTATTTTAAGTGGGAGAACTTGCACAATTGGTGGCTGACTAAATACTTTTTTGCCCCACTGTATGCGTCAGTTCAAAATTAATGAAATTCATTCTTTATGTTGATGTGCAGGTGACTACTTGGAGCAACCCATTTATTTTTCCCACAAGGGGAAGTTCAGGTGACCATCAGTAACAGATACAGACAAGAGACATTTACACAACATTATAAACCGTCAAATCTAAGCTGAACATATATCCCTTATAAACCTTAAAGCAGGGGTCTCAAACCTGTGGCTGCAGGTTTTCTATCCGAGTAAAGATTCCTGTTTGGTAAATAACGTGATCTTTTCATCATCCAACACTTGTCGGCCTCAGGTTCCATGTTAACTTTTCATCTAGACTCCCACTGATGTCTGCTGTCGTTGGGCAAGACACTTAACCCCACTTGCCTGAAGCCCCCACTGAAAGACCAAGGCTACGCCATAGAGCAGCCATCCTCCTGTGGACTCACCACCTGCACAAGGATCAGTGAGGGGTTGGTGCTATGTGTACTGGGTGGCATCTCTGACCACCCCCCAACCCAGAAATGGATTGGGGTAGAAAATGGATGCATGGATGGACTTTTCATCTAATTATAACGCCCAAAAAACAGTTTTATTGTCGTTGTCTTTTGATTGGGGCTTCATCATTAAAATGTTTAGATTTAGTTTTTTTTCTCTTTTTTTTTTTCTTTCTATTTAAGATAGTCTTAATCTTTTCCTTTACACTTGAAGGCCAAACGTCATCATCTGAACATATCATATTTGTCATCAGCAAAGAGTATTGATTTAATTAATTTTGATCTTTCACACATTTAATGTATGTAAATTATGAACTACGTTGGTGCCAGTATTGACCCCTGTGGGACTCCACAAGTTACGTCCCTACACCTTTATCTGTGTTCAGGCTGCAGGATGTTTAGATGACTGGGAAGTGCAAATGTGTCCAGTCTGGCCTCTGTCTCCACTATTGTCGTTTGAAGAAGCATCCTCAATAACATTATAATTTTGAGTCACATGGTTCTGAAACAACAACAAATGTATTTGCCCGAGCGTCTATCGAGTGTGGCTTACACTCTGTGCTGGTATCGAGCATGACTCTGGAGGAGTTGACCACAGTTAATCCTGGGTTTTCAGATGATGTGGAGGAGCTGTCGGGAGCAGCGTGGGAGGAGAGCACGCTGCATAGCACGTCTCTGTGTCATCAACAAGAGGAGAACAAGGGCCCCCAGAGGACTGATCCTCCGCCAGTCCAAAGCGTTCCCCAGATGAACATAGAAGGTGAAGCAGCTGTTATTCAACACATGCGCTGATGTACATTTGACATAATTAGGCCACTTTTTGCAGCCAGACTTTGTACTCCACACTGATGCATTAACAATTGAATGACCTTCTCACAGGTGAAGTCAGCTCCCCAGAGGAAGAGCAGCCACAGGACCAGAGATGGCAGGAGCGTGGAGAGGGCAGCACCCATGAGGAGACCGCTGCCACAGACAGGTACTCAGCCGGTCCTGCACCAGTCTGTCTCCACTGCAGAGTAGGACCACTTGGCAACGTCATGAGTTTCGATCGCCGCATAAACAAAACTATTACGGCAAACCCATTTATTTATTTTACGGTCAGAACCTCTCCGGTTGTTGTGGTCTTAGAGTTTGTTATAGTCCTGCTTCAGTTTTTGTTTTAACTTTTCACTGCATTGTTTTGGAGTGTGATGAATCCCCAGTGCTTTGAGGTTCCCTAATATGTCTTAATGTATCTTTTCATTTCGCCGCGATGCCTCAAACCCATCCAGAAGTCTCTTGTGAACATAGACAGAAAGATTTTCAATATTCATATTACAGTTATAAAGAATGCAAAGTTTGGATAATGATGTATCACAGTTTGTAAATGTGTTTTTTTATTGGAGTTTGTGTCCATTCTTTCTTTCAGACGTCTAACATTTCTGTCCAGGCTTATACCTCCTTCTGTATTCAATTGTGTGAAAGCTGATGTGCTTATTAACATCAAGTGTGTTTCTCTTCTACTGCTACTATCGTTACAAGCTTGTACTAAAAACCTGTTTGATTCTTTGTCTTCTTTTGTCATTAAAACATTACATTTCAAATTGCATGAATTAAGAGTATGTGTCTTTGTTGCTGCGTCAGACCCATCAGGCCTGGAGCTGGGAGTCCCAGGACGTTTGAGGAGATTCTGGAGGAGCAGCTGAGACGAGAGGAAACCCGACTAGAGCCTCAGGTAAAACTCAAACCTGTAGTGATAGTGTGATACTTCACCTCCATGACACAGTCATGATGTGAACAACATAGGCTGTATGTTATGAATCACAATAAGACTAGTGAGTAGTGGTGTTGACTGTGTGTGCGGCAGACTGATCCTGCAGATGTCCCCGGGGCCCGTCCTAAAAGAGCCTTTCTGAGGAGGGGCCAGGGTCTGCTAAGATTCAGTGGGAGGACAGCACAAGTGAAGAACAGCAGAAGCGCCGCCCTCGGCAGACCTGAGCCTCTGGTACACAGGAAAACAGCCATTGTCTCCCAGGGGCCCCGCGCCCGAGGCCCCAGCTCATCCCTGCGTCAGGAGTCCAGCGCACCGCACTCAAAGGTAAACATCACAGTCATCACGCTCTAAATGTATCTGCATGTGGAGAACTGTGTTAGAATCATTGTATTTGAATATATTGACCTTCTAATAAAGTAATGATGTTTCATATTTTACAGAACTACTTTCCTCAGCAGGGGCCTCCTTCACAGAGGCTGTCCGAGCCTGCAGTCAGAGAGCCTGCAGTCAGAGAGCCTGCAGTCAGAGAGCCTGCAGTCAGAGAGCCTGCAGTCAGAGAGCCTGCAGTCAGAGAGCCTGCACTCAGAGAGCCTGCACTCAGAGAGCCTGCACTCAGAGAGCCTGCACTCAGAGGCCCTGTAGGGGGCCCCAGCAGAAGCCGGCCTGAGGGCCTTCATCCCCTGGGAGAAGCAGGACACTGTGGAGAGAGCTCCTTTAGGGAGAGTGTGGAGCTGGGGGAGTTTGAGCTGCTGGAGCAGGCCGCAGAGGAGCTGTCCTTCTCCTCCAACTCCTCCTTTGTCCTCAAGGTCTGTACACCACATCACACAAATGTATTTGAAGAAGATGGATTCATAAATGCAATGAAAAGGTTTAAGATGTTGACTTCAAACTGATATGCCTCTTTTCAGGAGGAGGCTTGTTCTCTACATGATTCTATTGAAATGAATTGTTAAAACTACACTTAATGACATTGGCCCTCATTTAGAAAGGCTCTGTAAATGCGTATGACATGTACGAGGAAAATAAGTTTAAGTTTGAAGTTTAATATAGAAAGGGCAATTACATAATGGCTGCACCAGATTTAGCACCATGCTACTTTCCACCTGTAGTCCTTGACACCTTTAAGCGTCAAGTTAATTGTATAATAATGCAATCACATATGTATACATTGTATATCTAAATAACTTGCACAGATCATTTCATAATTGTATATTGTATAATATTGCTACTGTGTTTAAGACGATGTTATAACCATATCACCTGTCCTCTTTGAAGGTTTTGCAGATGGACCGACAGAAGAGGCTCCCAGCCCAGGAGCTCCACCAGCGCCGCCTCTCCTCCACCCCCGTCAAGAGCCCCCCTCGCCCCCCTGCTGAGGGGGGGCCACAGGGGGACTTAGAACCTGCAGCCGGACAAGTGCCCTGGCTCCCCTCTGTCTACACCTTCCCTTGTGAGACTGAGCCTCCCTACGACAAGCACACTTACGAGGACCACTCCCTGACCCCCAGTGAAGCTGCAGACTCTGACTGTGAGGAGCCCACTCTGACTGAGGGCCTACACCAGGGGCCACACCAGAAGCAGTCATGCAGAGTGCTGTTTGACGACCACGACACCTGGAGTCAGCTATCTCAGGAGCACAGTCTGAGCCAAGACAGCACAGGTGAGGTCCAGGGGGTGAGGTCCAGGGGGTCCAGATTTGTCCAGGTTTGTCCCTCACTGTGTCCATCAGTCGTGCTTGTTTCCACAGAGGAGCCGGCCTCTCCACCAGAGGCCTCTCCACCAGAGCGTGTTGTCAGCAGAAAGGTGGCAGTGTCCAGAGCAGTGGAGCAGGACCCTCCCCCCTCTCAGCTAATGAGCAGACTGTTCCCTGCACTCAAGGGCCCCTCCCACAATGCACCTGTGAGCACCCCACCCACTGCTGCGCATCCCAGAACAGACGGTGAGCATTAAAGCACCTGAAGAGGATTTCACTTTCAGATAACTGTTTAGACCTGGCCTGCCTCACTGTCTGTCTGAGACCCCTTTGGGACGTGATTAATACACACGGTGCACAGCAGAGTACTGAAAATACTGTATAAACTATTTTATTCATTTTGAAATACATTTTTTGTTGGCAAACAATTGAATTATAATATAGTAAGTATTATTTAATATGTTTTAAGTTTTGAATGCAAGACTTTGTGTAGCTTTGTGATGATAAACGTGTGTATTCAAACAGTTGCGTGTGTGCAGCTCAGATAAATGTGTGTGTGTGTGTGTGTGTGTGCAGCCCAGCCGGCCCAGTCCCAGCTGCTGAGGGAGCGGCTGGCGGAGCTGGAGGTGGAGATCGCACGCTTCAAAAAGGAGAATGCTGCCCTCTCCAAACTGTGCCAGGAGAACCAGCAGGAGCAGGAGGAGCTGAGGTGAGAGGAGGAGGAGGAGGAGGAGGAGGAGGCTCTGCTCAGGCACTCTTCTAACGCCCGCTGTGCTCTGCAGGAGGGAGCGCGCTCAGTTTAAGCAGCTCCAGGCCCAAGAGAGCAGCCGCTTTGAGGAGTACAGACAGGAGGAGATCCGAAAGCTGCAGAAGGAGCGCAGACTGTTCCAGAAGCACATGTCCGCAGCCAGAACTGTGCCCAACAAGAGCGAGCGCCAGGAGATCCAGGTCCGCACATCCACTCTGTCCTAACCCTGAACCAGTTACTGCAGATGACAGCAAAAGGACTATAACACTCCAGAGGTCTATAAATGTGAGACATTATAAATTGACTTCAGTCTGACAGATCCCTCAGACTGACCACTGCAAAAGAGATTATGGACTAGGACGATGCATCAGGAACAGAGGGCATGGACCATCAACAGAAACGAGGGGGCCCTCACCTTGGCTCACACTTCTCCAGAGATCACAGGGGGACATGGTCAGTCTGATGGGTTGGATCGTGGAAGTCTACGCCCAAACATTGGTGGTGATAAAGCAGAACTAGTTTCTTTACGGTTTGGTTTTATTACAAGAAACTTCAAAGCATTAAACATAAGGAGACATATTGGACTTTTTACTTTTGATTGTATTAATTCCCTGACAAATCTCAGGGAACAGGAGAGAGTGGTTTGTGATGGACAGCAGTACTGCGAGTCCTGCAGCGCTGTGAGTCTGTCATGATGTATCTGACAGCTGTGTGTGTGTGTGTCTGTACTTTTGTGTGTCTGTTTAAATCTGTGTGTGTGCAGGCTCTGAAGCAGCAGCTCAGCTCCCTCCAGGACGAGCTGAGGAGGAAGGAGAGCCGCTGGGCCAATACTCACAGCAGGCTGCGCCTCCAGCTGGAAGCTCTGGGTCAGGACAACGCTGCTCTGCGAGAGGAGGTCACTCACTCATAATGTTGCTTTGTTCAAAAGGACATACTGTCTTTGTTGTTCTGTTGTTCTGAATGTAAATGAACCGAGATCACTGTGCTGTTCCCACACAGGTTAAAACTCTGGAGAAACTACGCATCACGTCCTGGAAGAAAAACTCCTCAGACTCAGAGAAAAGCTCTGCTGCCAAAGGAGTCAAGTTTGCTGTAAGTTTATATTCACCCTGATATGAGCTCAGAATGAGACTGTATCAGATATCTGTACATCTGTGCTGTGTGTATTGCTTTTATGGAGCTATTTGCTGTAGCAGAATAAGAATGGAAGCTTTTAAACACATTTCACATATGTTTTTGCAGATAATTTTTCTGGTAACATGTTAGTGGGTTTGGACCATAGACTGTGGTTTGGACCCATTCATGTGAGAGTCAAACCAGAGCTCTCCTGTACATTACGAGAGGGTCAGTGTCTTACAGATTATCGGCCCAAAACTGTCACATTCAAGGAGACTTCTGCAAACACAGCAATGATTGTCAATTATTTATTGTAGGTCAATAAAAAATAAAGAGAGGGATAAGAGATGAGATGACTTTGTCCATTTGTTATCAGTGACCTATGGATGTATGGAACTGTAGACTATAACATTGTTTGGGTGAGATGTCTGTACATATACTTATAGGCATCATTGATTTATTATTTTAACAAATGTTGATCTGAAATAGCTTGATAATATAAACCTTTATATTTAGCTGATGTTTAAGTCTAGCTCCTCACAGTTCTTTGTGTTCTCCTGTGTGCAGACTCCTCTGGACTCCAAGAACAGCCCTCCTGCACTGGCCAGCAGGGGGAGCCGCAGGGCCTCTGCTCCTGGGGCCACCATCAGGAATAAAGGTAAAACTGAACTGCTTTACTCGGTAGATCAGGAGTCCCCAACTAAATTGGAAAGTGGTCCACTAACATGATCAGCAGTAGACAAGGGTCCGAACAAGCAACCTGACAAAAAATTTTTTGTTATGTGATTGACAAAACACAACCACAAAACAACAACATCAACAATCCAATTCCTTCCCCTTAATCCATTTCTGGGTCGGGGGTGGCAGTCAGAGCTGCACCCAGTACACATAGCACCAGCCCCTCACTGATCCTCCTGCAGGTGGTGAGTCCACAGTAGGGTGGCTGCTCTAATCTGAGCTGTGTCTTGGACAAGAATTTAAAAAGTAAATAATCATAATTCTTAATACTTACCTTAAAGGAATAGTTCACCGTTTTTACATACTGACATATGTTCTTACCTTACCTTAGACTAGTTAATATGTACCTGTCTGGTCTTAGTCCGTGCGCTCTGTCATGCAAACGGAGCAAAAACGGGAGCACAAACGCAGCCTCCTCTGTATACTGTATAGTACCCAAAAGGTAGCTCCCGCTAGAAGCTACCAAACTCTTCCAAGTGTTCCCTATTAAATGTATATAGTTACGTGACGTGTTAAGCCTAGCGTACATCGGACTGGCAACTGATTATATCCGTCGCCTCTGAGTTGCTGCCCCGCACACATCGACAATCTGGCGAAAACGGGCAACTCTGAGTCGCAGGCCAGTCTCTTGAATAACAGCGCGTACATCGACAGCAACTGGCCTCAACCACAGTGTGTTTTCTGACATAAACTGTTGCGGGCTCGCAATACACGCAATACACACACGTTGTTGGAGCGGCGCATGGAGCGCGCACATCGGAGCAACTGAGGACAACTAGTTGCCGAAAAGTAGAACACGGGCAACTGACTGGAACTGGAGACCGACTGATCATCTCCAGTTGTAAGAGCGCGCACATCGACCGATTTCGGCAACTGATCATCTCCCACCATCTCCTCTCAGTTGCCAAAAGCCGCCTTGCAACTAGTTGTCCCCAGTTTCTCTGTCGATGTACGCTAGGCTTTACACTGCAAAGTATAGTAACACAGAAATGTAACTGTCGATTTTCTCAGCGGATAAAACGGGTACTATATTGTGAGGCGTAGTAATCTGAGGAGCGCTACGTCCGCGCACAAACTTCTTTCCGGAGACTTCTCTCTCGCTCACTTCTGTCAATAGAAGCAGCGTGACTTGTAGTACGGAGAGAAGTTAGTGCGCGGACGTAGCGCTCCTCAGATTACTACGCCTCACAATATAGTACCCGTTTTATCCGCTGAGAAAATCGACAGTTACATTTCTGTGTTACTATACTTTGCAGTGTAACACGTCACGTAACTATATACATTTAATAGGGAACACTTGGAAGAGTTTGGTAGCTTCTAGCGCGAGCTACCTTTTTGGTCCTATACAGTATACAGAGGAGGCTGCGTTTGTGCTCCCGTTTTTTGCTCCGTTTGCATGACAGAGCGCACGGACTAAGACCAGACAGGTACATATTAACTAGTCTAAGGTAAGGTAAGAGCATATGTCAGTATGTAAAAACGGTGAACTATTTCTTTAATACTTATCTTACAAAAAATAAAAAATAAAAAAAATAAGTCACAAGAAATGCACTAGATTGTCTGTCCGTTGTCAGGTATCAGTTGCGATGGTTATTGTTCCCTCAGTGATAGTTGCCATAGTAACTGTTACCGTGACAGATGCCATACAGAACCGTCACTATGACAACGGTTATCATCAAGAGTTGCCATTGAAATCACTATGGCAACTACCCTGCCTACCATCACTATGGCAACAGGAAACAAACTCCAACAGAAGTTGGTTAATTCTTGTTTATATGGTTGCCATGGCAACAATCACTATGACAAACATTATTATAGCAAACATTGCTATGGCAATTACACTGGCAACCATCACTATGGAAACTGTAAACAAACTCCAAAAGAAGTTAGAAGAATTCATTAATGCAAGATTCACCAGGTTTCACCAGGCCATTGTGACTATTATCTTAGCAACGGTTGCCATGGTGATTATTGCCATAGTCACTGTTACCATGGTAACTATTGTCATAGCAGTGGTTGCCAGTAGACGTGTTTCTAGACCTGTGGCTGACGAGCTGTTTGTGTGTGACTCTACAGCAGTGAAGAGCAGTCTGAGGAGGCCATCGCTCTTAGCACAAGCACTGGAGGAGGTCAGCTCTAACCCCAGCCCTGACCCCGCCCAGACGGGCTCCTCCAGTGACTCCTGCTCAGAGGACAGTGACAGCCGGCTGCAGGAGGAGGCCCCAGTGCCTGATGGGAAGGTAAGCTCTGTCATCAACTGCTGTTCTACTACACACACAGAGGGAAAATCAGTTTAACACCACGGTGGAGGACGGTGGAGGACGGTGGAGGACGGTGGGGGACGGTGGAGGACTGTGGAGGACTGTGGAGGACAGTGGAGGACAGTGGAGGACAGTGGAGGACAGTGGAGGACTGTGGAGGACTGTGGAGGACTGTGGAGGACGGTGGAGGACGGTGGAGGACATTGGAGGACAGTGGAGGACAGTGAGGGACGGTGGAGGACAGTGAGGGACGGTGGAGGACGGTGAGGGACGGTGGGGGATGGTGGAGGACGGTGGAGGACATTGGAGGACAGTGGAGGACGGTGGAGGACATTGGAGGACATTGGAGGACAGTGGAGGACAGTGAGGGACGGTGGAGGACAGTGAGGGACGGTGGAGGACGGTGAGGGACGGTGGGGGATGGTGGAGGACGGTGGAGGACATTGGAGGACAGTGGAGGACAGTGAGGGACGGTGGAGGACAGTGGGGGACGGTGGAGGACGGTGGAGGACGGTGGAGGACGGTGGAGGACGGTGAGGGACGGTGAGGGACGGTGAGGGACGGTGAGGGACGGTGAGGGACGGTGGAGGACGGTGGAGGACGGTGGAGGACGGTGGAGGACAGTGAGGGACGGTGGAGGACGGTGGAGGACGGTGGAGGACGGTGAGGGACGGTGAGGGACAGTGAGGGACAGTGAGGGACAGTGAGGGACGGTGGAGGACGGTGAGGGACGGTGAGGGACGGTGAGGGACGGTGAGGGACGGTGGAGGACGGTGAGGGACGGTGGGGGACGGTGGAGGACGGTGGAGGACGGTGGAGGACGGTGGAGGACGGTGGAGGACGGTGGAGGACGGTGAGGGACGGTGAGGGACGGTGGTGGACGGTGAGGGACGGTGAGGGACGGTGAGGGACGGTGGAGGACGGTGAGGGACGGTGAGGGACGGTGGAGGACGGTGGAGGACGGTGAAGGACGGTGGAGGACGGTGGAGGACGGTGGAGGACGGTGGAGGACAGTGGAGGATGGTGGAGGATGGTGGAGGACGGTGAGGGACAGTGGAGGACAGTGGAGGACAGTGGAGGACTGTGGAGGACTGTGGAGGACTGTGGAGGACGGTGGAGGACGGTGGAGGACATTGGAGGACAGTGGAGGACAGTGAGGGACGGTGGAGGACAGTGAGGGACGGTGGAGGACGGTGAGGGACGGTGGGGGATGGTGGAGGACGGTGGAGGACATTGGAGGACGGTGGAGGACGGTGGAGGACATTGGAGGACATTGGAGGACATTGGAGGACAGTGGAGGACAGTGAGGGACGGTGGAGGACAGTGAGGGACGGTGGAGGACGGTGAGGGACGGTGGGGGATGGTGGAGGACGGTGGAGGACATTGGAGGACAGTGGAGGACAGTGAGGGACGGTGGAGGACAGTGGGGGACGGTGGAGGACGGTGGAGGACGGTGGAGGACGGTGGAGGACGGTGAGGGACGGTGAGGGACGGTGAGGGACGGTGGAGGACGGTGGAGGACGGTGGAGGACGGTGGAGGACGGTGGAGGACGGTGGAGGACGGTGGAGGACGGTGGAGGACGGTGAGGGACAGTGAGGGACAGTGAGGGACAGTGAGGGACAGTGAGGGACGGTGGAGGACGGTGAGGGACGGTGAGGGACGGTGAGGGACGGTGAGGGACGGTGGAGGACGGTGAGGGACGGTGAGGGACGGTGGAGGACGGCGGAGGACGGTGGAGGACGGTGGAGGACGGTGGAGGACGGTGGAGGACGGTGAGGGACGGTGAGGGAGACGGTGAGGGACGGTGAGGGACGGTGAGGGACGGTGAGGGACGGTGGAGGACGGTGGAGGACGGTGAGGGACGGTGGAGGACGGTGGAGGACGGTGAAGGACGGTGGAGGACGGTGGAGGACGGTGGAGGACAGTGGAGGACAGTGGAGGATGGTGGAGGATGGTGGAGGACGGTGAGGGACAGTGGAGGACAGTGGAGGACGGTGGAGGACAGTGGAGGACAGTGAGGGACGGTGGAGGACAGTGGAGGACGGTGGAGGACGGTGAGGGACGGTGGAGGACGGTGAGGGACGGTGGAGGACGGTGGAGGACGGTGGAGGACGGTGGGGGACGGTGAGGGACGGTGGAGGACGGTGGAGGACAGTGAGGGACGGTGGAGGACGGTGAGGGACGGTGAGGGACGGTGGAGGACGGTGGGGGACGGTGAGGGACGGTGAGGGACGGTGGAGGACGGTGAGGGACGGTGGGGGACGGTGGGGGACGGCGGAGGACAGTGGAGGACAGTGAGGGATGGTGGAGGACGGTGAGGGACAGTGGAGGACAGTGGAGGACGGTGGAGGACAGTGGAGGACAGTGGAGGACAGTGAGGGACGGTGGAGGACAGTGGAGGACGGTGGAGGACGGTGAGGGACGGTGGAGAACATTGAGGGACGGTGGAGGACGGTGAGGGACGGTGGAGGACGGTGGAGGACGGTGGAGGACGGTGGGGGACGGTGAGGGACGGTGGAGGACGGTGGAGGACAGTGAGGGACGGTGGAGGACGGTGAGGGACGGTGGAGGACGGTGGGGGACGGTGAGGGACGGTGAGGGACGGTGGAGGACGGTGAGGGACGGTGGAGGACGGTGGAGGACGGTGGGGGACGGCGGAGGACGGTGGAGGACGGTGAGGGACGGTGAGGGAAGGCGGAGGACGGTGGAGGACAGTGAGGGACGGTGGAGGACGGTGGAGGACAGTGAGGGACGGTGGAGGACAGTGGAGGACAGTGAGGGACGGTGGAGGACAGTGAGGGACGGTGGAGGACGGTGGAGGACAGTGAGGGACGGTGGAGGACGGTGAGGGACGGTGAGGGACGGTGGAGGACGGTGAGGGACGGTGGAGGACGGTGAGGGACGGTGGAGGACGGTGGAGGACGGTGGGGGACGGTGGAGGACGGTGGAGGACGGTGAGGGACGGTGAGGGACGGTGGAGGACGGTGGAGGACAGTGAGGGACGGTGGAGGACGGTGGAGGACAGTGAGGGACGGTGGAGGACAGAGGACAGTGAGGGACGGTGGAGGACAGTGAGGGACGGTGGAGGACGGTGGAGGACAGTGAGGGACAGTGGAGGACAGTGGAGGACGGTGAGGGACGGTGGAGGACGGTGGAGGACAGTGAGGGACAGTGGAGGACAGTGGAGGACAGTGGAGGACGGTGAGGGACAGTGGAGGACGGTGAGGGACGGTGGAGGACGGTGGAGGACAGTGAGTGACTGAGGCCTGTGGCTGATGTAGAGGTGTCATGTTTGGGTGGGTTTCCTCCAGGTGCTGCACTGCGCCAGCTCAGTGGGCACAAAGCGTGTTCCAGAAAGTGCAGTGACGTCTGAACACGTTCTCACAGTATCACGTTGGACTCATGCTGTCGGAGGCTTCGGAACATACAGCCATAAAAGTATTTAGGAAGCCAATCGTGCAAGTCCTCCCGCTTGGAGAGATACCATATGTCTATCCTTTTCATTATTACACCTCAACTCTGAGACAATAATTAAATAACGTTCATAAAATCAAAAAATATCATATCCTTTGAGAATTTCTTTGCAAAATCTAATTGGAAAAAAGTATTTAGTCAATCACAAAAGTCCATCTCAGCACCTTGTTATATACCCTTTGTTGGCAATGACAGAGGTCAAACCTGTTGCTCGTATTTTGGCCCATTCCTCCTGCAGATCTCTAGAGCAGTGATGCTTTGGACTTTCTCATGCGCTGCATATATATACTCTACTCCAACATCATATACAGCAGTGTATACAGCAGTGTATACAGCCGCTTGTATCACATGAGTTACCTTTTATGGGTGTGCGTCGCTGTTCAGCGAACACAGCGGTCCTTTGAATTCAGTCGCCTTTGAGCTGTCACTTGTGGCATCTCATAGACAGGGTCACATGTGCCCTCTACCTTACCCCTGTGTGACCTCTGACCCCTGTGAGCCCTCAGCCGGAGCAGGTGCTGGACAGTGGTGCGCGCCTCTTTATCTTCCCCAACGGCACCAGGAAGGAACTGTCACCAGACGGACAGACTCTCAGAGTCACATTCTTTAACGGAGACACAAAAGAAGTCACAGCTGACCAGAGAGTGGTGAGTACACACAGACACAGACCAGATCAGTTTATTTATTACTCAACACTGACAAAGAATTTCCTGGAGCAAAAGGTACTTTGAAAATCCAACGAGGTCATGTTAGTCTGTGTTGGTGAAGAGTCTCCTCAGTGTCTGTGCACTTCCACTGTCACAGGATGACACACGTTTCTATGGTTACTCCGTCTCTTAGATCTACTACTACGCCGAGGCCCAGACCACCCACATCACCTACCCTGACGGCATGGAGGTCCTGACCTTCCCAAACAACCAGAGCGGTGAGAGCCAGCGCCCCGATCACTTTCGATTTGTCAAACTAGTAACTTTATTATTAACACATGGCCCTCATGTATGAACCTTGTGCAGGAAAGGGTGAATATTTTTGGTGTATATTCCATTTACGCCAGCCTTAACGTGGGATTTCTGAACGTGTGAGATACGCACATATCTGAGTGTTTGCATGCTGCGGCTGTTGACAAATGCCGCGGTGAAAACTAGCGTATTTATGAAAGCCTGAAAATATTCAGAAAACGCCCCGTTTTTGCGACAGCTCAGAATGGAAGCCGGCCAGCAAGTGTAGCTGGAAACCTCAGAGGGCTCGTTAGTGACACGCACTGACTTTATATTGAGTTATATTGTATTATTTTGTCCAAAAAAAAAAACAAAAACAAAATATATATATATATATATATATTTTTGTTTTTATATTACGTTTTTTCCCTAGTGTCTAGACCCACTGCAGCGCATCTCTTTAGAAATGAATGAATATTAATTTCTCAGCGGTCACTTTCATCTGAGTCTCCGCTGAATCTTCTTGTGAATGCAAGAAGATGTCGCTCTCTGTGAGAGAGAAAGGATGCGTATGATTCAGATGAAGATATTCTTTATTCGTCCCACAGTGGGGAAATTTCAGTCCCCATTTCAGTTTGTGATATCACAGAGAAACTGCGAGTGTCATCGGACCTCTGTGGCACCTGCTGCACATGCAGTGCACTCTGCGTGAGCTCGTTCCAAAAAAAAGAAAAGGACTGCCATATCTCTGCCATTGCGGTGTTTATGGGGCTTTATGCACTGAACTAAGGATTAAATACGTTGCTTTGCCGGAGGTGAATGTGACAAAACAAATAGCCATGCGTAATTACGCAGGGTCTGCCACAGACTTACACATTACACACACATTAAGTAAGTAAGCCAGGTGTATATAGCGCCTTCACAGAGCAGGATAACAGAGCTCTTCACATTAAGAACAAAAAAAACATACAGATGAAAATAATACACAAGTCAGATTAAAACAACAAAACAGAGGAGGGTCCTCATCATGAACGTATGAAAATTGCATGTTTCCAAAGAGTTTTTGATGCGCAAATTAAAATGTAGAAACATGATGCTCAAAGAAAACGCAGCTTATTATTTTGTCAGAGTGGGAACCTGTTTATTTTTGTCCAAATCTTGCATTTCATGCGTGTTTTGCCGCGTAATGAAGGTTGGAATGAGCGTACACACTAACACCACCTCCTGACTTTGTGTAAATTCTGTGCGTACGATACGCTCACGTCCAGATTGATAAATGCGGAAAAGTGTAAATTTTTTGCGTACGCATTACACCCTGATTTGGCCGTACGCAAGTTTTATAAATGAGGGCCATTGAGAGCAGAGCTTCCAACATGGTTTAACTTTGTTATTGCTGTTTCTGTGTTTAAGAGGAGCGGGGCCTCAAAATCTGAAGGGGCGTTCACACCGGACTTAACTTCGGCGTCAAAAGCGTCAGGTTTCCATTGAAAGTGAATGGTGAAGCGCGTCAGGTGAAGCCAAGAGCCCCGGCGTCACTTGACGCGCGTCAAAAGCTTCAAGAGTCGCGCGTACTACGCGCTCACTTGAAGCTTTTGACGCGCGAAACGCTCGCGTATCACAACAATCCCTTTGACGCCGAAGCTGAGCAAAGCTGAGCTTTTGAAGCTTTGACGCGGGCTTCAACCAATCAGGAGACGAGGAGCAGCAGCAGCAGAGGGTCTGTCTCTGTCATGAAGAGAAGTCATGTATCTGCTGCTGCTGTTTTATTGTCATTATTGTTATTAGTAATATTATTTGTATGAGTAGTAACGTTCTGAGTAACAAAAATCATTGTACACATGCTGTGTAGTAAACCTAGTTTATTTAAAATAAGAACAGGCTGACGATGAGTCTGGCTCAGAGCAAGGCAGCTCCGGGCGGGCGAGAGCCGGGGAGAGGCAGGGAGAGGCGAGCGAGAGCCGGGGAGAGGCGAGCGAGAGCCGGGGAGAGGCGAGCGAGAGCCGGGGAGAGGCGGGGAGAGGCGAGCGAGAGCCGGGGAGAGGCGAGCGAGAGGCGAGCGAGAGGCAGGGAGAGGCGAGCGAGAGCCGGGGAGAGGCGAGCGAGAGGCGAGCGAGAGGCGAGCGAGAGGCAGGGAGAGGCGAGCGAGAGGCGAGCGAGAGGCGAGCGAGAGGCGAGCGAGAGCCGGGGAGAGGCGAGCGAGAGGCGGGGAGAGGCGAGCGAGAGCCGGGGAGAGGCGAGCGAGAGCCGGGGAGAGCCGGGGAGAGGCAGGGAGAGGCGAGCGAGAGGCGGCGAGAGGCGAGCGAGAGGCGGGGAGAGCCGGGGAGAGGCAGGGAGAGGCGAGCTCCGGGGTTTGAGAACTCAGACTGGGCAAGTGACATGCGGAAGTACCGCTGAAAGCGAAACTCCTCCGTACGCAGCTCCTGGAGTAAATGTCGGAACTCTGCAAACACTGAAGCCTCTCAAGTCTGTGGTGAACCCAGAACATGTTTTGTTGAAGCCCTACAACAACGTTATTTTGCTTTATATAACAAATAAAGGCTCGCTGCTCATTGAAAAATCCACCGCTGTCCTGACAACAGACAACAGAGAAGCTCCTCCCACAGACAACAGAGAAGCTCCTCCCACAGACAACAGAGAAGCTCCTCCCACCGGCGTCAGGCGCGTCACTCGCGTCAAAAGCTTCAAGCACCAAAATGACAAAACTATCCCGGCGTCAGTTGAAGCGCGTCAGCTTTTGGTCTGAACGCGCCTTAACATTTCTGAACAAAACAAACAATACTCATGCTCTGTTCATGTTATTGCTGTGGTCGATTGTGGCTGTATTAGTTTCATTAGAACTGAGGGTCAACAGCTCCAACGATTCTTTAAACTAAAAACTAATGCTAAAGTCCACGAGTGCAGGTTGCTAGCATGTGGCTAATTTAGAATCCATCAGCGAGGCTCTTTTCAGAGCTTTAACGTTCTTACCAGCCTCCCAGTCAGAGACACGCCCCTTTACAGTGAAAGCTCCGCCCACATATGACTCATCACATATGCCAGTTCTAGTCTGTGGGAGGATTGTGGTTTGGGGGCGTGGCCTGTGGTGCCCACCGTGACCACACTCTGAACGGTGTGTTGTTCAAACAGAGAAACATTTTCCGGATGGACGCAAAGAGATCACCTTCCCCGACCAGACTGTGAAGACCCTGTATCCAAACGGACGAGAGGAGAGCGTTCTGACCGACGGCACCATCGTCCAGCTCCATCCGTAAGTACATAACCACGCACACACACACACACACACACACACAAATCCAGTCCACACATTACATCAGGTCTGTCCAAACCAAGGCCCGGGTGCCATTTGCGGCCCTCTGCCTTGCTAACTCAAACTAGCCATTAAGACTTTGGAACTCAGCCGTTAATTAGGCCCGAGCCCCGAACGGGGAAAGGGCCTATTGTTTTTGCTCGTGAGATGTCAAATTCTGCACTTTGACCCTTAATTTGACCCCCTGAACATGCATGAAAAGTTGTTACATTTTGCCCAAACATCAGACCTGGTGAAAAATTTGATATTGTGGTGTTTATTTTTATGGGACTAAAAAATGCCAGAGCAGCGCCACCTACAACAGCCAAAATAATACCCCTGTGGGAGTTTGAGATGAAGTTTGTTGTAGTCATGAAATTCGGTACACATGTTCAAGTCAAGACAAGAAAAAAATATTATGGCCCCGCCCTCTGACAAACAGGAAGCCCATAAATTTCACTGCAAAATGGAAAAATGAACAGCAAAAGTTTTCATACATGTCGGTTGGAAAGCGGCGACTCCTCGGCCGTTTCACCGATTGGCCTCAAAATCGCTCCACATCATCTCAACACATGTACCTTCAAAATGACTTCAGGGAATTTTGATCAGTGAAACGTTGTTTGAGCAGCAAAATGTGACCTTTTTTCCCCATTTTGACGATAGAAACAATGCTCCCTTTTGCACAAATCAAGTCCGATTGGCACCAAATTTGATTTGGTTGTTCAAGTTTTGGGTTTGGGAAAACTGAAAGTGTAAAATATTCAATTGCAGCATTAGCGCCCCCTACAGACTGAGTCAAGTTTTACATGGGTGAGAATGGCATTTACTAAGTCTGATTTGCACTAAACTTGACTCTGTTGTTCAACTCCTGGGCCTAGGTCGCCTGAAAGTGTGAAAAATTACATTGTCCCATTAGCGCCTGAGTAAAACTTTTACATAGGGGACACAGCGCATTTAGTTTTTCTGTTGTTTGATCTTATTTGACCCACTGAGCATGCACGAAAACTCACCATATTCTGTTATTGTTTTTTTCTGGCAACAAATGAATAATTTTTATGTCTTTGGTTTAAGACTAAAAAAATTTATTGGTAAAGGGCGCTATTATTCAAAGTAAATGACCGATGTTTGCACATGCAAAGTCTGATTTGCTCAAAATTTGATTTGATAGTTCAACTCTCGAGCTTGGGTAAACTGAAAGTGTAAAACATGAAATTGCCCCATAAGCGCCTCCTACAGACTGAGTCCAGTGTTACATGGGGAGAATAAGGTTTAGTTTTTCAATAGAGACACACAATCATTGATCATAGACATTCAAAATACAGTGTCGCTCCCATCAGGGCTTTAGGAAGATGTTGCGTCACATGGTCATCCAATGGAGACTATATATGGACACTCACAGATTGGATGTGTAAACAGGAGCACATGTATAAAGTCTGATTTGTACGCATGCGGTGGCTCGCACGGGGCAGGGAGGGCCGTTCGACGCCGCTTGCAGCTTTAATTTTATTTGTATTTAGACTTTTTTTTTTCCATTTCCAAAATCTTGTATGACGCTAACGTAGCTGTGGTGTGATAGTAAGCTAGTAAACGTCTGTCAAATGTGAATCTACTTATCATTCCTCATTTTAAAGCTCAGCCTGATCCAGTCAAAGCTGTTATTGTTGTCGGCCCCTGGACCGACAAAGTCCGGTCAACTGCAGTGGCCCTATTACTAACAAGTTTGGACACCCCTGCACTACATGATCTTCTCCTGAGACTCAGTCTGCAGTAAAGCAGCAGTGTTTGTTGTGTTTCAGAGACGGCAGGAAGGAGATCCTCTTCATCACGGGGCAGAGGGAGGTGCACACCGCAGAGTACAAACGCAGAGAGTATCCAGACGGAACCGTGAAGACTGTGTTCAGTGACGGACGACAGGAGACCCGCTACCCCACAGGACGGGTCCGCATCAAAGACCAGGATGGGACCCTGCTCCTGGACACGCCCTAGAGCTGCCACTCTGCAATCTGGACTCTTCACTTGTTCTATGTATAATTATTTATTTTAAATACAGTTTTAAGAAACAAAATTAAATGTTGAACGTTATGACGATGAGTGAAGTGATCTACACAAACATCTTTTCCTTTAACAAAATCTCAGTAAAAGCACGCAGCTCTCACACACAACTGAACTCAAAACACAGCTACGATTTAAACTAAACATAATTAATGTGAATAAAGTCCATGCATCAGTCCAGCTCTGCCAGTCCTCTGATGACCAGGGGCATGTAGACCGGCTGGCCGTCCTCGCTGTACAGGCACACCGTGACCTCTGGTTTCTGCGTCTACAACACAAACACTACATCAGAAAACACTCATGTGGAAGACTCGCACAGTGCTGGTATCTAAAGAAGACAAAGTTCTCGTTCTCAGACCATTCACGCCACGTCAGTGACGCTCTGAATCCTTTGTGCCCTCCCTCCCATATATAAAAATAAATTAAAATATTTTAAATAATTTATACATATAAAATCTTCCTACCAGCACTGAGGCTGTGACATATCCGTGCAGCAGGTCGATCATGTGGGTGGCGGCGCGGACGCTCCAGCTTGGGCTGTAGGAGAGCATGTTCTCCTGGTGGTTCTCCGCTGGAGCCTTGAAGCCCGACACCTTCACTTTGACGGCACATGTGGGGAACAAGAGCAGCTCTGGAGGCATCTGCCGCACCCTGCACACAACAGTCATGTCTGTCTTTAGTGTCTACATAACTTTTATCTGACTGTTGTTTCGGATGTAGAGTTAAATTTGAACGACCTTTGAAAACAACCATCCCTCAGAACATGGCAGCATCCAATCAGCTCTCAATGTGTTAAATCAGGTCTATGCTGGTCTGATTCACCGAGATCTTATTGTGTGCGAGATCCCGGTTGGGTCTGTGCAGTTGTCTATGGCATGACCACACTCAAGACTAAAGATTCAAGAGACATGTATGATCTCCCCAAATAAAATTGTCTTGGACTCACAGGCTGCTTCACAGAAAATAGACACATAAGGCAAATGCAAACCATTACTGCTCTGCACAATGGCCTACATTGTGTCTGTCTCCCTTTCTGGGGTCTCTCTCGCTCTGTCTCTGGTCTCTCTCCCTCTCTCTGGTCTCTCCCTCTCTCTGGTCTCTCCCTCTCTCTGGTCTCTCCCTCTCTCTGGCCTCTTCCTCTCTCTGGCCTCTCCCTCTCTCTGGCCTCTCCCTCTCTCTGGCCTCTCCCTCTCTCTGGTCTCTCCCTCTCTCTGGCCTCTCCCTCTCTCTGGTCTCTCCCTCTCTCTGGTCTCCTCGATGGCCTGAATTGAGGTTCACAGATATCGGGAGGAACCAGTTCTTATACCAAATCTTCATGGTTCTCTGTAGCAACGTCCGAATGGGAGGAGCCCACACTGAGAGTCTGAGGTGATGGTTACTCTCTCGAAACTGAAGACATTACTTATTGGTGGGCAGCGTGTCGTCAGAGCCGTAGTCCACGTGTTGGATGACGATGAGGAGGGGGTCCATGCGGCTGATGTCCATGATCGTAGCTCTGTAGTATTTGCCATCACTGTACTCTGCCAGACACGGACCTCCTGCACACCCACACAAAGACAGACCATAGACTGAAAATATTAACTGTCGATGTCACGCCTGTCTCCAGTGTTGAAACCAATGACAGCCCCTCCCGCATTTACGCATGCGTTAGCCGGCACCAGCCCCATTAATTAACGAGTGCACTCAAAAGTCCACAGAGTCTAAACTAGATTAGTCCAAAAAATATGTATACTCCATCAGTACTGACACGCATCTGGAACGTAGCTTTGGACCAAGTGCCAACTTTTGAATCATCCTGTAAAGACGTTTGAGAGGAAAGAAGACGCCAAACTAAAGCATTGGTGGTGTGGTGGTATTGCAAGTATGTCAGCATGTCAGAGACGGAGGCCGACAGAACTTATGAGACTTTTATGACCCACGCAACAGGGACAGATGTTGCTAAATCAAGCTGGAATTTAACTCATTGACTGCCAGCCCATTTCAAAACAGGTACTCCCATATTGCCAGCCGTTTCTGGTGGTTTTTACTGATTTTTCAAGACCCACAGAATATTGTGTACTTTGACTATCTGAAATCTAAAACTAGATTCTGAAAGAATGGGCTGTCTACTCTCACCAGCAAAAATAATTTTGTTTCTATCTTGTTTAGTTCTTCTGTAATCCCCAGTTGAGTAGAGGGAAGTTTTATTGAAATCACCAGAAAGCTGAGAAAAAAGGGCCACAAACAGTGCATCTAGCTGTGTTCAAACCATTCATAGCGCAATGCTGCCATCTGCTGGCTCCATAAAGTATTGCCTCAAGCCAATCTCCACATATTAGATTCAATGGACAGCTGGGAACGTAAAAATAGCGGGAAACGCAATTGACGTGTTAACACGTCATTGGCAGACAACGTTACTATTTAGTTTGACGTGTTAACATGTCAATGGCAGTCAATGAGTTAATGAAGGCTGCTCGCGCTTCGACCCAACAAAGCTGCTGATCAGAGCGGGAAGAAAACAGGGTTTGTTGCATTAAAGTGTGGATTAAACAAAAACTGAAAGATTTAGCAAGAATAAATGTTCAGATTTTGTGGGTGTTTTAGCGTCCCTTGTCATCCTGAACTTTATGAAAGCTGTAGGTTCTCTGTCAGCTGAGATCGAGCTGTTTTACTTTACATTGTGTTCAAAGTGACATTTTTCTGGGTAGCCCACATGAATATAGTCTGCAGTACCACAGGCGCCCCTAGTGCTCATTGGTTGGACAGCTAAAAGCTAGTAACACACTATCCAGATATCATAGATCCATGGAGCTTATCCACTGCACAGAACCGGGAAGACGAGACGATGCCCAAATACTGTGCCTTGCGAAAGTATTCGGCCCCCTTGAACCTTTCAACATTTCGCCACATTTCAAGCTTCAAACATAAAGATATAAAAAATATTTTTTTTTGTCAAGAATCAACAAGTGGGACACAATCGTGAAGTGGAACGAAATTTATTGGATAATTTAAACTTTTTTAACAAATAAACTGAAAAGTGGCGCGTGCAATATTATTCGGCCCCCTTGCGCTAATACTTAGTAGCGCCACCTTTTGCTAAAATTACAGCTGCAAGTCGCTTGGGGTATGTCTATCAGTTTTGCACATCGAGAGACTGGAATTCTTGCCCATTCTTCCTTGCCAAACAGCTCGAGCTCTGAGGTTAGATGCAGAGCGTTTGTGAACAGCAGTCTTCAGCTCTTTCCACAGATTCTCGATTGGATTCAAGTCTGGACTTTGACTTGGCCATTCTAACACCTGGATACGTCTATTTGTGAACCATTCCATTGTAGATTTGGCTTTATGTTTTGGATCATTGTCCTGTTGGAAGATAAATCTCCGTCCCAGTCTCAGGTCTTTTGCAGACTCCAACAGGTTTTCTTCCAGAATGGTCCTGTATTTGGCTCCATCCATCTTCCCATCAATTTTAGCCATCTTCCCTGTCCCTGCTGAAGAAAAGCAGGCCCAAACCATGATGCTGCCACCACCATGTTTGACAGTGGGGATGGTGTGTTCAGGGTGATGAGCTGTGTTGCTTTTACGCCAAACATATCGTTTTGCATTGTGGCAAAAAAGTTCGATTTTTAGTTTCATCTGACCAGAGCACCTTCTTCCACATGTTTGGTGTGTCTCCCAGGTGGCTTGTGGCAAATTTTAAACGAGACTTTTTATGGATATCTTTGAGAAATGGCTTTCTTCTTGCCACTCCTCCATAAAGGCCAGATTTGTGCAGTGCACGACTGATTATTGTCCTATGGACAGACTCTCCCACCTCAGCTGTAGTTATCTGCAGTTCATCCAGAGTGATCATGGGCCTCTTGGCTGCATCTCTGATAGTAAGTAGTAAGTAAGTTTTTATTTATATACCGCCTTTTCACTGCAGATCTGAGTCTCAAAGCGGTTTACAATTGTTAATTTTTGGGCATTTGTCTCTCACTCCACACAGAGATGGAAGCGCATGCCAGAACTATTGTACATATTTTTAGTGGTAGGGGAAACCGGAGTACCCGGAGGAAACCTACGCAGACACGGGGAGAACATGCAAACTCCACTCAGAAAGGCCCTGGTCCGACCGGGATTCGAACCCAGGACCTTCTTGCTGAGAGGCGAGAGTGCTATCCACTCAGCCACCGTGCTGATCAGTCTTCTCCTTGTTTGAGATGAAAGTTTGGAGGGATGGCCGGGTCTTGGTAGATTTGCAGTGGTCTGACACTCCTTCCATTTCAATATAATTGCTTGCACAGTGCTCCTTGAGATGTTTAAAGCTTGGGAAATCTTTTTGTATCCAAATCCGGCTTTAAACTTCTCCACAACAGTATCTCGGACCTGCCTGGTGTGTTCCTTTGTCTTCATGGTTCTCTCTGCGCTTTAAACAGAACCCTGAGACTATCAAAGAGCAGGTGCATTTATACGGAGACTTGATTACACACAGGTGCATTCTATTTATCATCATCATCAGTCATTTAGGACAACATTGGATCATTCAAAGATCCTCACTGAACTTCTGGAGTGAGTTTGCTGCACTGAAAGTAAAGGGGCCAAATAATATTGCACGCCCCACTTTTCAGTTTTTGATTTGTTAAAAAAGTTTAAATTATCCAATAAATTTCGTTCCACTTCACGATTGTGTCCCACTTGTTGTGGATTCATGACAAAAAATAAAAATGTTATATCTTTTTGTTTGAAGTCTGAAATGTGGCGAAATGTTGAAAGGTTCAAGGGGGCCGAATACTTTCGCAAGGCACTGTATGGGCATGTTCTGCTAATCTTTCGGTCCCCATGGCTGCATGTACCTCTGTAGAAGCTGCAGAGTTGCGGCACAGCGTCAATGTTTTCATTGATTCTGTTCAGAGCATCATCCAAAGTTTCTCCATCGATCTCTAAACTGTTGCTCGGTGAATCCAGGGGCCACAGGAACAGCTGCACACAGGTACAGGGGAGGTTATTACTTTACTCATACATATATTAGGACTGTCAAAATTATTGCGTTAATGCACGTAAATTAGATTATTTCATTAATTGCGTTAACAAAATTAACACATTTGACGCATGTGTCGAATGTCCGCCCATGAATTGCATAATAACACTAAGAATGCTGCGGACATGTGCGTGTGTGAGATGGAGTCAGAACAGATAGGTCCTCTGGGAATTAAAGTTTAAAGAATACACGGCTGACCACTGGGAACTTGCTTTTGTTTGCTATGAACGGGATTCCGCATCCTCCGCGGTTCCCACCTCCAGCGGCTGTGAGCGGCTCTGACAAAAACAAACGGCGCCGCCATAACGTGATCTAAGACCATACACGCCACGGGACTATTCTCAGCTTGTGTTCGTGTTTTTGCATAACCTGTGCACACAATAAATACACAGCTGAAGCTGGACCATGGAGTGTCTGCGTGTCTCCTTCCGAAACACAACTTAACTCATTAAGTTAAAGCTGGGGTACCCAAGCTTTTGGGTACCCCCCAGACTGTTTTGAAATAAACAACAGTTTTGGTCCATATGTACACTACATTGTCATTTATGTTTCCATTCGAACAACCATTTACAGGAAAATACGGCATAATAATTAATTATGATTAATACATTTTTAAGCTGTAATTAACTTGATTAAAAATTCTAATCATTTGAACTTATTGTCATGTTCAAGAAACCAGTCTGTGATGATTAATGACAAGGTGTTTTATCTGCTGGAAGTAGCATCAGAAGATGGTACACTGTGGTCATAAAGGGATGGACATGTTCAGCAACAATACTCAGGTGGCTGTGGCAACGATGCTCAAATGGTACTAAGGGACTCAAAGAGTGGCAAGAAAATATCCCCCAACACCATGACACCCCCAACACCACCTGAACCGTTGATACAAGGCAGGATGGATCCATGCTTTCATGTTGTTGACTCCAAACTCTGACCCTACCATCCGAATGTCGCAGCAGAGATCGAGACTCATCAGACCAGGCAACTTTTTACAATCTACTATTGTCCAGTTTCGGTGAGCCTGTGTGAATTTTAGCCCCAGTTTCCTATTTTTAGCTGAGAGGAGTGCTTCGTGTTCAGAGAAGCTCTTGCAGACCTTGGTTGAAAATAAGTGGTTATTTGAGTTACTGTTGCCTTTCTATCAGCTTTAATCAGTCTGGCCCTTCACCTCTGACCTCTGGCATCAACAAGGCCTTTTCGCCCACTGAACTGCCGCTCACTTAGCCTGGTTGTACCACACCATAGTACAAATGACATTTCATACTAGTTTCGTTCGGGCCTGAAAAATGAAGCCCGACCCGGCCCGAGCCCGCTAATGTTAAGCCCGAGCCCGTATAAGCCCGACCAATGAACGCTGTATTTCCCGTTGTACGCACTCACCTTCCAATTGCAAGTTTAGTCTCCACTTTTGAATTTGTTTTGTCTCCACTTGATCCATTTCTACTATTGTTCCTGTTCGCTGTTGACCACAGCATGCAGCAGGAGACACGGGGATGATGCGTTCACGGCTCGCTGCTGCTGTAGGACACGCTGGTTACGGTGTCATTAATATATTAACTTTTTTTAACAACAATCTTGTTGTCAATCAACGGACATTGTTATTTATATATATATATATGCAAATCATTATGTATAAAAATCATTTAAAAAATAATTATAATAATAATAAAAAAGAAACATATATTTTAAAAAAGAAGCCCGAGCCCGGCACGAACCCGACAGCTGAGCGCCAAATGAGGCCCGAGCCCGGCCCGAACTCAGGTCGGGCCTCGGGCCTGCTCGGAATCGGGCTAAAAGCGAAACTCTATTTCATACTAAGGTCTGGATTTGCTCCATTGAGCTCCGTTAACAGGTGGGAGGGGTTAACTCCTTTTGCAGATTGAAACGATTGGATCCGAGTTTACCGTGACATATGTAGTGCGCCCGAGTGTGTTGTTAGCATTTAGCCTAGCCATCTCCTTTGCCGCTAATGGAGCCCGTGGGGAGTAGCGCCACAATCTTGACCAGCGATTACATTTGCTAAACAATCCTCTTGCTCCTGCTTCGATTTCTTGATAGAACCAGACCGGATTACTTTACTATCGCATTCTTCGCCATTGCCAAACTACAACCTGCCCGTTCGGCGCAAACTCTTGACGTCACTGGCACCGACCTACAACACCCGCCTTCCGCGCTCTCGAAATACGACCAATTGTATTCGCTAACACAGGGACCAGACCCAGACATGCAGTGAAATGATGATTGAGCGGAGTGTACGGATGGCTATGGCCAGGCTACCGCTCACTGGATATTTTCTGTAAACCCTAGAGATGGTTGTGTGTGGAAATCTCATAAGTTTCTGAAACACTCAGACAACGTGCATGCAACATTCAAAGCCACTTAAATCATCTTTCTTCCTCATTCTGATGGTTTGAACTGCAGCATATTGTCTTGACCATGACTACAGCCAAAATGCATTGAGTTGCTGCCATGTGATTGGCTGACCAGGACTTTGCATTATAGTGGAGTTGGATAGGTGTACCTAATAAAGTGGCTGTTGAGTGTGTATAAAAATATATAAAATACATTTAAATTAGAGAACAGCCCATTTATTGATTTATTTCAATGTCTATTGAGGGGTCCTTCTCATGTTGACTTCCCTCCTGCATCTCTCATGAGTTCTATCTGCTGGAGTCTAAAGCCACTTCAGCAAATATTCTACATTCCTGCACAGCTCAAGTGCACAAAGCCGTAATAAACCCTATTTTTCACAAGCAATCATGAGATACTCGAGTGAAACGCTGAACTGTCACTCCGAGAGCTGAGGCTTCACTTTCCTCTCCTCGTTCTTATTCCCCGTTTTCTCACTTGGCTTAAACCACCGAATTGGCCCAAAGTTGGATTTTCCTAAATGAAGCAGATGAATAGTGTGTTAACTACACATCTGTGCTTTAGCCGCAGTGTCAGCTCACCTGCTCAAGTCATTCAATTCAATTTATTTTTGTATCGCCCTAAATAAAAGTAGTTCTCTCGGAGGACTTTACCAAACTGTTGATTCGCAACTACTCACTGATGACTGATCAGTATAATTTCATAAACCACGGCTAAGAACCTGTCACTTGCATCAGGATCCAAACCCTGGCTTCACCCTCCAAGAGGCGCAGCGTACCTCGTTAGGCGTCAACAGGTGCTTGACTCTCACAGGGAAGTTCTCTCCGTCTGGAGGCAGTTCTGGGTTAATGAAAGCCCCCAGAGGCTGCTCCTCCTCCCGCAGGCCCTGAGGTAAACAAACACATACTACAAGCTCTAAAAGATGTCATACTTTAACTTGTGAAGGGATACAGAATGATGCTTATGTCATCCAATATGTGAAATTGAACTGATGCAGATAATCGACAATACAGAATGATGTCACGTTTGTCAATGATAAAACCATGGTTACCTGTGTGTCGATGTCCCAGTCGTCCAGGAAGGTGGGGGCCGAGCGATCGCAGACTCCCTGGAACACACCGCTGTCAGTTCAACAGGCTCATGGATCACTGTAGGCCTTTCTATATTTTGTGTATGATTTGTTTGAGGTCTTCTCATTCCTTATTCTTAACCCTAACTTTATTTGAGCAGTTTTAAAGTGAATAATGAAATGCAGCTGGATGTTTATAGTGGACATTAGACACGATCATGAAGGTCGTATTTGCAGACAACTAAAGGCTGAAATTGAGATTTGTAACGGTTTCCCAAGACTTCAACACAATCATTGAAATGTCATGTTTAATGTTTGATCCTTGTATTATTCCCACACATTTAGCAACTGGTCCGGTAACTTACCACGTGTCGACTAAAGTTAAGAGCGTTGTGTGAACTGTTAATTATTATACACTTTAAAGATGAGGTTTATGAAGACAGGGTCACATGTCCTTCCCAATCAGGTGATCCCCAGCTCTAGTACTTTACAGGGTTTGTACAGATTTCCTCTTAAGGTTTTCCATGACTTTTCCATGACTTTTCCATGACCCTTAACCAATTTTCCATGGCCAAAAATTACTCAGTCAATTTCAATTGTTACTTGCATTCATTTGTTGATTTTGTGCCTAAACACATTTTACAGATGTCTTACAAACATTTTATGGAAGACATTTTACAGATGTCTTCAATAAAATAAAATACTTTTAAAGGGAACATATTCTGCAAAAAAACGACAGAATTTTAAAGTACAACACTGTTAGAATAGTTTTTCATTCATGCAGTTTTGAGTTAAGGGTTATTTTGAGTCATAGGAAAATCACAGAACTGTCCACCACATTTTTCCTCTCAAAGTGTGTTAACCAGGGTGCAATTGAGTTGCAAAACAACTTTCAGTTGATCACTTTTTACTAAGTCATTCCTGCTGCTGCCTCTAGAGGGAGCTCTAGGTACGCTGGCCAGCTCAGGCCTCTATGTGTCAGATCACTATCTTATCATTAAATAAAAAATACTTAATAAAAGGTTGGGTAACCAAACATTGTTTTTATTTAGCCTAAATTCAGCATGCAAAGTCAACTTTTTATCAAAAATATTAACTGTTGTACCTTCAATACATTCCTGAACAAAAAGTAACCATGCAATTACTTCCAACAATAAAATATACTCAAAATGGTAGCCATGTATGTACTGCTACATTTCTGCATTGCATTACAGACTAACTGAAGTGAAAGTAGTGTCTCAGTACAGGTAAATATTGTAATAAAACAGCTTCAGTGCTTTAACTTAAGTTCGAGTAAAAATAAAGTGTCTCTCACTACAGACTAAGAAGGCTTCCCCTGTTCATTCTGAAATATAAAATAGCTGCAGTACTTTAACTGTAGTTCAAGTAAAAAATAAAGTGTCCCAGTACAGACTGAGTAGGCCTATATTGCCATGTTAATGGTTAAATGTAAATAAAATAAAAAAAGTTCAAGTAACAATAAAGTGTCCCAGTATTGCAGGCCAAGGTTTGCAGTTAATTCTTCAAGACACATAAATAGCCAGCTCCAGTGCATTTAATTCAAGTAATAATACAAAATAAACATATCAAAAAGCCTAGTTAGTACATTTTAAAGTATCAGTGTGATATAGTGAGTAAGCAGGCCTATATTCTGTAAAGGTCTTAGGCCATTTATAGTTTGTAGCTCATTCTTTGGTTTTCATCTCAAGAAGCTTGTCGTCCATTTGCTTATCGAGATCCTGTAGAGAGATTTTCTTTTCCTTAGCCGTGCGGCGCAGACTGTTTGACTTTGTTATGAAGGTTATGTTGCCAGTGTTTTCTGCTTTGTTGGCGTAGTCGTCTGCTGCCTTCTCCAATGCAGAAACATCCTGATGTATTCTGGCTTTCTTCCTTTTTAGTTCATCTAGTTCATCTGTAAGTGCCTTTCTCTTTTCCACAGACCTTTGCTTCTCATTTGCCCTCCTCATATCATCCAAGTAGCTTTCGTATCGCTGTCGTGCACATGAAACTGACATGAAGAGTTCCTTGGTGAGAGGTACATTTGTCACATCACCAACAGCCCTAATGTGTCCCACAATGAGCCTCTGAGCAATGAGTGACTGTTCCTTTTGATTTTCCACAATTATCTCTTTGTTTATGGAAAACCCTCTCTACACTTGCTTGCCAATACAAACATAAGAGCGAGTGCTCAACGTCCCATCCCGCTGCGCTGGACCCCGCTCTGAAAGCGTTGTGTAGTACGTGCAGACCACAAGAGCCAATGTTTAACAGCGACTTGTCCACCTGTTTTTGCATCTCTTTTTGAATCATGTCATATGCTTTCCAGTTCACGTAGGGTCCGTCCATTGACAGCTGGATGAGGTTTTTAATTCCCATCTCGGACAACGTGTTGCACATCTTTTCCACAATATCAGCCGCTGTAGAATGTCCAAGAAACTGGGAACCGATATATTTGCTTTTGACTTCTCCACCTTCCCACACGCGTACGTGAATGTCCAATTGCTTCGACTGTAAGCTATGGTTCAAAGACTCGTCAAATAGCACGACGTATGCGGTTTGTTGTGACACTTCTTTCAATAAAAGTCTTTTGATATACGGCGCAAGCCCAAATGTGGCGATGTATGCACACTTCTTCTCACCGCATGTGAAATCTTGTGGCAATTTGGCTGTCTGGGAACATAGCTGCAAACAGACGACTCTTGCCCTCTGACGATTTGTAGGAGTAATGCGAATTCATTACTTTTAATACCCATAGTATCTCGGCTTTCAGTACCTCATTTTTAGAGGAAAAGTCCAACGTTCCTTGAGTTGTTGTCGGTGCTCTTGGCGTGGGGGTTTTCTGTACACTAGCGCCTATGAACTGGCTGATGGGAATCGCCGCGGCATTTGCCCTCATGGCTAACTCATGTTTTTTCCCTTTCATATGGCTCGCCAGAGCAGACTCCCCCATATTCGAAATGTCACACGTTTTACTGCATAGCTTACACTTGGCGTGACTTGAGTCGGAGTCTTTTTGAAGCCAGCTCTGATATTTTTCCACAAATAGCCACGCATTGTTGAATCTGCATTTTCCTGGCATGATGGTTTTGCTGAGTCGCTGTAGTACGGAAAACACGTAGCTGGCCTCGAGTCAAGCGGGGGGCGTGTCGCTAATGGCTGCAAGCAACCTGTCTGCCCGAATACAATGTGCGCGCTGGAGTGCTTTACGATTGTTTTTTATTTATTCATTACATATTTATATAGCCTTAAATTTTTTTAAACATACATTTTGTAAAATTTCCAAACTTTTCCAGGACCTACAAAATTCCAAAACTTTTCCTGGGCCTGGAAATTAGATTTTAAAATTCCATGACTTTTCCAGGTTTTCCATGACTGTACGAACCCTGACTTTAGAAATATTCCGCAGGTTTCAATATTAACGGCTTATTACACGGCTCCTCACAGCAGCAGTAGAACGCTCCATTGATTTGAACGTCATTTCAAAACGTTCTACCGGTCATTTTTTTTTTTTTTAAACAGACCTCTCAAAACAATAATGATCAAGATCCTGATCAGATCACTCCGCAAGTAGTCTGGCTACTTCGTCAACGAGCTTTGAGCGACACCGTCTGGCCGAAAACATGAGCGAGTTTAAAGTGGATTTTATTATGTACGGGAAGTATGGGGATTTTGATCACTGGTGGGACGCACAATCTAATTTGCCGTCTCCCAAACGTAAACGAAAAACTCAAGAAGAACAGGAGGAGAGCAACCAAGAAGAACAGGAGGTAGAGAAGACTAACAAGAGGCATAAACACCTAACGGCTGACGAGATTGATGAAATAGAGGAAAACCGCCATGAGACAAACACAAAGAAGAGCACAATTTGGGCAATGAAAGTATTCAAAGATTGGATAAAAGAGTCCAACAATTCGTTTGTTTTGCGGATGATGCAGATGGGTTGAACACACTTTTGAGAATGTTTTATCCATCTGTGCGTACCAGCGCTGGAGATGTCTACTCTGTGGCAAGTTACACTGCTCTGTGTAGCGGAATAAACCGTTATTACAGCCAGTATAACATCCTAAAGAATCAACTATTCAATTCCAGCAACAATATTTATAAATCAGTCATAAAGGCAAATTGCAAGAGTGGCAAAGACACCAGCCAGCCTCATCCGCCAATCTCCAGCACTGATTTGAAGAAGATAAACGATTCTGGTGTCCTCAATTCAAGCACAGCGATTGGCCTTGTGAGAAAAGTATGGTTTGATGTTCAGTTACACCTTGCACGTAGGGGAAGAGAAGGTAACCGGGACCTAACACGAGAGTCGTTTATATTCAAGCAAGATGAAAATGGAAAAGAATTTATCACATTATCCCACAACGCTGACACAAAAAAAAAAAAAAAAAAATCACAAAAACCCCTTGGATCCGATGCAACAGATATATTGCGGCTGCATTTTTGCTGAGCCAACAAACCCAAATTGTCCAGTTGCAAGCTTTAAATTGTATCTTTCCCTTTGCCCACCGGATTCCTCTGCATTCTACCTTCACCCTCTTAGAAAGCCACAGGAAGACCTCAACCAGCAGAACATCTGGTATTCCAGGGAGCCCATGGGGCATAATGCCAAATATTAGGAAGGCAGCGGCACTTTCGAGGCGCTACACCAACCATAGCCTGCGCAGTACAGCTGTGCAGCTATTGTCAAAAGCCGGCCTGCAAACACTGGAGATTATGACGGTTACCGGACACAGATGCGAAACCAGTCTGAAGAGCTACTGGACTCCCACAACATCTGACCGGGAGAAGTGGAGCCAGATCCTTTCTGGTGAGTTGCCTTATTACATTTTTCCCTTCTATCCCGCAAGCCCTGTTCAGCATATTTACGCTAGTGTTATCTATTTCCAGAGGCGCCCACTACATCTGTCTCTGCAAGAGAAGCTGGGGGAATCTCTCCTGAGTTTAACGGGAGTAAGGCTTTCAACTTAGCCAGAGATACACCACCATTCCTCATCTCCAACTGCACCTTCAACAGGAATATCCAGTTTAATGTGAATAAGTAGCTAGATATTACACGCAAAGCCACACTGCCTGCCCGCGGTTGCCGAGCAACGGGAAAACCTTTTGGGACTACTTTATTTGTTGTCATTAAATAAACTTTTGGCATTCATAAGTGATCTGAAGTTTATTTTGTGTAAGTTGGTACAAAGCAGTATAATAAGCGGGTAATGTATAGCATACAGGTCATAATCGGAAAATAAGTACCTTGTCGGTACTTATTTTCCGATAATGACCTGTATGCAATACATTATCCCTTACTTATTAACCAAGTGCGAGGTCTATATGGGGAAATATCAGACCGCGGCCTTAATGTACTGTGCAAAAAGGCCAAGGTCTGATATTTCTCTGTACAGACCGAGCAAGCGAGGTTAATAAATGTTTTATTATATGACTATTTTTAATTTATGCAAATATTGATCTCCGACTTGGTTTTCCTAATCGTGTTTTTAGCTTTCTGGTCTGCAACGAAGTCTCATCTTGTCTGTTAGTTATTCTTTCTTCCTTATTTTCTGTAATTTCTTCCTCTAGCTCATCAAACTCGTCCGGATAATAGAATTCACCGGGAGAATGCTCCCAGTTGTCGCCCATTATTTCTTTTTTACCGAGGAAACTCAGGAAACTAATCAATTGTGATACGCGCTGCGGACTGATTGTCATGGTAACGGTCCGAGGAAAGATATCAAATGTGATACGCGCTGTTCGGACCAATTGTCATGGTAACTGTCTGAGATGGGAAAATATCAGACCGGTAAATAGCCAATCAGAGCGCGCGTACGGTCCAAGTCATATAATAAATTGGTGTATCGCCCTCCTTCAGACAACTTTACAAAGTTGTCGATTCGCCAACACAGATCCGAGAAACCGATCTGCTGCAGCAGGAACCCCTCCTCACCTGCTGTCTGACCTCAGGGTCCAAGGAGCCGTGACAGTTTTCACTCATGATGACACTGAGACTCAGACCGTCCACAAACAGCTCCACGGTCAGAGGCCCCCGGGGGTCCGCAGGCAGCTCCTGCACAAACATGTGTCTCAGTCTGAGGGAAAACCAAACCAGAACCAAGAGATAAACTGTGTCATTACCATAATGTTCACATCCACACAGCGGTTTAGCAACAGCTCAGAGAGCAGAGCCACAGCCTCCCTCTGCCAGTGCCCTCCCACCTGCACAGACCAGTTAGTTAGATAGATAGCAAGTTAGATAGTTAGTAAGACAGCTAGTTTGGTCCTGTGTGACTGACCGGAGTGATGCCGTAGAGCTCACAGGGCACACACAGCTGAGGCACATCCTCAAACAGCAATCTGGGGTGAACATGGACCACAGGGACGCTCTCCACATGCCCGTAGTCGATGTACTGAACCTGCAGGAGCACAGAGCATTAGCACAGAGCACAGAGCATTAGCACAGAGCATTAGCACAGAGCAATAGCACAGAGCAATAGCACAGAGCAATAGCACAGAGCAATAGCACAGAGCATTAGCACAGAGCATAAGCACAGCCTTCGCAGGATTGATCAGTGTGGGGCACATGTGGACAGTGGTTAGCAGACCTTGACGTGTCCGCCCAGCACCTCCAGCCGCTGGCCTCGATACCAGAGCATGTCAGGGCCGTAGATGATGCAGCCATGAACACTCTTCCAGGTGTAGCTCTTCTGACAAGCGTTAAACTTCATGCTCTGCTGCAGCCGCTTCTTCAGCTGCTCCAACTGCCGCTCTGCAACAACACACAGGCTTTAGAAGAGACACACACCACACACACACATAACATACACACAATATAGACCCCATACACCACACACACTGGTCTTCTCTCTTTCATGGAAACACACACCAGTGCAACAGTGAGGGTCACGTATTTGATCCTCTGTGGAGTATTTAAATTCCCCTTTTTACTGGAGTAATGGATGACATGGCATGCTGTTCTAGAATCAGTCTAGCGATGGGCGATATGGCAAAAAAGTAAAATTTCAGTTCTATTTCATCCCTTCTGACCGCCAGAGGGCGGTGCATAGCACTGAATGTTCCCTTCGCGCATGCGCAGTTCGAGTAATAATACCAAATGAGTCACACCTGTGACCCCCTGGGTGACACACCGGAGGTAATAAAGTCCAGCGTCATCCAGCACTCTGTTCCTTTTTTCTTCTCGCGTGCGGTTCGAATCGTTGCTGCTTGAACCTCGTCAACGTCTGTCGCTGAAGCCCTCTTCATCGGAGCTGCGGTTCGCCCTCCGTGGGGCGCGACGGTGATGTCCTTCGGGTATTTATTGGTGTTTTCTGTCTATATACGTGTGTATTGTTTGATGTGCAGGCTGCTGTTGCGCCCGCTCCTCCATCAGTACTTTCTTTTGGTTACCTATTGCTACATGCATTTCGTGGTGTGAAGGCTGCGGTTCGTTCGCCCGCTCCTCCGCCTGTGCGTGTTAGGGTTAGCTTTTTGCTAACTGTATTCTGTGGTGTGAAGGCTGCGGTTCGTTCGCCCACTCCTCCATCAGTTCTTATTTGGGTTAGTTTGTGCTACCGGTGTCCTCTGTGGTGTGAAGGCTGCTGTTCGCACGCCCGCTCCTCCATCAGTTCTTATTTGGGTTAGTTTTTGCTACCGGTGTCCTCTGTGGTGTAAAGGCTGCTGTTCGCACGCCCGCTCCTCCATCAGTTCTTATTTGGGTTAGTTTTTGCTACCGGTGTAGTCTGTGGTGTGAAGGCTGCGGTTCGTTGTCCCGCTCCTCCATCAGTTCTTATTTGGGTTGGCATTTGCTGCCTGTGTTTATTCTGTGGCCGGTGTATTGTGTGGTGTGAAGGCTGCTGTTCGCGCGCCCTCTCCTCCATCGCTACTTTATTGAGTTGGCATTTTACTGCCGGTGTATTGTGTGGTGTGAAGGCTGCTGTTCGCGGGCCCGCTCCTCCACCGTGCTATATTGGCTTTTCTGTTGTGAAACTGCAGTACGTTCATTCGGTTCTGAAGTTTGAATACCGTTTGGGATAAATTAAATATTCAATTAAAAAAAAACAAAAAAACCTTGTTGTTATGGACGGGTCACATGCGTGTGTGGGCTGCGGGTCAGCACTCGATGTTGATGACGGCCATGACCTGTGTCCGGCGTGCCTCGGCCCCACTCACTTGAGGGAGGCAGTGTCCGATAACCCGTGCATGAACTACAGCTGCTTGCCCTGGGCTGTTAGGGTGGCGAGGCTGGTTCAGCTGCCTTCGTCTGGCGACGGTGGTAGTTTGCCAGTGGGACCTGCTGTGGCTCCACCCCCTCGGCGTTCTAAGCGCCGTGCTGAGGCCTGTGCTTCAGGGGAGCGGTCTGATGCCCATGGTCCTTCCAAGCAGGCCAAGCCGGATGCTGTCCTGGTGTCGAGGGTGGAGCAGTTATCTGCAGAGTTGGAGGCGATGAAATCCGCATTTCAGGCACGTTGTGCTGCTGATGCCGTCTCTGGGGCTGGTTCTTGCTCCATGCCATCCCTCCATCCGGAAGAGGATGTGCTTTCTCTGGCGGCATCTGCTTCGTGCTTCCGGGACGAGGATGACGCGCGGTCCCTTTCGGGGGACGATTCTTATTCTTCCGCGCATAGTGTGTCCAGCCGGTCTGGTGACGGCTCAATGCAGGAGGTTCTTCGCAGGGCCTTATCCCGTCTGCAGGTGGAACTTCCCCAGTCGGGACAGGCTGACCCTGGCAGTGCTTTTTTCAGGCGTGGTGGTTCGTCTCCTGCTTTTGTTGTGCCCCCGTCCGCGGAGTATCTAAAGGAGCTACACGCGTGCTGGAGGGACCCCAGCCGTCTCTCTAAGCTTTTGGCTGAGGGTCGGCCTTTGGCCGCGATGCACGATGCTTCTTCGCCTGGCCTGGATTGCATGCCTGCTTTTGAGCCGGCTGTTGCCTCCCTCATTGTTTCCCCAGAGGAGTCCTTGCGGGAGAATGTGAGGTGCCCTCGGAGCCAGTGTCGTGCGACGGATCACTTGCTAACAAAGGCCTACAATTCTGGTGCTCGAGCTGGCCGTATTGGTAACTCGTTAGCGCATCTGCTGCTTGCCCTGTCTGCCTCCCTCCAAGAGGGTAGTGCTGTGGGCACTGATGTTACTGCGTTTAGCGACGCAGCTCTGCATGCATTTGCCTTGATGACCAGGGAACTCGGACGGGTCATGTCGGTCCTTGTACAGGCTCGTCGGCAGGTATGGCTGGCTCAGTCTCCCCTGACTGAGGCCTGTCGTAGGACCCTCCGTGACGTGCCTGTCGAGCCGGGTCAGCTGTTTGGGACGGCGGCCCAGGAAGCATTGGACCGGACTGTCCATGCTGGTCAGACTAGACAGCAACTTTCTAGCCTTAGCAGGGTGGTGCGCCCTCCCCAGCAGTTTTTGCGCCCGATGGTGGCCCCCTGTGTTCGGCAGCCTCATCGGGATTGGTCTGGTGCTCAGCGTTATCCCCAAGTCAGGCCTGCCGGGAATTTTCGTGCCCCACCCGTAGCTCGAGTGTTGGGCTGCTCGAGCTCGGGATCCGTGGGTGGTTGCCACATTGACCCACGGATCCCGTCTGCAATTCCGACGCCGGCCGCACTTGTCGGGCCGGGTCAAGGTTACTTTGATCTCGGACCCGGCAAAAGCCTTTATCTTGGATCAGGAGCTCTCCGCCCTCCTGACCAAGGGTGCCATCGAGGCGGTAGATCCGCTGCTGCAACCCAGGGGTTATTACTCCCGTTATTTTCTCGTGCCCAAGAAGAAGGGGGGTTTTCGACCCATTTTGGATCTGAGGGGCTTGAATCATTTCCTGAAGGTCATTCCGTTTCGCATGCTGACGACTGCGGAAATCCTTCAGACTGTTGGGGCCGGGGAATGGTTCACGTTCATAGATTTGAGGGACGCGTATTTTCACGTGCCCATTGCGCAGCCCCACCGGCGGTTCCTCCGGTTCGCCTATCGGGGCGTTCACTGGCAGTTCAGGGTTCTTCCCTTTGGCCTCTCTCTCTCTCCGAGGGTTTTCACTCGATGCGTGAAGGCGGCTCTTGCTCTGCTGCAGGCCAGTGGCATGAAGGTGTTGCCTTATCTGGACGATTGGCTGATCTGCGCTCCGTCCAGGGCACGGTCCTTGGGAGATACGGAGCGCCTTCTGACTCATGTCGCCCGTTTGGGTTTCAGGGTCAATTTCGAGAAGAGCAGCCTGGTGCCTTCGCAGGCCGCTGTTTTTCTTGGCCTGAGTCTGAACACGGTGACTATGACGGCGCGTCCTTCGGTGCGCCGCCTGGTCGACATCCACGGTGTGGTGTCCCGTTTCGGTCTTGGCACCCTGCACAGTTACATCAGCTTTCTACAGCTGGTGGGGAAGCTGGCCTCGATCTCTTGTGTGGTTCCACTCGGGCTGCTTTCGCTTCGCCCGTTGCAGAGGTGGCTGAACGGGTTTCGTTTGGATGCCGTTCGTCACCGCCACAGACGGTTGCAGGTGACGTGGGCATGTTTTCGTGCTTTGGCTCCATGGAGGGACCGGGGTCTCCTGTCACGTGGGGTCCCCTCGGGGGTGGTAGTGTGCCGCAGGGACGTGGTCACCACCGACGCCAGCCGTACGGGAGGGGGTGCTGTGTGGCAGCACAGGTTGGCCCGAGGGGTTTGGTCTCGGGCAGAGCGCTCAGACCACATAAATGTACTGGAGCTGCGGGCCGTCCACCTTGCTCTCCAGGAGTTTTATGTCCTCATTTGTTCGGACAACACCTCGGTCGTGTATCACATCAACCATCAAGGGGGTGTCCGATCGGCTCGGCTCCTCGAGGTGTCTCAGGCGCTGCTGGTTTGGGCTGCGCCTCGCCTGTCAACACTGCGTGCAGCGTATCTGCCAGGGGACTGCAATCGCGTGGCGGACTCCCTGTCTTGCGGGAGGCCTGCCCCGGGGGATTGGTGTCTCCATCCCAGTGTGGTCCAGAGGATATGGGCCTTTTTGGTCAGGCACAGGTGGACCTATTCGCTTCGGTGGCCTCCACTCATTGCCCTCAGTTTTTTTCCCTGGACGGGGCTCCGGGCTCTCTCGGCCAGGATGCCCTGGCGCACAGTTGGCCTCAGGTCCTCCTGTACGCCTTCCCCCCTTTTCCTCTGATCTGGCCCACCCTCCAGAGAGTCCTTCGGGCGGGGCACAGGTTGTTGCTGGTGGCTCAGTTTTGGCCTGCACGGCCCTGATTTCCACTGCTACTCAGACTTTGTTGGGCTCCCCCCTGGCCTCTCCCTCCCAGGCGGGATCTGCTCTCACAGCTGGACGGTCAGGTGTGGCATCCCTGTCCTCACCGCCTAAAGTTATGGGTGTGGCCGTTGGCTGGCCCGAGCTGCGGGCGCTCGATGTCACTGGCCCTGTCAGGCGTACACTCCTGAATGCCAGGGCGGCCTCTACTCAGCGGCTGTATGAGAATAGGTGGAAGTTGTTCTTCCGCTGGTGTTATTCCCGCGGTCGGGATCCCGTGTCGTGCCCGGTGGCGGTTGTCCTGGAATTCCTTCAGTCTCTCCTGGATGAAGGTCGTGCCCCATCTACTCTGAAGGTATATGTTGCTGCTATTTCATGTTATCATGGCCAGGTTGATAACTGTACTGTGGGGGGCCATAACCTGGTGTCTCTCTTTTTACGCGGAGCTCGTAGGCTGCACCCTCGCGTGCCCGCACGGTCTCCGGTTTGGGACCTGGCCTTGGTGTTGGAGTCTCTCTGCCGCCCTCCGTATGAGCCATTGGCCCGAACGGACCTCAAGTGGCTCTCCTATGAAACTGCTTTCCTGTTGGCTGTGGTCTCTGCAAAAAGGGTCGGTGAGTTGCATGCACTTTCTGTCAGTCCCTCATGCCTACACTGGGATCCCGAGAAGGCTGGCGTGGTCTTGTGGCCTAATCCCACTTTCCTCCCTAAGGTGCTTTCCTGTGACTATTGTAACCGGCCTTTGAGGTTGGCGCGGTTTGTGTCTCCTCTGGATGGGGGTGGGGACAGACTGCACCTGCTGTGTCCTGTGAGGGCATTGGAGGCCTACGTTGCTGCGACGGTGGGTGTGAGGCGCTCAGACCAGCTCTTTGTTGCTTATGGTGGTGCTAGACTGGGAAGTCCACTTTCGAAGCAACGCCTTTCCCACTGGGGGGTTGACGTTATCAGTCAGGCGTACGTTTCGGCCGGCCGCGACCCGCCAGCCGAGGTGAGGGCCCATTCTACCAGGGGTGTCTCTACCTCCTGGGCCGCTATGCGCGGGGTGCCGTTGGGGACTATTTGTGCTGCTGCGTCTTGGGCTACACCAAGCACGTTCACCAGATTCTACAACATCAATGTGGCCACTCCGGCTCCTCTTGGCGTGGTCCTTCAGGATAGGGTTGGGCGATATTTTTTTTGTACCGGTATACCGGTATAAGTAAATTAAATGATAAGAAAATGCCTTATACCGGTGAAAACAATCATTTAACACTGAAAACAGTGAGCGGAAGACACGTTTGTGTGCGGCGCACTTTGATGACGCATCTGCGCGGCACGTGTAGCAGAGCGGCGTGCAGCGACAACAACAACAGAGCAGAGAGCAAACATGGCTGAGGGCGGCGGTGAAGACCATGGTGAAGACATGCAGATTGTAGAAGACATTGTGCCAAAACGCGGAGCTACCTCAAACATATGGGAGTTGTTTGGGAACTAGATAAAAAGAAGCAATTGTGTGTAACTATCGACAGTGGATCTAATGTTGTGAAAGCAGCTGCCCTAAACAACTGGACTCGAGTGGCTTGCTTCGGACACTCGCTCTCTCTCTCTCATAGTGCCATTGGTAAGCTTTATTTAATGTTTACTGTCATTCATTTTACTTCAATGCATGTGTTTGTCTACATTGCAATATAATTACAAATAAGTTATAATTACATAATTATAGAAACTAAAAAGGATACAAAAAATATATACAGTATTTGATCATTTTGACTATATTGGGATTAGGAAACATAAGCCAAAATGATCAAATAATTATTTGATAATGCTACACTTTTTATATTACAAAGGACAAACTTTTATATATTTTACAAATTACAAATGTTCACCTTTATTACATGTTGCCTGCAATTTTCAGTATGTACAAAACAGAATTCTCTACAATTCAGTTTTGTTAATACGTTTTATATACAATAGCTGTATTACACATTTTGCTGCCAATAAATTAGTAAATGCACTTTGAGGCAAGTGTGTTTAAAATTATCAGTGCTAAGTTTTTATAGCTTTTATATGAGGCTTTGTTAAAATTATCATATCGTCATATCGTGATACATACCAACACAAATCGTGACACATGCTGAGGCCCATATCGCCCAACCCTACTTCAGGATCCTTCGTGACATAGCTGGTATAAGGTCACGAACGAGGGTTACGTATGTAACCACGGTTCTATGAATCCCGGATGACCGCCAGAGGCGCTCTGTCACTCAGGGCCCTGGCGTCCACTGGACGCTGGACTTTATTACCTCCGGTGTGTCATCCAAGGGGTCACAGGTGTGACTCATTTGGTATTATTACTCGAACTGCGCATGCGCGAAGGGAACATTCAGTGCTATGCACCGCCCTCTGGCGGTCATCCGGGATTCATAGAACCGTGGTTACATACGTAACCCTCATTTTATTTCCTGTTTTGGACGATGTCGATTTTAAATCGATTTTCATTAAAGTCACTCAAGACAGACTTTGCCCTTAACTCATTGACTGCCAGCCCATTTCAGAACAGGTACTCCCATATTGCCAGCCGTTTCTGATGGTTTTTACTGATTTTTAAAGACCCACAGAATATTGTGTACTATGACCAACATGTGCACCTAACTGTTTTCAAACCATTCAGAGAAATGCTGCCACCTGCTGGCTCGATAAAATATGGTCTCAAGTCATCCCCATACATATTAGATACAATAGACATCTGGGAAGGTGAAAATAGCGAAAAAGGCATTTGACGTATTAATGCGTCAATGGAACACAATGAGTTAAAATATTTTTTATCTTCCCGCTCAATATTTAAGTTTCAAAACTATTTTTTTATTTGTTTCCCCCAATACATAATATTAAAGTCTAGTAGAGACTGTGCTGATATTGCAAGTATAATTGATGTGCTGCTGGAACTCTCACAATATCCCTCATTCGATTATGGGATTTTCACATTTTTCACGAATTCGATTTTTTCACAAGCCAATTAATTGCCAAAATTCGATTTATTGCCCAGCTCTAAATCAGTCCCATGTTGGTGTTGTTCTAGAATCAGTCCCATGTTGTTCTAGAATCAGTCCCATGTTGATGTTCTAGAATCAGTCCCATGTTGTTCTAGAATCAGTCCCATGTTGATGTTCTAGAATCAGTCTCATGTTGATGTTCTAGAATCAGTCTCATGTTGATGTTCTAGAATCAGTCCCATGTTGATGTTCTAGAATCAGTCCCATGTTGATGTTCTAGAATCAGTCCCATGTTGATGTTGTCCTAGAATCAGTCCCATGTGGATGTTGTTCTATAATATATTTTATTTAAAAAGCGCCTTTCAAAACACCCAACGACAATGTACATAATAAAAACATTTAAAACAGGCGCAACAGAATAAAACTGTAGTGCATCAGGGCTCGACATTAACTGTTGTCAGCTTGCCAGGGGCAACTTTAGATTTGGGACGGGCAAGTGCGCTGTTTTAGCAAGTTGACCGGGCAAGTGAAGTATTACTGTAACCCACTCAATGCGGGAATGCTTTCCCACATTTCTTCCTCCGGAGCCGGACACGTATGATTATCTGTTTTTGACCAATTATCTTCAACATTTTCTACGGATCCGCAATTCCTGACTGTTTTACGCTGACAATGCCATTTCTGTGAAATGTGTGGCCGCGGGCACTTTCTGTTGTTTGCTGTACGTACTAGAACGCTTTTTGCATCCTCCACTCTGATCCTGGGAGCTGCTACGGCCGCTTTGGAAACATCTCAATGAACACAATGCCTAACCTGGTACCGAGCGCAGACCATAGACGTGGACAGAATCATAGACGCAGACAGAACCATAGACGCAGACAGAACCATATAGACGCAGACAGAACCATAGACGCGGACAAGACACGCGGATAGGATCATAGACCCACGCTGACAGAACCATATGGACACGCGTTCAGGATCATCACCAGCTTGTTGCAAGTGCAGGTCTCCCCCGTGTCTCCTGTGCGCAACCAAAACTCACGAAATTAAAGCTTGGGTACCTAAATTTCCTCTTGCATTAAAAATGCATGTCGGTTGTGCACAAAAGTAAAATGTTGTTTACATATCAAACAGAACACACCACAACAGGCATCTTGTATTTTAATTTGCAAAGTTAAGAGCCCTGGGAGTCATTATTTGACTTTTTGGACTGAGAGTGAATTTTTTTCCAGTTAGAGCCACTTTAACTAACTATTGTTAACTCATTGTTTTGAGAAATACTTAGACAAGTAACTTTTGACATTGGGCAAGTAAAATATAAATGGTACTTGCCCAAAGGGCAAGTGGCTGAGAAAGTTTAATATCACGGCCTGGTGCATTATGGGATGGTGGGTGCGTGTGTGTGAGGTGGGGTAGAACAGATGGGTTTGGAGTCTGGATTTGAAGAGTGGAAGAGAGTCAATGGTACGGAGGTCAGGGGGGAGAGTGTTCCAGAGCTGGGGGGCAGAGTGGCTGAAGGCTCTGTGTCCCACGGTGATGAGTCTGGCTGGGGGCCGGAGAGTGTAAAAGTGGAGTAGGACGGAGTGGAAGGGCAGGAGTGGAAGGGTGGAAGAGGTCAGATAAGTACGGGGGGCCAGGTCGTGAAGTGCTTTGAAAGTGGTGAGGAGTATTTTGAAATTGATGCGTTGTTTAACAGGAAGCCAGTGGAGTTGTCGTAGTACGGGGGGGATGTGGTCAGCTGTGGGGGTCCGGGTGATGATGCGGAGGTATTTGTACGGGAGGCAGAAGAGAAGTGAGTTGCAGTAGTCAATCCTAGAGGTCACAAGGCTGTGGACGAGGATGGCGGTGGTGTGGGGGGTGAGAGAGGGGCGGAGACGAGAGACATTGTACAGGTGGTAGTAGGCAGGCCGAGTGATGTTATTGATGTGAGATTGGAAGGAGAGTGAATTGTCGATTATTATTATTATGTTGATGTTGTTCTAGAGTCAGTCTCATGTTGATGTTGTTCCAGAATCAGTCCCATGTTTATGTTGTTCTAGAATCAGTCCCATGTTGATGTTACTCACCTGCGTTGGTTGTTCGGCCGTAGATGGTTCCATCGTCTCCGATGGCAGACACTGTCATGAGGATGTGGCCAGGGCAGGGCAGCTCTGGGGCCAGGTACAATGGGGTGCAGATCTAGAAAAACACAATGGGCCTCATTCACAAACCGTTCTTAGGAACACATTTTTACGTAAATCCTACTTACGAGGATTTTACGAAGATTGTGGCATCCATGAATTTTTCCTGTATCAAGAATTTCTCTTGGGTAAGTACAAATCCTACGAGTGCTCAGGAGCACTCTTAAGCACATTCAGTGCCGACATGTTCACACGCTGGTGTTGTCTACTTTGGTTAAGTTCAATAAAATACAACATTACAGTGATATGTCCGTCATAGATGTATGTATTTATTAATTTAAATTTTAGTGGTTATTTAGCCTTTTTTAAAATAAATTCTTAAATGTGCCAACGCTTTATATTGGAAATCATGCCGTCTATATTAGTGACTAGGGATGTAACGATATTGACAATATCGCGATATCGCGGTAGTAAAAGTGCCTCAATGTCGTCGTGGTCTTGTTACGATATTTAAACGGACAGTTATCCGTCAAAAACAACTAGAATAAGTCGGATCCCGCGGAAAAAAAACATTGTAAACTACATAGACCATGATCCTTTGCGCTGCGTCGTCACAACAAATGAGCTGTTGAGCCAATAGGAGCGCATGTTTTACGCTGTAGTGTCCACACAACAAGTGAACATGGCGGTTAGCGGCGACCAAAGTGGGGCTCCCGTGGATACTGATGAAAACGCCCCCGAAGTTGTGCCAGCCCCTGCAGCTTTTAAGTCAGACGTATGGCAGCATTTTGGTTTCGCTGTGTCAAAAAATGCTAAAGGAGAGAGGGTGGCGGACAAACAATGGACCATGTGCAAACACTGTCACGCGAAATTACGATACACCACGGGAAACACCAGCAACATGCGGAGCCATCTGACGACCCATCACCTTGAAAAGTTTACAAATAAAGTCGCGTCAGGTCAAAAAACCTTACAGAAGGCATTTTTGACAACTATGCCACACAACAGCACAAAGGCTCAAGAAATTACGAGGTACATCGCGGAATACATAGCGTGTGATTTACGTCCCTTTTCTGCAGTAGATGGAAAAGGATTTAAAAGGTTAGTGGCTAAGCTTGAGCCAAAGTATAAGATGCCATCGCAGGCTCATTTTAGTCAAACTGTGTTCCCTGCTCTTTACCGTGAGACAAAAGAAGAAGTTATGCTGAGCCTTAAACAGTCAGAGAGCATCGCTATTACCACTGATGGATGGACCTCACGAGCGACCCAGAGTTACATTACTATTACGGCGCATGTTATAACGAATGAATGGGAGATGAAGAGTTTTGTTTTACAAACAAGGCCGCTAAGCGAATCACACACTGGCGCAAACATAGCCGAAGTGCTCAAATCTGCAGTCAAAGACGAGTGGAGGCTGGACAAGATTAGCACAAGGATCGCTGTAGTTACTGACAACGCAAGCAACATGCGAGTAGCAGTTAACGAAGCCGGGCTGTCTCCTCACATAAGATGCTTCGCGCACACATTAAACCTGGCCTCCCAAGCAGGTTTAAAGGTAAACGCTGTGAACCGTCTCCTCGGTAGAGTCAGGTGTGTGGAAAGTTTTTTTCATCGCAGTCCTACAGCCACAGCCGTGCTGACCAGCAAACAAAAACTACTCAATCTCCCTGTGCACAAATTGATCATTGATGTAGCGACTAGATGGAATAGCTCACTGGATATGGTTGAGCGTTACCTAGAACAACAACAAGCTGTTGCTGCAGCCCTTCTGAGTGATGAACTGAGACAAAAGTCACGTGAAATAGACACTTTGGACACATCTGACATTGCAAATGCTGAGGACCTTGTCAAGCTTCTTTTGCCAATAAAAAAAGCCACAACTGTGCTCTGTGATGAGTCGCAACCGACAATATCTCTCATTTCACCACTAAAACAAATGATTCAAGACAGCATGGCCACAGATAACCACGACTCAAATGCCATTGCTCAGATGAAGACAGCCATACTGAAGGATCTCTCTGACCGATACCAAGGAGAGGATGAAAAGTTCTTGCAGGAGAGCAGTGCCTTGGATCCACGCTTTCGCACCTTGCAACATCTAAGCAGCAGAGTGAGGGAAGACGTCTTTGAACGAATAAAGTTGAAAGCATCACAGATGCAACAACAGGTGAATATTTTTAATGCTGTGCTTTAGAGAAATGTAATGCCTCCTCCTAAGAAGCATGCCCTTGAGGACCTCCTTGGGAGTTCCTTCAGCAGTAAAGGTGAACTCCAGACAGGTGGAATCCAGAGAGAGATGGACTCTTTCTTGAAAGAAACAATCGTTTCTCTATCTGCTTGTCCTCTTAAGTGGTGGAGAGACCATGCAGGGCAATATCCCACTCTTTCTTCATTAGCGAAAACCTACCTATGCATACCTGCTACCTCAGTACCTAGTGAGAGAGTGTTTTCCACTGCAGGGGATATTGTAAATGCACAAAGGTCTCTTCTTCTCCCAAGCAATGTAGATCTTTTGATCTTTCTGAAGAAGAACCTCAACATAAGCTCTTAGGTTACCCGTGTTTTTTTCAGTTGGCCTTTTGCCTGACTATTTTATTTAAGTTTAGATTATTGTTTATTATTTATTTGGTTGGGGCAGTGCAGGTTAATTAATAGACATGCATCTATTGTACATGTTTGTGGATGTTTTCAACAGGCGGTTTTTATTTGCCTACTACTTTTCGTTTTATGCTTTTTTACACATTTGAACCAGACTTGAGCTTTGTTTGCACTTGAAGGGAATTCCCTTTTGTTTTTTTTTTACAGTTCTACAGCTCAACGGTATATTGATGTTAATGACTTGAGGTTGCACTTTAAAAGCATTAATGCTGCATGAATGCCTGACTGGCAAAAGTTGCAGTTTAAATGTCAGTTTTTTATATCAATAAATAACAATACGTGAGCCTCTCCACAATCGCATATCGTACCGTGAGCTCAATAACGAAATGTATCGTATCGTGAGATTATGATATCGTTACATCCCTATTAGTGACCCCATCCTAGGGTACATTTCTCCATCCACGGGCCACAAAACAATGGCATATATACTGCTGCTGCAAGAGGTTGCAGGGTCCGCGCTGAGTCTACCCGCTGCTCTCTCCCATGGTTCTATTATGGGTCTGCGCTGGCCTCTCCAGTCTATGGTCTCGCCAGTCTATGTCTCTCCTCGGGTTTGCATTGGTCTCAGCGCTGGATCTCCTCCCAGGGTCCAAAATATTTTTAGATGAATCTCATAACATTTTGAAATTAATCTCATAATATTTTTAGATCAATATTTAACCTCTTTACATCCACCCGCCCGCCGGCGGGCGATTTTTATTTTTTAAATGTTCTGCTGGCAATAACAGATGCATTTTGAACACCAAACCCCAAAATCTATATATCATATCAGCTATATACAAGTGGAAACTACATCAGACTTTGCATTCAAAAGATATAACACATAATGTGGGCACAAAATAAGTCACTTCGGAAAAAGTTTTTTACCTTTGGGCTTGTGCTGCATAAATAAATCAGCTCTCCTCCCGCCTTCCTATGGCTCTTTCTCTCTGGAACAGTCCATTTAACAATAATATCCACTTGTATTTCCCAAAGTATAATCCATTCTGGAGAAATAATCCAAAAATGTGCATTTATCTGTAGTGAAAAAAACGAAAAAAAAAAATAGCACAGAGGCTGTTCTTTCACTGTTTACGGACTTTTAGCTTTGTTTTTCACCCAAACATCTGGTATCCACGTGTTCAGCTACTCCTTATCTTTCAAATGACACCTTCCATGAATCTCTACGAGCTATTTTGGGTCTGCAATATCTCCCGTGAGATGGACAAGCGGCTGCGTTCACTTCACATTTGTTGTCATTAGACTCATTTGCATCTACTTCCTGGCAGAAAGATTGACATGTCCGTGTAGCCAATGAGGAAAGCTTTCTATTAAGGGGTGGGACATATGTGTACTGGGTTGGAGTAGCAATGATTTTACACTTATAAACAATTAACTTAGAAAAAATGTTTTTAAAAAATCACATAGATAAGTAACTTATAAGTATTAAAAATAAAAAATATGGTTTTTATGATGATGAAATGTCAGTAAAGCAATTATTGTGCCAAATGGCACAACTTGATGAAAAGGAGAGACTGCATAAAAACTATCAAACTTAGAAGTAACAACACAATGACCATAGGATTTGAATATTGTGAACTTACAATGAAGTATGCCTTTTTTAGGGCCTTTATAAATTGAAAATTTTAGGCAAGGCTAAAAAAATATTTTTTCCCCCCAAACTTTAAAGGATGCAGAGTGAAATAGGAATGACATTCCTACACATTATTTTAGTGTATACTTACATAAACTAGAAGGCTCTAGCTTTAAAGGCACACCGCGGACTAAAAAGAGGAAACGCGAAAGGGATCGTGCTGTAAGCTGCATGTCTGTATGAGCGCTGCTCTTCACCTGGTTCCTGGATGTCATCGACTGCAAAGATGTCATTCCACGCAGCACGAGCTAGACGCAGAACTCCCTCATCCAGGATATAGAAGTCCATGTGTGGTAGATTACTAATGCAGCGGTCTGGAGGCTGACCACAGCAGAGTCTCTCAATATCTGTAGGCATGTCTCTACAGTTTGAACACACACACCAGTGCATGCTGTCTGAATACACACTCAAAAGACACCGGCTGACTGTTTGTTGACTTTTGCGACAGTGCTGAGTTGCTTGTGGCCACTAGGGGCGCTAAACGTGAAAGTTGCAGGTCTAGCGCCCCTAGTGGCCAAGAGTTACACGGTGTGCCTTTAAAATGATGCATCACACAAGCTTGTGACATGTAAGATGTGTTTTTAAATAAGCAAAGACATTTGGGTATGCCAAACTTTTGTGCACAAGCCAAAATGAGGCGGGTGTTAAGAGGTTAAATTAGTACATCATATATTTAAATTAACCTCATAATCATTTTAAATTATTCTCATAATTTTGCTAGTTCAACTTTATTCTCATAATATTTCGACTTTAAAGTCAAAATTGCATTACTTCTCAGTTGGACAAAAGAAAAAAGGGTGACTCTTTGGCTCCGTGTAACTCTTTGCTTTAGACAGTACCTATGCTAATGAAGCACCTGGCAGGCACGCTGTACTTACGAGGAGTTGGCATTCATCAATCTAAGAACAGCTGCAAACAATTCAGCGACTTACGAGCGCGTTGAAGAATCCCACATAGGGTCTTAGAAATCTACTCAAGAACAACTTGAGAAGGAATTTAGGAAGATTCTTAAGAAGATATTGGTGAATGAGGCCCAATATTCTTCAGAATCAGAATAGAGTTGTGCGAAATCTTGATGATTTCAAAATATCTATATATTTAAAAACTACATGACATGTGTTTGTTTGTCAGGAAGTACAGTGCAAGTGTTTGCAAAATATTAGAGCGTTCAACGGTGAGTACATACACAGATGCTCAGTACATTCAGGAGTTCAGGTGTGTGCATATTTTGGAGGTTCTTTATGAATCCAGACTCTTCAACTACAAGCTCTTAGGCCCTGTTTATACTGAGACGCTGCGCAGACGTTTCCAGGCTATTAACAGAAACGACCTGGCTCCTAATGCAAATTTCTCAGCGTTCACATGAGGTTGAAAAACGATGTAGTTCTAGCGCCCGGCCAGTAGTGGGCAGAGAAACTTTACAACACGACACACGACCCCGAGCCCCATGCCCAGCCCCCCTCTCGGCAGTATACTCACTTCCTGTGCCAGACCCTCAGAGAGTACCAACATCATTCTGCATTTTAACAGCAGCTGTGAACATGGGAACTGAACCTAGAGCTTCGCGTGGTCTCGTTTGGACGAACGAAGGAGTAGAGTTATCCTCTGTCCCGCGCTGGAAGCCCACGTAGCTAGTTTGTGTGGGCGGCGCCATTGTTGTTGATGTTTGTTCTCCGCTACTGCGCATGTCCAAATTTACGTGCGGGGAGCAGCACGGAGGTGGGGGTCAGAGCAGAGGGGGATTTCACACCTTTTCCCCTCTCGCGGGTGTGAAAAAGATCCCTGCTGTGCAGCGTATCTGAGTTGTCCCACTCTGCAGGCTGGATCTGAACACTTACGTTTTCACCCCCCTGGAACACTGTCTTCGTATGAACGGTTGGGAGCAACCGACATCCAACTATACCGTTTTACTGCCACATTGTCTCCGTGTAAACTCAGCCTTAGAATAATCTATGACTCTTCTGGCCACCCATGTTTCAGCTTCTTCCCTCTGGCAGAAGATATTGTTTGTTTTGTGGAGAGAGAACATTTAACAAATTGTGAAATTCTATATTTGATCATGAAATTGTATAGTTTTATATCAAAGTGTTTTCTGTCATCCGATGTGTTTTCAAACTAGTCTGAGGTCAACGAGTTTTAAAATGTATTCTTTAGAAGTGTTTTTTATTCTTATTTTTATTATCTCTTTTTGACTGTTGCACTGAGCCAAAGCAATTTCCTAGTCTGTGACCTCCTGTTACTTACGTGGCAATAAAAATGATTCTGATTCTGAGTTTACAGTTAAAAAATGGACACAAAAGGATGGCCTTGAAAATGTTCTTTCAGAAAGGGAGTCTTCCTTATCTCACTGGACAGGAGACCGGACTAGACCAGACCCAGACTGGAAAAGAGCAAGATGACGTATGCAGAGGCACTTCCTGTTTTTCAACACATTCCAAAAAAACTGTTGTGTACGATTTGTTAAGTCGGTAACAGCAGGGATAGGAGCTCAGAGATTTGTATTTGATTTTGAAGAGAATTAAATACTCTGATTTTGAACTCTGAATCTTGGCCCTATTTTCTGTATAGAATTCTGAGTCACGGCCGTCTTTTTTGACTATAGTTGAGATGCAGGACATCTCGTTTTGGTAACAGCTTCTTTCCACAAGCTGTTATCAGTTTGAGTGTGTGTGTGTTTGTGTGTGTTGAGGCATGTGTGGTGAGTACTAAATGTCCCTTGGTTTGGACTTTGACCTGAAGATAGTTGTGAAGACTGATGGATCAGCAGTGATCTTCACAACTATCTCCTTGAACAGCTTGAAGTTTTGTGGGAACAGTCTTGTACCATAGTATAGTCATTTTGTCTGTGGATTCTCTAACGTAGCAATAAAAAAAACAATGGTGAATAATCAAAGCTATATATTGCACTTTTCATTTTGAAAACTATTAAAGCCAGTGGCTGCTCTGCTGGTTGAATCAATGGTGTGTTGTTTGATAATAAAATACATTAACATATATAACATGTAAATCAATGGGTTTGACAGGTGCAACTTTGATGAGAATGTAAAGTGTTTGAGATGTGTGGTGCAGCCTCTCACCATCTCAGTGATTCCAAACCTGCGGGGCGAGGGTTTGGGACGAATGGCTGATAGGACACTGACAGGACTCAGAGGAGACTCTTCGGGCCGAGTATCAGAAGAACTGTCAGTGTCTTGAGGGTCTTTGGGGCTCTCCACCACCTCCTCAGTCAAACCGTTAGGAACACTGTAAAACACAACACTTCTGTCCTCAGATTCTTTATTATCAATCAGTTTATTCTCAAACCAATAGGGACCAGGATGATACACACGATCGTCCTGGTCCCTTTGCAGAAAACTGCCCCAAAGCATGATGTTTCCACCCCCATGCGTCACAATAGGTCTGGTGTACTTAGAATTCCCTCTCCTCCAAACAGTTCAGTTAAATTTTTACCAAAAAGTTCTATTTTGGTTTCATGTGACCATAGGACATTCTCCCAATCCTCTTCTGGATCCAAAAGCTCTCTAGCAGCTCACTGCAGCCCATTCACCAGACTCCCAGTCCCTCTCCTCCCTGTGTGCTTCTGGGATCTTTGCTCACCATACTTGCAATAATTTTGAGATAATAATAATAATCTTTTATAGCTTATATAGCACTTTTCCGGACACTCAAAAACGCTTCACGTATCTTTCATTCACTCTATTCACTGTGGTGATAAACTACTACTGTAGAAACAGCTGTCCTGGGGCACGCGGCCAACCATACACACGCTCACCTTGCCTAAGGACACAACAACATTTTAGCCCTTAACAGCTGCAGTTGCCCCACTGTGTCACCTGGTGTTCCCCAAGGTCTCCCATCACAGCACTAACCAGTCCCTGCCCTGCACAGCTTTAGAGGTCTGAAGAGATCTGGCTTTTGCCTTCAAGTTTGGAGCCCCAGATTGAGGAAGATGATCAGTGTCTGAGTCTTCAATTTTGATAAGTTCATACCTAACAGTTTACCTATTCCAGTTTCAGTCTTCCCAGCCTGGTGCAGGTCTACAGCTGTGTGTCTGGCAGCTCTTTGGTTGTGGCCATGGTGGAGTTTGGAGTGTGACTGTTTGAGGTGTCTTTTATTCAATATAATTCATTTTTGTAAATCCCAAAATCCAAAGAGTTGTTGTTTCAGAAGACTTGACAAAGCTGTTGATTCACCAACACAGATCAGAGAATCAAACCGTTCATAATAGAGACAGAGGCCATTGGTCCATAGGGGGCAGATGACCAATGTCCATGAATGTATGTTTAAAAAAATAAAAAATAAATTATACGGATAACCAGTTGAAGGAGCCTCTTGAAGACAAGGTTACAAGTCCTTAATTGTCGGTGACTTATTTTCCAACTAAATTTGTAAATAAATTCTTTAAAAAAGAGAAAACAGTGATTTTGTCTGTCCTTGTTGATGTAAACCTATTATTTTAAATTACAAATATCAGGAGATGCACAATCGGCTAATCGACTAAATGTCTTTGTCCCATTGTATTTACTTACTTAGACACGGGTCTTCTCTCTCGCAGGGCCAGGCCTTGGCTCACCAGAGAGTCTGCAATGCTGACTAACTGGCCCGTTGTGTTGGAGCACATCAGCATGACAGGTAGGGGGCGCTCCTCAGTCACTTCCTGAAAATACAGTATTAAAAGCAGAGATGTACAGTATCAATAACCAAATATCACAATACAATTTGATAAGGATACTGATCTGAAAATACATAAATATCTCAAATACACATTATTGCAATATTGTAGTGGTAGAGACTTTAACTTGTCAGTAACCAGGACATATACTATTATAGATAAGGATATGTGGATTACCTAAAAAACACTTATCACTTAAAAGTTAAATTCCCTATGCCCTATGGGCGACACTCTGTTCAGAATTGCACCACAGAGATGCCTGTCTTCTCTTGGTTGTTTACTATTGTGTCTGACCTGTCCAATGCCGATTTTAAATTATCCAGAGTCATCCATAGTTTGGTCGACGGCTGTGAGACTGACGCTGCTCTGAGCTCACATGGACATGACATTTTCACTTTGACTGTATGATATTTTACATTGGTCATTTATGGTTCTTTTCCTTGTAGTTTTTAATAGTGCGATTAAAAAAGTATTAATTATACTAAATCAAGATTAGAAATGATAGAATAGAACCATTATCGCCAATTTAACCTGCATATTTATTATCAAGGTATTAAGATTAAATAATTAAGAGATCCTTAGTTTGTCTCAAAGTGGGAAAATGTCAGTGTTGTGTCACCAGTTACAGAAAAGTAGGGATGAGGAGCACACAGCACAAGATAAGTGAGCAATAACTCTATAAAATCTCTAACTTTAGCACAATAAAGAAACAAGTATAAAATCTCTAACCCTAGCATGGGGCGAGGGTTGAGGCACCAGTGTCTACATGAGGTGGGAGGTCAGAGCTTATGTGTGTATGCTGTATGTGCTAGTAAACCAGGACAATGTTGAAATAAGCGTATATGCAATAGGGATGTAAAAAACTATGAATTTTCATGACCGACCACCGAGCCTCATTAACCGGTTGAAACCGGTTAACCGCGTAGTTTAAAATATTCCACTTTCTTTGAAAAGACAGCCATTTCGAGCCGCATACTTTTCATAAGTGCAGCTCTGCGTTCTACTAGATCAGAGGCGGGACAGCGGCGCCAAAACCAGCAACAGCTTCGGCACCTTTGCGCACAGAAAGCTTTTTTTAATCTTCCCATTCTGAGGGTTAAAGCTTTTTAGCAGCAAACGACAGCTCGTTCACATGGTCAGAGCAGCGAGTGACGAGCCGCGTCTTACAGATCTCTGCTAAAGTTTAAAAGTGATGTGTGTGGAGCTGATCTAATGACAAGGACCATCAGCACAAACATTAGTGGTTTGACTGGAGCCGCGTATTTGCGAGGATCCTTTGGGCTCCGTGACAGAGGAGCGTGACAGGCCGGTATGCGTGTACATGAATGCATGTGTGTACATGAATGTATGTGTGTACACGAATGTATGTGTGTACACGAATGTATGTGTGTGTATATGTATGCGTGTGTATATGTATGCGTGTGTGTATGTGCATGTAAATGTAAGATCCAAAGTAGTTCTGACCCGCACCAGTGTGCAACAAGTGGCAGACTAGTAACAGAGGGGGGAGATGTTACGTATCAATGGAGGGGGGGAATGTGTGTGTGTGGGTGTGCGCGCATATGTGGCGCGTGCGGCAGGAAAGTCGGCCCGGAGTTTACTGATACATTGGAGCGCACAGCTAGAGATGGACCCGCTCGTCACACCGTGCGAATGGGGCTTAAAATAGCGTTATTAAGAGACCTCCCCTCTCCCCCTTTTATTTTTTTAACCAACAGCTTTGACCGGTTAACGCTGTGATGGTCAACCAACGGTCACCAATTTACATCCCTAATATGTAATGTACAGTGCACAACAGGTGCAAAGCTCTTCCTACTGATTATTCCCCATGACTATTTTTAATACTGACGTTACTGTCCTCATTTACAGTTAACCCTCTAGGCGCCACGGTCGACTTAAGTCGACAAGCTGCGGTACTGTTAAAAACGGCCGAGTGTGACCTACTGAGTGTCAAAATTCATTCATACTCCCTGCCACTAGTTGGCAGACATGTCAGTCTACCTCCCTGGCCCCAAAAAACGTCATGCTCTCATACAAAATATTCGAGCAAGACCGCATTGAACCAGTGCGGAAATCATAGCGAAGCGAATGCAGCTGCGGGGCAGCCTGCGAGTGTTATACCGCACCAAACACTAACTTTAGACACTTTGCACAGGGTCTGCAGTGGGAACAGTGTTTCTTAGAGTAAGGCAAAGTCATTGGGAGGTTCGGAGACAGGTTAGATTTGCGGAAAACAAGCCTGGAACTCGGGTCGGGGCGCCATGCCGCGACCTCCAGCCTCCGCTGAAGTTTCCGCCAAAGTCTCCGCTAAAAGTGCTTCCCACATATTTATTTTCAAGCCTCACGTAATCACCGGGACAGTAATGTGTTGTAGAAGCCTTGTCTTGTGTGTGTCAGACGAGAGAGAGCAGGGGAGATGAGAGAGAGAGTGGGAGACATCTGCAGCAGGAGAGTCGCGGTGACGCGCATCACGTGGAGGCGCGCGTCTGGGCAGACTGCTCACAGCAGCACCCTGATTTATATATATTTTTTACTATTTTCATGAACATTTACAATGTTACAGTGTGTGCTCTGTGTGTGTTCATGTTCTAGTGATAAATATATGTCTGTCAGTTAGAAAAATACAAATATTGTATGAAAATTCTAAAATCCACTATTTCTAACTCCAAATGACGTCATAATATGCAAATTAGATGGGGGGATTTATTCTCTACATAAACTTTGGACCATCCTTTACATTTTTCTAATTTACAGAAATCCTTTATCTCTTATCACTTTTAAGTTATAGCCTTTTGAAATTAAGATGACAAAATTGAGCGTTTTGGAAAAAAAACCTCTGGCGCTTAAAGGGTTAATATTGCAGCTCCAAGAAACTGAGGCTGTTCACAGGCTGCATCCAAAATGTTTTGATGCCTCCTTCCTTATTCTTTAAGTGTTGATTCTAAACGTAATATTTATCCCTGCTAATGTAAGACACAATATACTAAAGTACTAAAACCAGTGTAGTCTGCAGCCAGATTAATGAGAAGTGTTCTGTACAGATGTTGGATCTCTGTGAGAGCTGCACACACCTTTGCTGTGAGAACAGCCGAAGCTCCGCTAAGGTAGAAGGAGATGAAGTCACAGGAAGTCGCTGTCCAGGTGGATCTGCCTCCTGCTGGTCTGACCAACAAAAACACAGTGGTGATGATCCAGGACACTTGACATTCAAAAACATTCATGGACATCTGCCACTAATGGACAAATGGCAAATGTGTGTGTGTTTTTTTTTTTTAAATCATTTTATTCACAGTCACTGGAAACGGCTGCAAGTCCTAAGTAGCTCTAAAACAATTGTTGTTTTGTGCTTAATCAAATTTTATTTTTATTGCTTTTTTCTGCCTGAGATGTTGCTGCAGTACAGTGTTCATGGTTTTACACTGGTCCAGACCAGAGCGGAAAGAATTCATGGTCCAAACCAAGAGGATCAGGTGAAAATCCACTGGAGGAATGCTAACTTTTTGAAAAATGCTAATGAAGCATTTTACTTTGGACTAGAGCAGAGAAAATGGTCCGAATCAAGCAGGTACTCCACCTTTTGACCTGTCCTGCTCCACCCAGAGGCTACTCAATCTATGCTGCTCTGACCCGTCCTGCTCCACCCAGAGGCTACTCAATATGGGCTGCTGCGACCCGTCCTGCTCCACCCAGAGGCTACTCAATATGGGCTGCTGCGACCCGTCCTGCTCCACCCAGAGGCTACTCAATATGGGCTGCTGCGACCTGTCCTGCTCCACCCAGAGGCTACTCAATATGGGCTGCTGCGACCTGTCCTGTTCCACCCAGAGGCTACTCAATAAGGGCTGCTGCGACCTGACCTGCTCCACCCAGAGGCTACTCCATCTGTGCTGCTGTGACCCGTCCTGCTCCACCCAGAGGCTACTCCATCTGTGCTGCTGTGACCCGTCCTGCTCCACCCAGAGGCTACTCCATCTGTGCTGCTGTGACCCGTCCTGCTCCACCTATGCTGGTGTGACCTAAAGGGCTGTTGCTGATTATTCATTATGTTTTTAGAATGATCAATTTTATTTTTGCTGCTACTTGACACCTAAATTTCTCCTACGGGGATCAATAAAGTATCTATCTATTTCTTCTGTTCAACTGTTTGACTCTCTGATCTGTGTAAAGTCCTCCGAGATAACTACTGTTGTAATCAGGGCAATACAAATTTACATTGAATTGAATATAGTGAAGAAGCCAATTTGATGCAGTTGTGATTATCTTCGTAACTAAAGCTTCTCAGACCACAAACCTGATGTCGCAGAGAGTACACTCCAGGGCCAAAGAGCCGACCAGCTCTGAAGGCAGAGGCAGCAGGTTGCTTATGTGCACCTTGGCCTTGTTCCCATGATCACAGCGAAATACCTTGTGGAGAACAATAAGAAACAGATCAGCCTCAGACCAAGAACATTATTCTTGGTTGTTTTTGACTATTAGATTCGGATTCAGTTTATTTTCCATTTGCAGTAAAACCACATTGGAATACATGTGCAGAAGTACAAGAAACCATGTGAAACCAATGAACAAAAACAGTGTACATAAATAACAAAGGCAAGATCATTAAAGTGCTTTAGTCAGACTGATAACAGCTTGTGGAAAGAAGAGAGTAGACAAAAGAAGATTGAACAGAATAGAAATGACTTGGATTGTCTCATAAAGGCAAGTATTTTGTAATTGTTTTCATTCAAGTCAGATGTTTTTACAGTGTATGTAACGATCACCGCAGTGGAAATAACTACAGCTTCAGTGTTTGTGCTGAGAGATAGTTGTGGCTCACACTGCGGCAAAAAGTGTATTTATAGCCTTTGGCAGAACTGCGACACTGATTATATTTGTTCGTGGGATAACTGACTTCAAAATGACGCAGGAGCAGGCAGGAGTGTGGTCAAGGGACAACGACAGGCTGTTCACCTTTTCACAGAGGTAAATGAGTGCATGGACACACTGGTATAAAAATAGCACAGACTGGTGTCACAACAGACGGTTGTCCAAATCTTACAGCTATCACAGTTGCTTTGTGAAATTGTATTGAATAAAGTACATTATTGGTAAGGCATTTGGGAAAAAGTGAAGTTCACTTTTTCATGTTTTTATTAAATAATGTATATGTATCATACTCTTAACATCTTGTCAAAATACTATGTACGCTTTAAATATTACATATTTATACACAATTATAAAAACATACATAGCATTGAATTACAAAAAATACTAAGGTATATTTGGGTTCACATTTTTACGCAGCCCTCTGCATTTTCTGCTTCTCATGTGGAACAAAAATCACAATATATCGCAGAATTGAAACGCAATACCTGCTGTATATATACTAAGAGTCACAATAATATTGAATTGTGGTCCAAATGTTGCAATATTATCAAATCCTGAAATTTATTGCATTTGGCTCTGGTACCTCTGCAATGTTGTTGGACAGGACATCAGCGCAAACTTGAGCCCTCTCCCAAACGCCGTTTATGTGAGCTGCACAGAACATGCCCTCCTTCCAGACCACGTCCTCAGGCTCGCTGAGAGAACACCTCTGTTTGAGCAGCTCGCACACCCTGCCATCACAAAGCATTGTTAAGGTAAGAACTACCAGTCCTTCTTCAAACACTCAGACACCAAAGAAACCAGGTTTGTAAGTTATACTTTAGTGTCTGTGTCCTTTGCATTTGAACCATTCTGTAATGCCACTAGGGCCTCAATCAGGGGCAGTGGTCGCCTCCAGTGCAGCGTCTAGCTCCAGATGCTTGAGACAAGAGCTGATGGATTTGACCTATTGTACATGTTTTTAGTGATACAGCAGACACAGGGAGAACATACACAGTTGTAGATGTTTCTAGTGTAAAGTTGTAAAGACATCTCAGCATCTGAGCTGTATTCGATGGAAAAGACTTAGTATAAGGTTGTAGCAGTGCAAAACATAGATCAAGTTTTCTGAAAGCACTGTGTGTGTGCAGGTTATCCCGGAGAGGGTAGTCTGCAGGTATGAAGTATCATTTAGTGCTCATACAAATGGATGAACATGAAGCACTGGAGTTTAAAAATCGTTCAGTCCTAGTTCAGATCATGCAGGAAATGACTCGGCCTTGGTTCAAGTTTTGACTGAATGTACACGAGTTCAGTTTAGGCTTTGGAGGCAATAGAGAGGTTGGAGTGGACCAGGACACATGTGGGCGGGTTGGGGGGGTGTGGTGCGGACCAACCTCTTGAGCCAGGGATCGTGCTTGATGAGCTGCACATAGAAGCTGCTGGGGGAGGTGACATGGCTGACCCGTACTTTGACCTCTTTGAGCTGAGCAGGTAACTGCAGCTGAGGCTGGAACTCTGGGCAGCCACTCAGGGCATCTTCTGCACCTGCCCTGTCTGCGTCCTGCTCCAGAGGGGGGTCCCACATCACACTGTCATCACCAATGCGTTTGTTGGACCTGTTAAGACAATCACGGCCTTCACACAGAAGTCACATTGCGCTGGAAACTAAGGCTTTTCCCCAAAATGCCCGTCCAGTCAACCATCCTAGCAACCGTTACTATGCAAGACAAGCCTGGTTCACACGGCAGGATAATTGGGGCAATTTTGGACCCGATTTACCCCTACGACAATCGTAAGAACGGTCCGAATATCGTAACAAAAAATCTGATGGATTTTCCGTGTGTGGTGTGTTAAGACTGTGCTCGTCGCCCGGAAGGACTTCGGAACGGCTCCGATCTCAATATCGGGGATATTCAACATGTTGGATTCTTTTGGCTCGGTTTCTCTCCGTGTGTGGTGTCCCCCGAGGACAGACGAGCGCGTTGCCATGACTGTGGCGTGTAGCCAATCAGAAGACTAGACGGCGAGGAAACACCGTAAAAAAACAACTCGCCTCCAGATCACGATGTAGCAAGTATAGTTTGATTACGTCTTTTCTCTGCTAAAAACAAACTATCGTCACTGCATCCTCTTGGTCTGCCATGATTGTTTACTCTGAAGTCACGCTTGATCTCGCGAGATTTTGTGACATTTCCGTCTGATCTGGGAATGTTCGGGGGGGAATCGGTTCGTGTGTGATGTGTGTGGTTTGCTTGATTTTGCCGTGTGGCTGAGCACCACACACTGTACGACCAAAGTGGTTAGACCCTTGATTTTTTATCTCCGTGCGTGGGGTCTCACACAGCGAAAAAAATCGTCCGACAATTTTAAAATCGTCTCGTGTGAACCAGGCTTAAGGTTCAACAAACATGACGAGGAAGTCTGCAGAGAGCATGCGCTATCCAAGATGGTGCCAAAGACTGTCGCCATGGTTCTATAGCGCACCCTGTTTCTTGTTTTTCAATTCTTTTTCAATTCAATTTAGACCTAAATCACAACAGTACATACCTTTCTCTTACACAGGCCAGCTCCTCTTCCACCAGTTTATCCCCAATACTTCCCAGAAGCCCATTTGGCCCAATCTCAAACACTTTGATAGGAATGAGTCCAGATGATCGCAATTGATTCGCTGTAAACAAAAACGTTAATTGTTTCAAGAAGAAATGACCCAAAGATTCCTCCTTTTCCATATCTGCTCCGACTCTGACCTACACCTCTGCTCAGCTCCGCTGGGCAGCAAAGCCCAGAGGGTGAGAGCAGGGGAGAGGTAAAGCCTCTGTGCACCCCTCTCACTATGAGGGAAAAGTGAAGGAGGTGGAATTCCAGGGTACAGTGGATACATTACAACATCTGAAGAATATGCACCTGTAGCCAATATTACGACCAGTTTCTGGTTGGCAAGGCTGATGAAGCGTGATGTACATGCTTCACTCCAGTTCCGTCCATCCAGAGGAACCACACTAGAAATGCAACAATGGATAGCCTGGAAACCAGAAACGCACAACATTAAACCAGGACTCTCTGGACAGTAGTGTAGTACCTCCTACTTCCAGTCAAAGGCTCCCACTTAAATGAATACCAGGCTAATGGACGAGGCCCAACACCATCATAATTTTGATACATTACTGAGAAAGGATGTTTCATAGTTATCTGCTGAAATGTGGTGTTCCTGTGATTTTTTCCACATGGACATTTGTATACCCGAATATGTGTCTAAATTTGAAACCATTGACAAGACCTTCTAGCAAGTGCGAACTGTCAAAAAAATTTTGTTTAAGCAGAACAAGTCCAACCCAAACCAGCATCATCAACCATGAAAAGTAGTCCAGGGAATCTACTAATAGAAACTTAAGTGTGTACCATGGCCGGGAGGGAGAAGAACTCATCCTTGATTTTCCTCAGGTCTGAGATCGACAGGATTTCTTTATTTCCAAAGTCCACGTACATCACCTCCACCTTTCTGCCACCTGGATGACCTACACAGAAACCACACAGAGAGAGCATATATGTATAAGTTTGAATGCCCCTTTAAATACTGATAATAAATATTTTAATGCGACAACAGCAGAGATCAGTCAAAGAAATCAAACAAGTCAGAATTTAAAGACTTGGTTAATTCAAGAATTGATTTATTCATAACATTTATTTGGCACCTTAGACACTTTGCACAGAGTCAGTGAGAACAGTGTTTCTCAGAGTCAGGGCTGTCATTGGGAGGTTCAGAGACAGGTTAGATTTGCGGAGAACAAGCTTGGAAGTCACGTCGGGGCACCGCGCCGCGACTTCCAGCCTCCGCTAAAGTCTTCGCTTATAGTGCCTCCCACAGATGTAATATCGTGCCTCCTGTCATCACCGGGACAGCAACATGTTGAAGCCTTTGAATTGTGTTTGTTAGACGCGAGAGGGAGCAAGGAAGACAGCAGCAGGAGAGTCGAGAACATTCAGCATGTTACAATGTGAGTTCTCTGTGTGTGTTCATGTCCTAGTGATTTATATGTCTGTCAGTTAGAAAAATTAAAATATTTTATGAATATTCTAAAATCCACAATTTCCAACGACATATGACATCACAATATGCAAATTAGATGGCTACAGTTATTCCCTACGTAAACTTTGGGCCAACCTTAACATTTTTCTAATTTACTTTTATCTCTTATCACTTTTAAGTTATAGCCTCAAATGAACATTTCAAAATTGAGCGTTTTAGAAAAAAACCTCTGATGCTTAAAGGGATAAAGAGGTTCAAAGTAAAGTCGGCCATATAGGACCAAATCCGGAATATTAACATTTTAAAATTCACATTTCTAAGGAACTGGAATGGAATACTTTAGTTTGATAAATGACGGATCTCTCCTAACGTTTCGGGCACTTGACAGTCGCGTGGAGCCGACATGTAAACAAGACCACGTTCAGACGCGGCAGTTTTACCATGGATCTTTCATAATATAGAGTTTTACAAACGCAAGCTTAAAACTACGATGATCAAAGAAGCAGGAGATATACAGAGCCGTGGCAGGACATGGCTAAAAGCTATGTTAGCAAGAGCGTTAGCCACAGTGGGGGCGGGTCCCGGCTCAAAGGCCAAAATGAAGTGCGCTGACATGCTTGCAATACCACCCCGAGCCGATGGGGGTGGACCCGGAATAAGAATTAGCCAATGCTAACACATAGCATTGGCAGACCTCTCTAAAACGTCTTTACAGGATTGTCCAAAAGTTGGCTCTTGGCCTAAAGCTCCGTTCCAGATGTGTGTCAATGCTGAGGGGGGTAAATTTTTTTGGACCACTCTAGTTTACTCGCTGTGAATTTTTGAAGGCGCTCGTTTAAATGAATGGAGCTTGCGCCGGCTGACGCATGCGCATCTGCGCATTTTCAATTTTATTGAGGGCAGGACCACTCGCGGCCATTTTGGATAGCTCCAGTAGAGCACATTTTTTTGTCCCATTTGTTTGAATGTCGGAGATAGGCGTGACTACGTCCGTTAATATTTACAGTCTATGGTTAGCCACAGCGTCCTATCTGCATCACGGTAAGAAAACAGAACATTCACTCACGCTGCTGATGAAGTATTCTGGTGATTGTTTTGTGGGGATTCTGTTTGTGTTTTATTTGAGGCTTTTTCCCTGAAAAAGTTACGTTGAAACTTATTACATAGTAGTTGGACTGCGCTCGGAGCGGGTCAGAACATCCTGAGACTGTTGCAGATTCTGCCTCGTTCTTATTATTGTCAGTGTGAAAAAGTTACGTATTGTTCACGTGTGAGTCAGTTGTGTACAAACTACATGATGTGCCTCCTGTTGTCTTAACGCTGTCTTTCGGTGCTTGTGGTTTGCGATGTTGACACTTTGCTGCTATGACGCTGGACTGGAGATTTTTGTTAGGATTGTTCATAACTGTGGTCCTCCGTGGTTCTTTTATATACAGTGGGGCAAAAAACTATTTAGTCAGCCACCGATTGTTATTATTTTAAGTGGGAGAACTTGCACAGAGGTCTGTAATTTTCATCATAGATACACTTAAACTGTGAGAGACAGAATATGAAAAAAAATCCAGGAATTCACATTGTAGGATTTTTAAAGAATGTATTTGTAAATTAGGGTGGAAAATAAGTATTTGGTCAATAACAAAAATTCAACTCAATACTTTGTAATATAACCTTTGTTGGCAATAACAGAGGTCAAACGATTACTATTACCAGGTTTGCACGCACAGTAGCTGGTATTTTGGCCCATTCCTACATATTTTGGGGCTGTCGCCGAGCAACACGGACTTTCAACTCCCTCCACAGATTTTCAATGGGGTTGAGGTCTGGAGACTGGCTAGGCCACTCCAGGACTTTCAAATGCTTCTTACGGAGCCACTCCTTCGTTGCCCGGGCGATGTGTTTGGGATCATTGTTATGCTGGAAGACCCAGCCACGTTTCATCTTCAAAGCTCTCACTGATGGAAGGAGGTTTTGGCTCAAAATCTCACGAGACATGGCCCCATTCATTCTTTCCTTAACACGGATCAGTCGTCCTGTCCCCTTAGCAGAAAAACAGCCCCAAAGCATGACGTTTCCACCCCCATTCTTCACAGTAGGTATGGTGTTCTTGGGATGGAACTCAGTATTCTTCTTCCTCCAAACACGACGAGTTGAGTTTATACCAAACAGTTTTACTTTGGTTTCATCTGAACACATGACATTCTCCCAATCCTCTGCTGTATCATCCATGTGCTCTCTGGCAAACTTCAGACGGGCCTGGACATGCACTGGCTTCAGCAGGGGGACACGCCTGGCACTGCAGGATTTGATTCCCTGTCGTCGTAGTGTGTTACTGATGGTAGTAACCTTTGTTACTTTGGTCCCACCTCTCTGCAGGTCATTCACCAGGTCCCCCCGTGTGGTTCTGGGATTTTTGATCACCGTTCTCATGATCATTTTGACCCCACGGGATGAGACCACTGATAATTATTAGTGGTCTTGTATGTCTTCCATTGTCTGATAATTGCTCCCACAGTTGATTTGTTCACACCAAGCTGCTTGCCTATTGTAGATTCACTCTTCCCAGTCTGGTGCAGGTCTACAATTCTTTTCCTGGTGTCCTTCGACAGTTCTTTGGTCTTGGCCATAGTGGAGTTTGTAGTCTGACTGTTTGAGGCTGTGGACAGGTGTCTTTTAAACAGATAACGAGTTCAATAAGGTGCCATTAATACAGGTAACAAGTGGAGGACAGAAGAGCTTCTTAAAGAAGAAGTTTCAGGTCTGTGAGAGCCAGAGATCTTCCTTGTTTGAACTGACCAAATACTTATTTTCCACCATAATTTACAAATAAATTCTTTAAAAATCCTACAATGTGAATTCCTGGATTTTTTTTCACATTCTGTCTCTCACAGTTGAAGTGTACCTATGATGAAAATTACAGACCTCTGTCATTATTTTAAGTGGGAGAACTTGCACAATCGGTGGCTGACTAAATACTTTTTTTCCCCACTGTTACTGTGGTCCTCCATGGTTATTTTATGTAACTGTGGTCCTCCATAGTTCCTTCTTCCAACTTGTGAAGTCACTGTGAAAGCAACGATATCAGTAGCTCCTGAGAAACGAAAACGCGATTCTCGCATCCTTTTTGTCCCTTATCCACCACTGTATTTCAAGATGGCGCATTTACACGGAGAGCACTCCTTTCTCATGGACACTTAAGTTAAATTCTAAGCCTATGAATATAATTCAAAAAACATGGTGGAGGTAAATATTCTTAAAAAGGTAACATTTGTTATTAGTTAACATGTTTTTTCATATAGAGCAGCTGTAAAAATTACACAGGGTGGCTTTAAGAATGTATATGTATAATGCATTCCCCGATTAACATTTAAAGGTGTTGATTGATTGATATTTGTTGATATATTGAGCGTGGTGTTACGGGCAACGACCTATTGTGCCAGTTGTGCACTAGATGGCGCTCCCGTTGCCCTTTGTGTTTGTGTGTGCGCCTTCGTGTTCTGTACAGGTGTCTGTGCGGGAGATCTATTGGAGGGACTTGAAGTGTGGGCGTGGCCGGTCTGACACCTGAGTGGCTGTAGTGGGACAAGAGCGTGGACGTCCTCCAACCCCGGGGATCCATCACTGAGGGCGTCCCCATAAAACCTCCCACTCGCCGTCAGCTCGGGGCAGCTGGACTTGTCCGTGCCAGTCTGCCGTCACTGCTCCTCCTGTATTGTTCTGTTCCCTTACGTTGTCACTTTGTAATTTTGAGCTCTAGTTTTGTATAGTGACTTTCGTTTTGTATTATCAATATTCTTATTATTTCTGTATTCCTCCTTTCCAAATTCATTTTATTTTCTGTCATCATTAAAAACTTACTTTAAAATACCAAATACCAATTCCATCTGGTTTTTTGCTACGTTCTTACTCCCTAGCTGAGCTGGACGTAACACGTGGCTAGCTAGGCTAGCTCCGCTAGCTTCTCTGCACAGACAGAAGTAGTGACAGGCGCTGAAAGCCTGTTGTACTTGCGGAGTAATGTTAGTATTTTACACACCTGAATAACAAACATTGCCAAATGCCAAAGGGCAGCGGTCATTATTGGTTTGAGAGTTCTGTAATGAAGAAAAAGTTATCGGTAGAGCGTTTTGAAATTGTATTCAAATCAATGGAACGTCCTACTGCTGCTGTGAGGAGCTGTATAATAAATTATAATTAAATATTCAAATATATTTGAATGTTTAAATTAATAAACAAACAAACGTTGAATATGATTTTTGTGCCAAAGTCAAAGCCCTAGTATAGTTTAGTTTAGTTTTTTAGGATCCCCATTAGCCACTGAGATGCAGTGGCTATTCTTCCTGGGGCCTCCTCAAAATCATTACAGGCTCTTACATATTTTTATAGCTCTTACCATATTTTATGTTATTCTCTGAATCAATTTTTCTTGGATTCAGTAAAACAGATGCCACATGTTGTCACAGAAAAACAAAGATAAAAGCAAAGATACAAGATCATAATAAAGACATTCTAGTTTCAATTTACAATAACCGTACTTCCTGGACTATAAGGTGCACCTGTATATAAGCCGCACCTCCTAAAGTTTAAAACAAAATCAATGTTGTCCACATACAGGCCACAATTGAATATAAGGTCCATTCATGTTGAAATGAAGCAGAGACGACTGGTTTAACTGGACCCAGGATGAGGTTTTAACAAGTTCACCGTTAGCTTCCATGACTCATTCACTATTAGCTTCTATGAGTCATTCTGATCTGACAACTCTACCACAATAAATTCACACATGTAAGAAGCATTGCTATATTTGCCGCAGGAATCAAAACATTTGTAAAATTTAGCGGCTTATAGTCTGTAAATTCTGGTATAACAACGTTCTGGTGTGGATGCGGTGTGTTATGCTTCATGCTTCATGCTTCACTATAGCAAATGAGGTGGAGAAAGGTGGCCAGTGTGGAGAAAGTACCTGTGATTTGAGCCCTGTACCACATGCCTTCAAACAGAGCCACACAGGCCTCTCCGATCACTGGGCAGTAGATGCAGAGCTCTTCTTGTTCAGTCTCTGGGGGGGCATTATAAAAACTCTGCAGTTTATCTTTCAGGAGAAGAGACTCCATGTTGTCCACCTGTCAGTCACAGCAAAGTCTCAGCTAAGAAGGCTATTTAATAATCCACACACATATGTTCTATCAGTGAAAAGGTTAAGTATCCGTCCAGCGGTTCCAGTCTCCTTTTGCGTTATACACAATTTATTCCATAATTATAAACCGTATTTGGAAACATAGTAGAACACTAATTTAAGATGAACTTGTTTCCCCTCAAGGGACACCACACACACTAAGAAATCTAAAACAATCAAACAAGTGGATGGTGAAATCCAGAGTTCCTTCTGAGCATCCTGCCATGTGAACCAGGCTGCCCTGGTTATTCCACGGGGAGCTGCAGGTGTATGCAGTACCAGTTGGATGTAGAAGTCTCCAGGGGAGTGGATGTAGGACACCACAGCGTTGAGCTCGGTGTAGAGCCTGGGGCTGATCGGAGGGTAGTACAACAGAGGCTTCTTACTCGCCATCACAGGGGAGTAGAACCTGCAGCACACAGACTCAGATCAACCACAGACTACACTTAAGTTAATACAGTCTGAGTGTATTTACCTGGCCACTTCAATGAAAACCAAGTGATCCCGAACTGATATGTAGGAGCCGCTGGCTCCACTTACAGGAACTTTCTTTAAGTCCACAAGCAGAGCGTCTTTGTCCTGTCCCATGTTCTGCATCTTCACCGCAGTGGACAGAACCATGTTTCGGAACTCCATCTGCGCCTCCTTCGTCCACCCTTTGGTCTGCACAAAGACAGGTGCAGTGTTATTCTGCACTACACCAGATAGATTAGTCATCACATACAATTGACCATTTATAATCAAAACTATCTCCATGTAAAACCTTTATATTGGCGCACTGCTTTTGCTGTACACTCAAGTTTGAACCAAAGCGAGAATCGATAAATCTCTATAACCTGGGGCTGATTTGGTGCCACCAATTTTCTTATTGGGGTGAGCCTCAGGCAGTGGCTCCCTAAGGACCTTAAATACTTCTAACAGAGCCACTCCTTCATTGCCAGGATGTGTGTTCATCCACCTGCTCTTCTTTCTCTGAATCATGTCATTGTTACTAATATAATAAACATACAGCACATAATCACTTAACGCGAATGAGAATGACTAGAATTCAATATATTGGTGCAAGTGTTTCTGATTGATATATAATGCCGCTTTTCCACAGTAACGGTACGGCTTGGGATCAGGGTACTTTTTTTGTACCACCTCAACAGTGGTTCCAAGTGTGCCAAAGCGATACCATAACGTGACGTCAGCCAACTGCCTTACACTGATTGGCCAATGAGTGTCGTCACTGGAAGCGACGTCCGACCCTTTGGTAAAAAAAAAAAGCTCTACTTCAAAACGTCCTCCTCACTCCAGAGAAATGGAATAGACATGTGCTAAAAACAAAAAGTTTTTATTTTTGGTCAAAATAAATGTTTAGGCATGACAAAAAGTGACGCATCAGCTAACATCTCTGCCCTCTTTTGTACCACAGGCTGCTGTTGCTACAGGTGTCACATGGTCTCGCACAGACTGGGCAGAGCACAGCAAGTCAGCATCTTCAGAAGTTCAGTGGTGAATGTTTGATTAAATACTTGCTGTTTGCCTGTCACTCGCCTGGTGTCCTGAAAAGATTTTAGGGACCGGTTCAGCAAGAGGGTAAGAAGAGTGCCCTGGAGGTAATAGCACCAGTCACCGATATTGTAAAGGCGCGTTCAGACCAAAAGCTTCAAAAAGCTTTTGACGCGCTTCAACTGACGCCGGGATAGTTTTGTCATTTTGGTGCTTGAAGCTTTTGACGCGAGTGACGCGCCTGACGCCGGTGGGAGGAGCTTCTCTGTTGTCTGTAGTCAGGACAGCGGTGGATTTTTCAATGAGCAGCGAGCCTTTATTTGTTATATAAAGCAAAATAACGTTGTTGTAGGGCTTCCACAAAACATGTTCTGGGTTCACCACAGACTTGAGAGGCTGCAGTGTTTGCAGAGTTCCGACATTTACTCCAGGAGCTGCGTACGGAGGAGTTTCGCTTTCAGCGGTACTTCCGCATGTCACTTGCCCAGTCTGAGTTCTTAAACCCCGGCTCTCCCCTCTCCCTGCCTCTCGCTCGCCTCTCCCTGCCTCCCCCCGGCTCTCGCTCGCCTCTCCCTGCCTCCCCCCGGCTCTCGCTCGCCTCTCCCCGCCTCTCCCCGGCTCTCGCTCACCTCTCCCTGTCTCCCCCTGCCTCTCCCTGCCTCTCCCCGGCTCTCCCTGCCTCTCCCCGGCTCTCGCTCGCCTCTCCCTGCCTCTCCGCGGCTCTCGCCCGCCCGGAGCTGCCTTGCTCTGAGCCAGACTCATCGTCAGCCTGTTCTTATTTTAAATAAACTACGTTTACTACACAGCATGTGTACAATGATTTTTGTTACTCAGAATGTTACTACTCATACAAATAATATTACTAATAACAATAATGACAAATAAACAGCAGCAGCAGATACATGACTTCTCTTCATGACAGAGACAGACCCTCTGCTGCTGCTGCTCCTCGTCTCCTGATTGGTTGAAGCCCGCGTCAAAGCTTCAAAAGCTCAGCTTTGCTCAGCTTCGGCGTCAAAGGGATTGTTGTGATACGCGAGCGTTTCGCGCGTCAAAAGCTTCAAGTGAGCGCGTAGTACGCGCGACTCTTGAAGCTAAGTGAGCGCGTAGTACGCGCGACTCTTGAAGCTTTTGACGCGCGTCAAGTGACGCCGGGGCTCTCGGCTTCACCTGACGCGCTTCACCATTCACTTTCAATGGAAACCTGACGCTTTTGACGCCGAAGTTAAGTCCGGTGTGAACGCCCCTTAATACATTCACCAATATTACGCGTTGCGAGTAAATGTCATCTGACAACCCCTCCCACTCTGAGGAGATACTAAATTTGATTGAAAAGCACCCATACTCGGCCGTGCCGTACCGTTGTTTAGTTATAGTTATAGTCGATGTCTTACTGAATCTTCTTCTGAAAAGGCAAAATATGTATTTTCCTGAATAAAACTAGAATGTGATTTTTTTTCATATATATTTTTGTATGAAAGGGTGGTTGTGTGGTTTTGCACACTTGTGTGGGGTGGTATCATGGGGTATGAGAGCAAGTGAATACCTTTGAAATGAAAGCTTGAGAAGTATGATGGTGTGACGACGATGATAGAATGAGTAATGTGACAGGGAGAGTACGTATGTATGAGGTGACCTGACACACACACACACATGCTCATGCACACACAGAGTATGGACATGCAGAGAAGAGAGTGATGAAGAGAGTGATGAGTAGTTGTGAGTGGCAGTAGACAGAGACCGGATGGAAGGATGAAGAGAGCGTTGAATGTGAGAGGTTTGAAAGTGGAGCCAGAGTTTGTACCAGTGGGGGCAGGTCCCGGCTCAAAATGGTCCATGACCATGTGCACTGACATGCTTGTAATCTTACTCCTTGTCAGAAGATAAGATAAGATAAGATAAGATTGCTTTATTTATCTCACAGAGGAGAAATTTACATGTCACATTTGGCATGGATAGAGACACTCAGATTGTGCAAAGGGAGGAAATGTGCAAACATGTTACATGCAGGATATATGTACAATAAAGTGACAATAATTATGTACAACAAAAGTGACAAGTGTCAATTGGAAACAGTGTCAATAGTAGTGCAGGTTTTCACACAGTGATCATTTAAAGTGACTTATTGTACAGTCTGACAGCGGTGGGGATAAAGGCCCTGCGGTAGCGCTCCTTCCTACACTGAGGGTGCCTCAGTCTTCCACTGAAGGAGCTCCTCAGCTCCTCTACAGTCCTGTGCAGTGGGTGGGAGGTATTGTTCATGATGGAGGTGGCTTTGGCTAGCACCCTCCTGTCCCTCACCTCCTCCACAGAGTCCAGGGAGCAGCCCAGAGTGGAGCTGGCCCTCCTGACCAGCTTGTTTAGTCTGTTTCTGTCCCGCTCTGTGCTGCTCGGGGCCCAGCACACGGCAGCGTAGTAAATGGCAGAGGCTACCCCAGAGTCATAAAAAGTCCTGAGCAGAGGCCTGCTCACTCCGAAGGACCTCAGCCTCCTCAGAAGGAAGAGGCGACTTTGGCCCTTCTTGTGCAGGGCGTTTGTATTATGGGACCAGTCCAGTTTATTGTTAATGTGAACACCCAGGTACTTGAAGCTGTCCACCAGCTCAATGTCCTCCCCCTGGATGTTCAGCAGCGTGTGGGAAAGTGGTTTTCTCCTGAAGTCGATGACCATCTCCTTGGTCTTACTGGTGTTCAAGCACAAGTGGTTGCGCTCACACCAGTCGACAAAGTCCTTGATAACCGACCGATATTCCAGTTCGTTCCCCTCAGACACACAGCCCACGATGGCGGAGTCGTCGGAGAACTTCTGCAGGTGACAGCTGTGTGTGTCGTGTGTGAAGTCTGAGGTGTAGATGGTGAAGAGAAACGGTGAGAGGACAGTGCCCTGAGGGGCCCCAGTGCTGCAGACGACCACCTCAGACTCACAGCTGCGCAGCCGCACGTACTGTGGTCGGTCTGAGAGGTAGTTGATGGTTCATGCAGTGAGGCTACTGTCCACTCCCGCGTCCTCCATCTTCCCCCGCAGCAGTGCCGGCCTGATGGTATTGAAAGCGCTGGAGAAGTCGAAAAACATGACCCTCACAGCGCTCCCGGCGGGCTCCAGGTGGAAGAGCGTCCGCTGCAGGAAGTAGATGACGGCGTCCTCTACTCCGATGTTGGGTCTGTAGGCGAACTGCAGCGGGTCCAGGGTGGGGCTGACCACGGAGCGGAGATGGGTGAGGATGAGCCGCTCCATTGTCTTCATCAGGTGGGAGGTCAGTGCGACTGGTCTGTAGTGAGCCGGTTCCTTGGCGTGTGCCGTTTTTGGAACCGGGATCACACAGGAGGTCTTCCACAGGACAGGGACCTTCTCCAGGCTGAGGCTCAGGTTGTACATGTAGCTGAGGACCCCAGAGAGCTGGTCTGCACAGGTCCTCAGCAGCCTGGGACTGATCCCGTCCGGTCCTGCGGATTTCCTCAGCTTCAGGCGCTGGAGCTGACTCCTCACCTGGTCCGGTGTGATGGAGAGGGGGAGGGGGGGACTGGGATGTACTGTCCGAGGTGGGGGCTGGGGATGCGGGGGCAGGAGGGCCCGGGGCAGCCGGAGGCAGTGTCCACTGGGCGGTGTCCACTGGGCTGGGGACGTGTGAAGAGGTGGGGGCGGGAGGGGGGGCAGATGGAGAGGGGGGAGAATCAAACCGGTTGAAGTGCTTGTTAAATTCGTCCGCCCGGTGCTGGTCTCCATCTGCTGTTCCTCTGGCACTCTGTCCAAAGCCGGAGATGTTCTTTAGGCCTCTCCACACGTCGCGGGCGTTTCCCTGGGCCAGCTTCTGCTCCAGCTTTTTCCCATAGTCCTTCTTGGCCCTCCTGATCCTCCACTGGAGCTCGTGTTGGATCCTCTTCTGCTCCTCCCTGTCCCCTGAGATGAAAGCCCTTTTCTTGAGGTTCAGGAGGGCTTTAAGCTCAGGGGTCACCCATGGGTGGTTGTTAAAAAAACACCGCACCTTCTTAGTTGGTACAGTGTTATCCACACAGAAGAGAATATAGTCTGTAATGCAGTGTGTCAGGCTCTCGATGTCCTCACCATGAGAGCTGCAGATCATTTCCCAATCAGTGTTTTGAAAACAATCTCTCAGCATCTCATCCACATCATCGCTCCACACTTTTACAATCCTCTTCTGCGCTGGATTTCTTCTCACCACTGGTGTGTATTCCGGAGACAGACGGACCAGGCTGTGATCAGAGCGTCCGAGAGGGGGGAGGGGGGAGGAGGCGTATGCGTCCCGGACATTAACATACAGTAGGTCCAGAGTCTTATTGCCACGAGTTGGGCACGTGACATACTGTTTGAATGTCGGGAGAGTGGCGGAGAGGGAGGCGTGGTTAAAGTCTCCGCTGATCAGAATCAGAGCGCGGGGACTGCGGGTCTGGATCTGGGTCACAGTTCTGTGCATCTCCACACATGCTGCGGCTGCTGACGGGGGGATGTAGGCACATAGAACCACGGTGTGTGAAAACTCCCGCGGCAGATACCTGGGTCTCATGCTCACAGCGAGCAGCTCCAGGTCCTGTGTGCATGTGCGCTGGACCACATGCACGTGCGTCGGGATGCACCACTGCTCGTTCACGTAGACCGCGACACCCCCGCCTTTGCTCTTCCCACTCCCCTCCGCGCAGCGGTCCGCTCGCACAAGTTTAAATCCCTCCAGCGCGACCACAGAGTCCGGTATATTCCCACACAGCCACGTCTCAGAGAAACACATAAGTCCACATTGTCTGTACTCTCTTTGATGGCGGACCAGTGCGGTCAGCTCCTCAGTCTTATTAGAGATGGACCGTACGTTCCCCATGATGATGGAGGGGAGATACGGTCTCCTCTTTCTCTTTCGGCCTCCTCTGGAGCCCCTGCGTCTCCTACGGATCTCCAAGGGGATCACCGGCTTCTCTGAGTTCCGGAAAGCGGAGTCTCTAAGTCCGAGAAGCTGCTCCCGTGTGTAAACAATGGGACACGCTGGTCTCGTGGCTCTATGAGCGGAGAACTCCGAAAAAAGTGCCGAAGTCATGTTAATCCAGTGCAAAGGTCCACGAGGCTAGGCTTCCCGTGTGCACAATGCACAAATAAACACTTGTCTACGAAAATAAAAAATAAAAAAACACATCTACAAGAAATAAATAGAGAAAGGGTCGGAAAGAGAAGAGAGCCAAAGTGACGAGCTGCACAGCGGGAGCTGGCGCCGGAAGTATAAAGAGAATTATCCAGTGCACCTTCTTTCCTCTCAAAAACGCCTTTGGCACAACGCTACAATACAGATGCTGTCAATGCTGAGGGGAGGATTTTTTTGGGACCAGCTTATTTTAGCCTCAGTGGACTTTTGAATGCACTGCCTGTATGAGGTGAAGGGGTTAAACCAGTTTTTACTGCTTAGGGGTCTAGAGTAGCCTGGCCTTATCCATCCGTACACTCCGGTCAATCATCATTTCCCGGCATGTAACGTCTGGGTCTGGTCCCTGTATTAGCGATTATAATTGGTTGAAACCATCTGACCAATCAGCGAGTACGGGAGGCGAGTGTTGTAGTTAGTTGTGGGTGACAGAGTTTGCGTCGAACGGGCAGGTTGTAGTTTGGCAATGGCGACAGATGCGATAGTAAAGTAATCCGGTCTGGTTCTATCAAGAAATTGAAGCCGGAACAAGAGGAATGTTTAGCAAATGTAATCGCTGGCAAAAATTGTGGCGCTACTCCCACGGGCTCTGTTAGCGGCAAAGGAGATGGCTAGGCTAAATGCTAACGACTCACTCGGGTGCACTACATACGTGACGGTAAACTCAGATCCAACCGTTTCAATCTGCAAAAGGAGTTAACCCCTCCCACCTGTAAACGGAGCTCAATGGAGCACCTCAAGACCTTAGTACGAAATGTAATTTGTACTATGGTGTGGTACGACCAGGCTAGGTCTAGAGGTCTGACTGTGGATGAATGAGTGTGCGATCGGAGCTTCTTCCTGTAGTAAACCACCGTTCAAGGAGGAAATGGTTTAAGGCTGTAGATGGATGGAACCGTCCCATCTTTGTAATGGGGAAAATAATCACAGAACATGGCAGCAGGTGAAAAACACAAACACAGGGGATAAATAAATGCTTGTTCAAAAGGCAGTGACTGTGAGAGGGTGTATCACCAGGTCGTAAGGCACCAGGTCCTTCAGGCAGCAGCGGATGGCCAGTGGAGAGAAGGCGTCCAGGTCAGCTTTGGCGACATCCACCATTCTGCGCAGGTACTTGTTGACAGCTTTCAGGAACACCTCGGACTCTCTGTCCTCACTAACAACACACAACACATCAGACCCATTTGTGAGATGACTTCTGTTGTGACCTAGGGCTATACAAGAATAAATTGTATTGTATTGTATTGAGTGGATACATTAGAACCCTTCAGCATTGTTTTCTTTTGGCTAAACATAAAACCTCTGTGACCGTGAGGTCCAATATTCACAGTACATTAAACACTGTACACTGTTGGTTGACCTCACTACCCGTCAACATAAAAATGATTAATAACAAAATCAGAATTTGTGATTTATTTTAAACAAACGTTTTTAAGACAGCTGAGGCAACAGCTGTGCTACAGATGCCAATTTTCAACAATAATCTCTGCACCCATTTTATTATGATCATTGCGATCATAAATTACTCTACATTAGAACAATTACACACTATGTGATGGAGCAGAACTTATCTAAGGTGTGGAAATCATTTCTTGTATCTTTTGATGAGCCCGTTATCCCTGTGCCTTCAGAAAAGTGAGTCCTTTTATCATTCATGCACTGATTCAGATGATGGTGTCAAATATGTCAGAAAATACTGGTTTCTGAGGTGTTTTAATCAGGTGAATATAATATTGTTTAAATACCCCTAGGTTAGAATGCAGACCTTTTGATGGTGATGGATGTGGTCAAACCCATGTCCATGAAGAAGACTTGCACACTGGCCATCTGTGTGACTGGGCAGCACTGGACCGTCCCAGTGCATCCAACCTGAGACACCTCTGTCACTTTGGCTCGGTGCCAAAGACTGTCTTCATATTTAACAAATATCATAGATCCTGGAGATGGACACAAACATGGCAGCTCAGGTCACAACAACAATGATTGACAAGTGTGGTCTCACTTTTACGCTGTGCCGCACAAATACCACAATCCTTTTACACTGAACTAAAGGCAGTTTCTCTGACTGCAATGTGAGTTAGTTAGATAATTCAGGTGTCCAGTAGCAGCAGAAACACAGGCACCCAGACTAACAAAACAAGTAAATACGTCATTATAAAAAAAAGCTTACAATAGTAATAAATTCTATAACTTTTGTGATGCAACAATGACATTTCCCCACTGTGGGGCAAATAAACAATCTCTTAATCTTAAATTGCAACCACACTTTAGGTCACAGCAGCAGAGGTAGTATAGCATTTATAATGTTTATTATTAAGTTAAAGATTTTATTTTAGTATGGAGTTATTGTTTGTATATCTTGTGCTGCGTGCTCCTCATTCCTACTGTTCTGTAACTGGTGATGCAACACTGAAATTTCCCCACTGTGGGACAAATAAAGGATCTCTTAATCTTATTCTTAAAAAGGGTCAACGACAGCAGAGATCCGTGAGAGTTGATGACGAAGGTCTCGAAGTGGGATCTTCAGGCCCAAAGGAAGATCTCATTTGTTCTCCGCAAAACGAAGAGGACGACCGTTTAAAGATTAATTTTAATTGAAACAGGAAATCTATTGTCAAAATTGTGATGTGAATTTTGCCATTCAGCTTCTTGTTCTGAAACATGGAACTGCATCCATCCAAAACCTTTTCAAAATGTAAAAAATGGTTTTGAAATAAACATCTTGATGAATGTTTAGAGATGTCTGATCTTTTTGTGAGTGAAAAATGCGCTTTATGGATAAAGTTTGACGGCTTGGAGGTGGCTCTGACCTGTGTCCAGCGTGTGGCGGGCGCACAGGAGGCTGCTGGGTTTGGAGCAGAACATTTGGATCTTCTTGGACCACAGCTCGCCCTCCCTCTTCTCAGCCAGATACTGCACATAGAAGTGATTGGGGTTCACCACATGGCTCACCACCACATACTGAGTCACTGAAACAGAAAAAGTAGTATATTCCTTTTACACACTGGGACCATAGAGCACATAGAGTTGACTTAATCTCAGATCATTACCAGTTCTAGTGTAGCTCGTGGACAGCGGCTTCCTCCTCTTGTCCCTGGTCGTCTTATTGGCCAATAGGAGGTCAGTAGGAGGAAGGGATACTAGCAAAAACAATGACAATTCATCAAATCTGACTTTGTAGCAAGTCTCCCAGAAGTCATCTTAATTTGAACACAGTTGTCAGATTGCCTTCATCAAGCTTTACTGGAAGCTTTTTTTTTTTACTCAAAAAGAGAGCAGTGCTAGCCTGGCCTTAGCCATCCATACACTTCGCTCAATCATCATTTCCCTGCATGTAACGTCTGGGTCTGGTCCCCATGTAAGTGATTACAGTTGGTTGAATTTCTACCGACAAATCAGCGAGTGTGGGAAGTGGCTGTTGTAGTTAGTTGTGGGTGATGTCAAGAGTTTGCGTCAAACGGGCAGGTTGTAGTTTGGAAATGGCGAAGAATGCGATAGTAAAGTATTCCGGTCTGGTTCTATCGAGAAATTGAAGCCGGAGCAAGAGGAATGTTTAGCAAATGTAATCGCTGGAAAAAGTTGTGGCGCTACTCCCCACGGCTCCGTTAGCGGCAAAGGAGATGGCTGGGCTAAATGCTAACGACAGACTCTGGCGCACTACATACGTCAGGGTAAACTCAGATCCAATCGTTTCAATCTGCAGAAGGAGTTAACCCCTCTGTAAAGGGGGAGCTCGATGGAGCAAATCCAGACCTACGAAATGTAATTTGTACTATGGTGTGGTACGACCAGGCTAGAGCAGTGCATATCCAGGAGTGAAGCAGGTCAACAGGGACTTCCATCATACATATTGGCTGAAACAAGACATGCTTTAACTGCTGAGCGTCAGCTTTATTTTGTATTGGAACAAATGGCTGTTAGCTGCTCCGTGTAAAGGCCCCTGATTTAGCTTTACTTAGCTTCCATGACTTTCGTTCACTGACACACAATTAAAAGCCTGTATATTGTTAGTCTTGAAACACATTGCACAAAGAAAATATTCAAACCTCTTTCTGTTTCCCACATTTGGACACTTTAATTTTTACAATTTAAAAGTGAAATATTCAGTTTAAAAGTGAAATATTCAGACTCCAAATGGTGCTGTGGCCTCTAAACCTGTGCAAATCAATGAGCATGAGCAAACCCATGTGATCATAGTGATGCTATCATACTTCAAGACATCTTTACAGATGCATGTGGAAAATAGTGCCCAAAAAAGGTGAATTGTACAAATATTGAATGTTTTGTATAAAATTGATGCAGTGTGGTACCCGGCTGGTCGTTCTCCAGCACCTCCTCTATCACTATGTCAGGAGCCAGGTCTATGGATTTCCGGCGGGACACGCTGGAGCTGGAGGAGACTGAGGAGGAACTACTGCTGCTGCTGCTGCTGCCACTGCTGCTGCAGGGGGCAGTGGCCTGAGACAGGCTGCTACCACCACCATTAGTTTGGAGCCACTGAGCCAAGTCACTCTGCTTCAGGTCCTTTCTACAATACAATGGGCCTCAGTCAGAAACATACAAAGATTTGTATTTGCAGTTTTGCACATAGAAACACAACTTGTGTTACCTACATATAAATACAGGGACAATACCATCACTACATCCTCGATACACATCTAAGACTGTATGAAGTGTTCTGAGGCTGTTCTTTCATTCAGAAGTTAAGGCATGCAAGATAAGAAACATTATATTATACTAATATTGAAACTGCAGTGAATTATTGTGTGCTTTTAAATCTGATGAGTCACATTTCCTTTTGTAAGATTTGCAATAAATGTCCATTTGAAACAAAACCTGTAGTACTCACTGGTTTGAGGAGAAGTCCAGCACCAGGCTGAATCTCTCATTCACAGAGTGAGAGGTGAGGGCACATCTATAACACAAACCATCAAGTATTCATTATGTCTAATGTAAAGCAGGCGGAGACATTACTCAATACACAAACTGATCACTTGCTTTAATGTTATGATAAATCTATTGTGAAATAGGGATAAACCATTATAGATACCACAATTGTGTTAATATTGTGACACACTAGTTATTCATTTATTTCAGATAACATTAATACATTTTGGACCAACATTTTCAATGTCACTGCTAGGGCTGGGTGATATGGCAAAAAAATAAAAAATCTCAAATTTTTTCACATCAAATCCGATTTTGGATTTATTTTTTCTTTTTAAAAACAAACTATAATTGACAAAGAAATAGATTTTCCTTTATGCAGTTTAATCTAAATACCCATGGAGCATAAGTATAACAGGTAAAAAGCCTTAAAACATGCTTGTAAACGAGATGGCGCTGCTATTGTAAACAGTGAAAATGCAGCTAATCAGTTTTTTAATAACTTAACTTACAGTGACACTATGCACCTTCAAAATAACTTCAAATGCACAAACGAGGGCCATAGCGAATATATCGTATTAAACTTATTATTATTATTATTAACATGAACTTATTATTTACATGAAATATCACATTTTTAAAACTACTGCTTTCTCTAAATACAAATGTTATAACAGAGAAAGTCTTTTACAAAAGCCTCCTCCTTGGGTTTTCATGCTTGTTCTTTCAACCATGTCAGTAACTGCTGTAGTACAGCGCTCGGTCCAGCAGGTGGCGCTAATACTAACTTCAGTGACTCCCGCATTGTAAAGAGTTAAGTTTCCTGTTTACATTCTGCTACTGTAGCTAACAGATAGAACGGGGAACACGTTTGTATCAAAGCAATGAGAACAAATGTGAGACGTGTCTTTCCCCAAAGTGCAGCGGCTCAGTAGGACACGTGTGTACCATAGACTGTATATATTAATGGACAGAGTCACGCCTATCTCCGCCGTTCATAGGAGTTGGCCATGAAAAGTGCTTTCATGGAGCAATCCAAGATGGCCGCGAGCTGTCCCGCCCACCAGAAAATTGTGAAAAAACGCATCTGCGCATGCGTCAGCCGGCGCAGCTCCATTCATTTGAACGAGAGACTTCAAAAATTCCCCACGAGTAAACTAGAGTGGACCAAAAAAATCACCCCCCTCAGCATTGACACACATGTGGAAAAGAGCTTTGGGCCAAGAGCCAACTTTTGGTCCATCCTGTAAAGACGTTTTTGAGAAGTCTGCTAACGTTATATGTTAGCATTGGCTAATTTTTCTTCTGGGTCCACCCCCAACGGCCCGGGGTGGTATTGCAAGCATGTCAGCGCACGTCATTTTGGCCACTTTTGAGCTGGGACCCTCCCCCACTGGGGTGTACGCGCTTTGGAGTGAAAGACTACCGGAGCCTGCCTGCCTGCGTGTGTGCGTGTGTGTGTTCTGGCGATTAAATAAAGACTGATTCAGATTCAGATTCAGTTTATTTGCCATTTGCAGTAAAAAAAAAACACATTGGAATACAAAAGTCTCCAGTGTGCACAGACAAATACAGACATAAAACAACATTAAAAGACAAAAATAAAACAAATAAAACAGTAAACAAATGTCACTGTGAAATCGATCGACTAAAACAGTTTCAAAACAAGTGCAAATCATTAAAGTGCTCTGTTCACACTGATAACAGCTTGTGGATAAAAACTGTTAGCGTAACGAGATGTCCTGCATCTCACAGAACGATATCTTCTGCCAGAGGGAAGAAGCTGGAACATGGCTTTCTCAGGGTGGCCAGAAGAGTCATTAACAATCCTAAGAGCTTTGTTTAAAAGTCTGGATTTATAAAGAACCTCCAGAACAGGAAGCTCACAGCCCACGGTCCTCTTTGCAGAGCGGAGCACCTTGTTTAAAGCTCTCTTTTCTTTATCTGTGATGTTTCCAAACCACACAGACACAGAACCAACAAGTAAACTCTCAATGGTGCAGCAATAAAAGTTAAGCAGAATCTTAGAGTTAGTGGTAAATTCTCTAAGTTTACGCAGAAAGTAGAGACGCTGACGAGCTTTCTTAACGACTCGGTCAGTGTTTTTAACCCATTTCAGGTTAGACAGAGTTAAACCCAGAAACTTGCACTCCTCTACGATCTGCACCTGGGAGTTGTCGATTACGACAGGCAAATGAGAACTATTGCGACTGAAGTCGTAGACCAGTTCACATGTTTTCGATGCGTTCAACTGGAGGTTTTTAGTTTGACTCCACTGAACCACATTTTGTATCTCTGCTCTATAAGAGGATTCATCATTGTCACTGATGAGACCGATGATGGTGGTGTCATCAGCATATTTGATGATCAAGTTTGAGTCAGAGGAGGACACACAATCGTGAGTGTACAAAGTAAAAAGCAAAGGACTCAAAATATGATTCTTGAACGTTTGAAGTGTTATAGCAACAGCACCAACTGTGAGAGCGAACGTCAGGACAGACTGTTAGCATTAGGTTAGCTTTCAAAATGACTGCTCAACACCTGCGGTTAGCGTGTTAGCCCTGTAGCTCTGCGCTGGAGAAAAAAAAGATCGATTTTCATTCAAAAGAAATCGCCCTAAACGTCAAATTTGACCTAATAGCTAAAATCGATTTATCGCCCAGCCCTAGTCACTGCTTACGAGATAATTAGTTGGTTTTTTTATACCAAATGTAGAGTGGGTAGGATTGTCAGAACAAGTGGTGGTGGAAAAACGATTATTGATTAATCATGATTATGTTATGGACAAATATGGATAGATTACTACATTTTTGGAGGTTGACTATTGAAAATCAATACTCATGCATCAAGAATTGACAATCATTGGTAATCAAAAATTGGTTGGTAACAGTGTCGGGACCTCAATAATTGTAATGAAATTAATCAGCAAATTAACCACCCCTAATAATTGTCCCAGGTCTTTTTTGCGATAAACGATAATATTGCAATACATTTGAAAATTTCCATTTTTAAGCTTTTTCCACTTAAAAAAAGGCCAAACGGCATAAAATAGCAAATAGACTATTAGAAAGACTAATAAACCTTTACTTCTTAAAACATATAATCATGTCCTGGAACTCAAAGATATTTAAACAGGGGCACTAAGGTTCTCCCAGGCAACGCATACTGTGGGTCAAATGTGTGCAACATTCTTTAAAATGTGGGATGCTCGGCAATATAGTATACGGCACGCTAGCATTAACTTGGCAATTAAGAAGGGGTTTGAATTGAAAGATATTTATAAATATGATTTAAAAAAAGGCGAAGTAACTTGACTAACAAAGTTAGTTTTCAGTGTGGGTTGATATAATATACGAGTCTGATGTGTCACTAGCTAAGTAATGAAAACCAGTGTGTAAATGTAAATGTGCACTTCATTGTTCCCGTAGGGAAATTTGTCCTCTATATCTGACCCATCCTGATGCCACTCATGGTGCTTTCAGACCGCCAACGCTGAAACGCGGAAGCCCCGCTCACCAGACGCGCATTCTCTAGTTTTCAGACGCAGGGGTCTTCACACCAGAACGTCCTGACGCGAGCCGGAAGTACCGGAAGTAGCAGGCCGGCTCTAATGCTAACAGAGCTATGCTAGCGGCTTCTTGTGTACAGATCTTCTCCAATATGCAGGCTTTATATAACAGTAGTATGTGTTCACGGAGGTGCGCCATACGTTTTTTCATATTATTAAACGGAATTTCCGCATCGGCGAACACACTCGAAGCAGTTGCATAATTTCACAAGCACACAGTCCCCCATTGTCAACCCTGGTTTGAGTTCTGGTAAAGTCTGGTGTGGGTCCTGTTTTGGCTGTTTACGAGTATTTTCAGTCATGTCCCCGTGACCACTTTGCTGCTCTCTGATTGGTTGTCGCACGAACGTCCCAAGGAAAGGATGAGCAGAATCCATCTACTGTGGGCGTTGATTTTTCACTCCTGCTCCTCCTCTTTCACTTTCCCGCCAAGTCCGTGCGTCATTATTGAACAGTCCGTTCGTGCGTGCCGAGATGTCCGTGCGTTGTGACGGTCGAACGCGCGCCACCATAGACTTTGCGTAGTACAGCACCCAGGACCCATCTCCAGATGTTGATACTCAGCTGTGTCAGGACCGAAGCTGGAGGATTTGACCTATTGTGCATATTCTTAGTGGTAGGGGAAACCGGAGCACCCGGAGGAAGCCTACACAAACACGGAGAACATGCAAACTACACTCAGAGAGGCCCTGTTCCGACTGGGATTCAAACCCAGGATCTTCTTGCTGAGAGGCGAGAGTGCTATCCACTCAGCCACTGTGCAGCCCACGCCTAGCTTGTTTTTACTTTTGGGCACAAGTTACCAACATGCATTATTAATGCAAGGGAAAATGTAGGTAACCCAGCTTTAATTTAGTGAGTTTTAGTTTCAGTGCTCCTGGAGGAGACATGGACACAGGTATCTGTTACAGAATACGCAAAGACACGCACTGGCTCCTGTCCACGGCTATGGTCCGCGCTCATCACATTATGGCCATGTGACAGCGCTCGCCGCGCTGTTGTAAAAGTGGGTCACAGCTGCTGGATACAGGAACCATTGTCATTCGCTACAAAGCGGCCGCAGTTGCTCCAAGGTCAAAACGCTGCAGCAACAGAGGATTAGGAATCCCGTTCAAGTATGTACATAATTACTTGCTCCTCGTGGTTTGCGCAACACACGAGACCATGCGTCGTCAAGGAAGCTAATGACTAAGAGCAAACGTTTGAACAAATGGAACTTAAAGGCCGACCTTGTTTTTAGTTACAGCGTGATAACTCAATGTATTGTTTATCGCAACAGCTCTATGTGTGAGGAAGGAGGAAGTACAACTGAAGGAGCTGGAACCCACAGGAGTAAAGTAATATGTCTCAGACCACGGAACTAAGTTTCCAAAGACCAAATCTCTTCTCTCTTTGACTCCCATAAAAAAAACTGGTGGTACAGTATGTGTCAATTGGTGCATTGATGGCTGAGATCATGATTTGACATCCACTGGTAAAATGGAGTTGACCAGAGCCTGAAGTTGGTGTGAAATTAACTCAATACTAATCTCTTTACCAATACTGTTCTATTAAACTGTGCGCATTTAAGCTACTAAAAGCTTCAATAATGATCATAATGAACATTGTGTGCCTGTGATCAGGTGGTATTCCAACACTGCTTGGAAAATTTGTTTTTAGTTGTTTTTTTTGTTACTGGAACATTTATAGTACCTTGCGACAGTATTCGGCCCCCTTGAACCTTTTAACATTTTGCCACATTTCAGGCTTCAAACATAAAGATATACAAATTAAATTTTTTGTCAAGAATCAACAACAAGTGGGACACAATCGTAAAGTGGAACGAAATTTATTGGATAATTTAAACTTTTTTAACAAATAAAAAACTGAAAAGTGGGGCGTGCAATATTATTATATGTTTTGGATCATTGTCCTGTTGGAAGATAAATCTCTGTCCCAGTGTCAGGTCTTTTGCAGACTCCAACAGGTTTTCTTCCAGAATGGTGCTGTATTTGGCTCCATCCATCTTCCCATCAATTTTAGCCATCTTCCCTGTCCCTGCTGAAGAAAAGCAGGCCCAAAGCATGATGCTGCCACCACCATGTTCGTTGACAGTGGGGATGGTGTGTTCAGGGTGATGAGCTGTGTTGTTTTTACGCCAAACATATCGTTTTGCATTGTGGCCAAAAAGTTTGATTTTGGTTTCATCTGACCAGAGCACCTTCTTCCACATGTTTGGAGTGTCTCCCAGGTGGCTTGTGGCAAACTTTAAACAAGACTTTTTATGGATATCCATTTGTGCAGTGCACGACTGATTGTTGTCCTATGGACAGACTCTCCCACCTCAGCTGTAGTGATCATGGGCCTCTTGGCTGCATCTCTGATCAGTCTTCTCCTTGTTTGAGATGAAAGTTTGGAGGGACGGCCGGGTCTTGGTAGATTTGCAGTGGTCTGATACTCCTTCCATTTCAATATAATTGCTTGCACAGTGCTCCTTGAGATGTTTAAAGCTTGGGAAATCTTTTTGTATCCAAATCCGGCTTTAAACTTCTCCACAACAGTATCTCGGACCTGCCTGGTGTGTTCCTTTGTCTTCATGGTTCTCTCTGAGCTTTAAACAGAACCCTGAGACTATCAAAGAGCAGGTGCATTTATACGGAGACTTGATTGAACACAGGTGCATTCTATTTATCATCATCAGTCATTTAGGACAACATTGGATCATTCAAAGATCCTCACTGAACTTCTGGAGTGAGTTTGCTGCACTGAAAGTAAAGGGGCCGAATAATATTGCACGCCCCACTTTTCAGTTTTTTATTTGTTAAAAAAAGTTTAAATTATCCAATAAATTTCGTTCCACTTCACGATTGTGTCCCACTTGTTGTTGATTCATGACAAAAAATTAAAATGTTGCCTGAAATGTGGCGAAATGTTGAAAGGTTCAAGGGGGCCGTTTTTCGTGAGCTGTAACTCATCCCTGCACTCTCCTTAAAAATAATAAAAAATTGATCACAAAAAAATAAATTAACTCAATACATCCACAAGTTTTGAGTAGTTCTTGCTACACAATAATCCATTTGAGCGCAAAATCGTCTTCAAATGTCTCGTTTAAACAAAACTTGTGTCTGTAACTGAGATTTTTTTTTATTTCTTTATGTCAAGGCCATTTCTTTAAATGAAATAAAATTAACAAATACATTGGCTCTGGACGTATGGACCGACCTTAGTCCTGTATTCTCAGAGAGACAGTCCAGATCAAACTGGTTTTCCACCGGGGCCTGCAAAGTCTCCAACACCTGCAAAGACACAGATACCAAACTAAGTCATTTTCATTGTTCCAACTTTTGCATTTATAAATGCAGGGTCTTTGACGACTAGAGTAGATTTGGGTGAGGAGTGAAGGAGTGCCACTGTCTGTGGTTATGATCTTACTTTATCAACATGTACCATCAAGGTCTCTGCCCTTGATGGTCCAATGGCTCTTTGTGTTTTTATCATTGCATTTCTTGTGTTTGAACTGTTTGGTTCTCTGATCTGTGTTGGCAAATCAACGCTTTTGTAAAGTCCTCCCAGAAAAGAATTGTTGTGATTTATGGCTGTACAAGAATAAAATTAATTGAATTGAATTGAATCCTTCCATACTGGATGTAACATAATGAGGTTGTAAAAAGGACCTTGTCGAGCGGGCAGTATTTCTCCAGGAACTTGAGTCGCCGCACTTCTCTGGCCTTTTGCATGGCGAGCAGGAGGCTCCTCTTTCTCTCCTCAGCTTTTTCCATCTGTGTTTTAGTGTTGAGGAAGTAGGACTCCACCATAGTGAGCTTCTCCAACTGACAGTCTTTCCTGATGAAGCATATATTTAAAGTTAAAATGAGCGTCTTTACCACTGTCACTGAAATGATGCAATGTTACTGACAGAACACGTCTTACTGGTGAACTGTTTGACCAGTCTATGCTTTTCAAATCAAATTGTCAAGTTAAGCTTTTGATAAAAAATAATTATCATGAACACAATCAAAGGAATTTTTAAACAAGCTTACTAAACATTGTGAACGATAACAAGAGTTAACAGAGTTATGAATAGAAATAAAACGATTTATTCTTATTATATCATACCACTTCTGAAGGCCATGAATGGCTTTGGCGGTAGCATGGGTGATCTCCAACTGCAGGCGAGACTTCTCTTTTTCTACTTGTTGAGACAAACCTGTTTGGAGAGTCTTGCAAAAACACAATATTCATGATGTCATTAAACCAGAGACTGGGGATACATTAGTGTCAAGGGGCTTGGTATAGACTTTGTATTTTCTAATATTAATCCCTTATTACTTAAAGATTGTTTGGTTTTAAGTTCATAGGAAATAATATTAATTAACATCACTGTGGCGACGTGTGGACTCACCTCTTGAATACTGTTCAGGATTGTCAGGTTTTCTGCAGCTCTGACCAGAGCTTGATCCACCTTCTTCTCAAACTTACGCAGATCTCCAACAGACTGAAAGAGGAATACAACTGTAGCTGAGGAGGACGTCACGTGTAAACAAAGCCTCAACTCATTTATAATGCGAGGTCCTAGTGATAGGAACATTTCCTTTAGGCCCATACTGAGACGCTGCGCAGACGTTTCCAGGCTATTAACAGAAACGACCAGGCCCTAATGCAAATTTCTCAGCGTTCACATGAGGTTGAAAAACTATGTAGTTCTAGCGCCCGGCCAGTAGTGGGCAGAGAAACTTTACAACACGACACAAGAGCCCCAGCCCCCCTCCCGGCAGTATATTCACTTCCTGTGCCAGACCCTCAGAAAGTACCAACATCATTCTGCATTTTAACAGTAGCTGTGAAAATGGAAACTGAACCTAGAGCTTCGCATGGTCTCGTTTGGACGAACGAAGGAGTAGAATTATCCTCTGTGCAGCGCTCAAAGCCCACGAAGCTAGTTAGTGTGACTGCCGCCATTGTTGTTTATGTTTGTTCTCCGCTACTGCGCATGTCCAAATTTACGTGCGGGGAGCATTGGGGAGGCTGGGGGTCAGATCCGAGGGGGATTTCACACCTTTTTCCTTCTCGCAGGTGTGAAAGAGCTCCCCGCTGTGCAGCGTTTCTGAGCTGTCCCACTTTGCAGGCTGGATCTAAACACTTACGTTTTCACCCCCCTGGAACACAGTCTTCGTATGAACGGTTGGTAGAAACCGACATCCAACTATACCGTTTTACTGCCACATTGTCTCTGTGTAAACTCAGCCTTATATAGACCTTTATTGTCCCCTGAGGGAAATTCATTTTCACAAACACTGTCACATACAGGTTACAATAGACACAGGATACACAGGAGAGAGAAACATACAGTGGGGCAAAAAAGTATTTAGTCAGCCACCGATTGTGCAAGTTCTCCAACTTAAAATAATGTCAGGTCTGTAATTTTCATCATAGGTACAACTTCAATTGTGAGAGACAGAATGTGAAAAAAAAAATCCAGGATTTCACATTGTGAAGAATTTATTTGTAAATTATGGTAGAAAATAAGGCCCCGTCCCAATTCTCACCCTTGCCCTTAAAAAGCACACTTGCCCTAGAGTTTGCGCGTGCCCGCGTGAGTGCAAGAGTGTCCCAATACTTAGGGAGAAGAGGCGAGGGCCTTCACACCCCTAAAAACCACAATGAGTGCAAGTGAGGTCCGGAGCTCACTTGCGAGCGAGTGTGATCCCATGATGCATTACAATAGCTGTTGGCAAAGCAGCAGTCGGGCAAAGCCGCGCCACCATGAAAGAAAACAACATGAAACACCCGCGCACAAGTTTGTGCGGAACATGAGCAAGCTCCAAAGTGTGTGCGAGTCTTTCATAATTTTTAATGCTTGTGTTGGTGCCGTGTGCGGTGATCCGAAGCGGCCGCAGCGTGTGGCGTGACGCTTCAGGGACGTGGATCCATGTTATTATAGATCCATAATGTAGTTCAGAGCATCGCTTTGACACAGTTTGCTTTGTGATCCGCAGGACTGCGGCTGTACCGTCTGTCTCTGTGTGCGTATGTGCATGTACATGTGTCTGTCTGTGTGGTACGTCTCTGTGCGCTGTAATGACAGTTTTTAGAGTAATCACATTAAAACCAGCCGCAGCAAATACACGGACGTAAAAGGCCTTTTCAATGCAGAGACGACCTTCTGACGCCATGCTGAGCTTTGTGAAGGTCCCTGCTGTCTGTCACACCCTTGTGTCTTTCGCATCTCGCATCTGTATGCTTGCATCTTCTACCATTGTCTGTCTGTTCGCACCTCCATGCCCTGTGTCTGATTGCCTCACCACAGGGGCATGGCGCCTGCGCTTCCTATGCGCCTCCTTCACCGGTGGCCCCCTCCCATCTGTTGTGGGCGGGACTGTCTTTCGTGTGTGTCTTCTAAACAGGAAACTCGGGGCTCTGCGAGCCAGAGCTGGGTATGCTGCCTGGTGGATATGCTAGCTCTCCGCACGTGTGTTACAATAAACTTACGCTCCTGATTTAAGACAAATACTTTTGGGCTTTCTCCTTGCTTTGGGGTATATAATTCTATAACAATTTGGCGTTGCTGACATGTCTTGGCATGGATACTTTCGGCGGGGACGAGCGGCCGCGTTTGGCCGACCTGGAAACAACACCAGCCTCTTCTCTATTTGGAGACAAAGGAGGGCGCGCTCGTCCGCGCATGGAAGGATTCTTTGGCCACACAAGACCAAAAAGAACCTAACTTGGTGAGTTTTGTCTTTTCATCTGCGTAACGAGCACTTAAGTGTACACGGGGATTTGTTTATTTACGTATTTTTGGGGTATTTCATTCATTGCCACAGCATAGACTGTGTGCGGGATTTTTGGGGGTATTTTGTTCTAGATTGAAGCTAGCGGCTGCGCGTTAGTATCGCTCTGTAAGCGACCCTGGAATCTCTGAGTGTCTTCAGCCAGAACCGCTCCGTTTTCAAGAACGCGCGCTCGCTGGTTGAACCAGCGGGGGGGGGAACGGAGCGCCCCAAAGTGGGTAAGAGCAGGGAGAGACTAAGCGGGTTAGGCCCATTGTTCTGTACGAGAAAATGGGAAAATCAATCTAGAGATGCCACACCGAGGGGAAGGTTAACGTCCCCCGTTACAATGACAATGGAAAAACGATTCGGATCTAAAGCTATGGAGGCTCTATGTCTCCGAATCAATTATGCATCTTGCGTGATAATTTAGAAGAAGAAGGGAAGAAAAAATATACTTGGTTTTAAGAATATCACGGCAAAAGACGTTAGAGAAAGAAATATGTAAAACAATAGCTCCTCCGCTTTTCACCGAAGCGGAGAACACACAGGCGGACACACACACACACACTCACACATCCCCCACACACCCCCACCCTACCGCCCTTTTTCCCCTACTAACAATAAGTGTGCACCCAAACAAGGCGTTGGGTTTTTAAAAAAAATGAGCAGACTACTGTTGTCCCTTTTCCTCTCCCTGTCCAGGTCTGTCGGCGCTTTTCCTCCGCGCTCTGTCCTCTGCCTCAAAGCACCAGCCCCACGCCCCAACCACAGGCGGCGCTCGCACCAGCTGAGACCCCGCGAGAAGTGGGCCCAAACCCGGGAGCAGAAGAAGACGTGGCGGAAGCAGATACACGCTCAGGAAACCGCAGAAGAAGAAGCGGGGGAAGCAGATATGTGAGACACCGACAACTGCCTTGGAGGCCAGAGACAAACTGCTCCAAATCCCGTGACTGTTCCCCACGGAGGGGGTAGCGTGAAACACAAAACGCACCCGCTGAAACCCCGTTGAAAGTTGTCCCCGCACCGCAAACAGAAGAAGCCAAAAGTACCGGCACGTTTGGTTATTCACCAACCCTCATGGACCACAGGCTAACGCTTTGGGCTACCTGGGCCTCCTGCGGACTTTGAGAAACTTCCACAGCCCGGCGGAAAGACTGTATGCTCGACATGGGTCGAAGGACTGTCACCGGAGGAGGCGTTAAAGGCAGAGGAACGCTCAAGCTAACACGGGGCCAGAGGACGGCAGAGGCGGGCGTGGAGGAAACACGAGCGACTGACCAAACCCGGGTTCACATTCGTCACCAAAGCGACCGCTCATGTAAGTTGAACAACAACAAATTGCAATTGGCACTTTTTAGAGATAATTCATGCCCGTAATATACGCTAACAATCTGTGGTGTACAAGTTAAAATTCTGGATGACTCCGGGGCAACAAATTCTGTGCTAAAAGTGACAGCCTTTCTGTCTCCCCTAAAATGAGTGGCCGCTTCACATTCTCATTAGCAGCGGGGGGAGAGACGACTAAAGAGCAATTTACGTCACCGCTAACGTGTTTTGATTCTCAGGGCAACCAGCTTAAACATTCTTTTCTATATTCCCCATTGTGCCCGGTTAATCTACTAGGCCGAGACCTTATGTGCAGACTCAATTAAAAATAGATAAATAAAAGGAGGCACCGGTCCCAAAAGTTAACTACCACTGGAAATTGACACCAAACCCTGAGATTGCTAAGTTATTAGCCACAACAAGTGGATAGAGTGACGCCCGCACAAAATTTGGAGGTCAACCACGCGAACGACCTAAGCTGCTCTCTCCGGTCGTTCCCAGACAATAACTTGGAGTTTGAAAATTCATGGCTTCAGTGTAGTAAAGATAGGCTACAAACGGAGTATGTTTATTGGGATAGGCACCACGCTATGGTATTTGTGCGACTTAATGAGCAACAAAAACATTTTTATCGTGAAACAAAGGTGAAGTATTAAAGTTTGAGACTAATTTACATTTTTAATGAATCCGACCTGGCTTTATTGAAAAAGAAAAAATAAGGAAAATAAACATTTTTTAGGTGACAAGAGCTCATTAGAGATATAGGGGACACAATCTGTGATAAGCCCGAAATACAGACCACGTGGTAAACACTAAAGTTGGAAATGGATCCTTTTAGGAAAACTCTTTTAAAGCTCTGCAGGCTCTGAAAGTTGCAACAATAGAAATAGCTCATGAGACAATTGGAATTGGACATGGAAAAATATAACAAAGTTAAAATTACAGGCCTTCTGTGTTGTTATATGTTTGTGTGTGTTATATGTTTTGTGTATGTTATATGTTTGTGTGTCATGTCAAAGTACACTACGTTGACCTTAACAAACTCTGGACCAATACTAACGTGGGGAATCGGCCTGTGATGTGACTGTGATATGAGTGTGATGTGTGAAATGAGGAATGCTGAACGGAATCATGGAATAACAAATGTGTCTGTAATGTTTTAATGTGATCATGGAATAATTATTTTTTTGTCAACAGCATACGGTGTAAGTACTAGAGATTCAAAGATAACGACCTTTATTGAACAGGTGTAAAAGTGAGAGTACTCTGGGATGAGTACTCTGAGAAAAGTACTCTGCGGAAAGTACTCGGAGATGAAATACCTCGCTGAAGATATTGGGAGCTCCTCCCTCTGCTGTTTGCCCTGACAGTGATTCGGTCCAACCGCAGTGAGCTG